CGGGGTGCAGGGTTTAGGCCCTAAGCCCTAAAACCCTGAACTCTAAACCTTGAACCCTAAACCTCAGGGTTTAGGGTTCAGGGGAGCCCCGAAAAGAGCCGGGTTCAGACAGAGGATGCCATCACCACCATGCAGAGGGAGCTGTGGCCCCAGGCCAGGGCAGGACTCCAGCAGGCCGGGACAAGCTTTAAAAGCAACAAAACGTAATGCAGGGTTTTTTTCTTAGTAGTTAGGTTGATAAACTTTATGTAAACTTTCTGCAATAATGAAACCCTGTCTAAAACTGAAAGTTTACGCTTTTTTGGGCTAATGAACTCGGCAACTAAGTTTAACAGTTAGAGTAGGAGTTCCCCTTTAGAAGGGAGCCTTAAAGGGGGTCTATAAGGGATTTATTATAGTAGGGTTGTATGGTAATGTAGGCTGCTTTTGCAATTGCTCCTTTACAGGGTACTATAAGACTATAAGGGTTCCTGACCTGTAAGGGATCTATAGGGTTGTGGGCTTAGGGCTTAGGGGGAGAATATGGGGCATAGGGGCCTTCATAATTAGAAGGGGGGTTCCCTTTGAAGGGATCCTTAAGGGGGTCTATAAGGGATCTATCATAAGGGTTCTGTATTAAGGGCCTTAATAAATCGAATATGGTTCTGGGATTCCTTACTAATTTATACTCCAAAACCCTGTTCGAACTACTAAGGCCCCTACATTAGTCCTGGTCGTGGTTATCGTCGCAATCTTCAGAGCAGAAGTGAGAGTTGTCGTGGGCGCCATAGTTCATGGCAGCTTCTGAAAAAGGACTGCGGGTATAAGATGTCAAGATCCTGTACTTGAGAAATGTTCCTTGAAGTCTTGGAGAGATCCTTTATATTCGAGCCTTAACCAAGGAAACTGGCAGTCTCTGGGAATAGCTGTCGTTCCTCCTCTGTCTCGCAGGCGGTCGACAAGCGTGAGATCGCACTTCTGCGCGAGGCACTTGCAGAAGCAGAGACGGTGGGCCGGGCACCCAGGGAGGTTGACGAATCTACCCTAAGGCCCCAAAGTAGTTCCTTTTTGGGATTACCCTATAGGATTCTACATACGAACCCCAAAAAGGAACTACTTTGGGGCCTTAGGGTAATGGTTACAGCACAGCCTTGCTAGCATCTGCTAGAAGTTACGTTGGTAATTCAACGGTCACTGTGACAATGGCAACAGTGACAGTATCATGAAGGTCGTCGTGGAACGTTCTGCCTGCGCTTTCATATAGGAAAAGAATGAAGTCTTAGACCCAAAACCCGGGGCCTCCCGTCTTTCCCAAAAGTTCTAGCAAGGACCCAGGCTAAGGCCCTTATCCCCCTTTATCAGGGTTTAGCTTCCCTTCTAACCCCCTTTAAGCCAAAAAGGGCACCCTTTTTATTCCTTGGTTCTCTAATCCTTGAACCTTTAGGGGTACTAGAATGGAGGTTCCCTTTAAAGGGATCCTTAAGGGGGTCTGTAAGGGATCCATAAGAACATCCGGGCTCCATTCCGTCCCTGCGACCGCCGTAGCCTTTGGCCGAAGCAGTGCCGATTTGCCCGGCCCCCTATTTGGAAGCGAGCCTTAGAGTTTAGGGTTCCTTTAAAAGGGATCTAGAAGGGTTCCTATAACAGGATCTATAAGGGTTTGGGGTCTACTTGGAGGATCATGGGACTTAGTAAGTAAGGTTATAAGTACCATAGTTGGGGTTATAAGTATAGTTACCCTACTTATAACCCTAGTTACTAAGTCCCATGATCATCTAAGTATGCGCTCTGCATTATGCAGTTTACATTGACACGGGCAAAAACGGGTAGTGGTAGGAGGCAGCTAGGCGAAACATGCAGCTAGTGGCTGGAAAGGCCAGGGCTTCGAGCCGGCTGGTTGGGAGCGTCCTCTTCCTGGTTTAGCGCACATACCTTACGTTAAACCCTGGACCATGCACCAGCCGAGTGCCCTACTCAGACTTGAACAGTTGCGACCGCTCACCCCAAAACCCATCCCAGCTTTGTTAGTCACTTACCCAACAAGTTGTCTGAACGACGCAGCCTCTTCCGGCAGCGGGAAGGCGCTAAACGCACGACCCGCTAGCCCCCTCATGCCATTCGACCCTCCCACATCCCCACAAGAATATAGAACCTCGAATGAACCCATATTTAGGATGCTGCACCGCCTAAAGGAAAGCCTTAAGTACATACTTGTAGAATCTTGATCTGTACTTATGGGCCCTTGAATCTTTGTTACTAAGAACAGGAAGGGAATCAAAGAGCCCCCATGAAAGCCGTAAACCTGTACTGAAGTTTCCGTGGGGCACTCTCACACCCGGAGCTCGAACTCTCGTTCTGAACCCTGTTCTTGAAGGGAACTCCAGAAAGTTGGAATATTGTTTCAGGGTAGGATACCCTATAATTTTCCATAAAGGGTTTAGGATAATCATATTCCAACTTTCTGGCTTTTACTTTAAATTCGTGAACTCCCTAAACCTCTTTGAAGTCTGCAAAACCCAGTTTCAAGAACCCTTCAAAAGCCCGTACATAGTAGTCCCTTCTAATAGTCCCTATGTAACAATCCCTTACGGCACCCTAAACCCTAAGCCCTCATAGTCCTTAATATTATAGTACCCATTGTTCAAGAAAGTACCCTAAAATCCTACACCCTTATCCTTTGTAGTAACCATTCCTGAAGCCCTGCAACAAGAACCCCCTCGAGCCATGGACGCCGGAACCGAGCGGATGCTCCGTATCTTCCAGGCACTCCTAAAGCTAATAGAGGGTTTTAGGTTGGGTGCCGGCCTCAGTCAGTAACAGTTGAACAATATTCTTTATATAGATATATTAGGACCTTGATTGTAGCCCTATTATATACTGTGACGGTATGGGGGCAGTACCCAAGTTATAGGGTTCAGGGTTCATGAAGCTCTGAGGGCTGAATGGGGTTTAGGATTTAAGGGATTAGGGGTTTAGGGCTTGAGGGGTGTAGGGTTGAGGTTTTGGGCCTTTGGAAAAACTTCGCCCGCATCTTTCATTTCTTTCATTTACACAGGATGCTCGCAGCGCGCGTCTACCGCTGTGCTGCCCTGCGCGCTTATTCTGATCCTATACGCGCGCCTCGCGGCCAGGGTTCATTGTAAACAGTACGATCTGGACGTTGCTCTCGACCGGAGGAGTACCTGGGGGAAGCGATTCCGCATGTCCCGAAACGCACCAGTGATCTATAGGGTTCCTTTAAAGGGGCTGATAGGGTTCCTTTAAAGGGATCTATAGGGTTCCTTTACAGGGTATTTGACGGGAAAACATGTTCGTGCTGCTCTTGAGGGAAAGCGACTTCGCCGTGCTGTCGAAGGTTTGCGAACCCCGCTGTGTCGGTGGTCCATGGTGGTCTCCTGGTGTCGTGGTGGTCCGGCCTCGTGGGTGATGATTCGGCTGTTGGTACTGTGGACAAAAGCGATTGCAACCAGTTGCGAGGTGTAGTTGCCAAAGCATAGCGAACCACCGGCCCAGTCGTCCTGAGTTCCTCTGATCATATCCGCATGCTTCGGGCGTGGCTCTCTCCGGGATCTCTGCCGGCATGGGTTGTGCAGTGACTTCAGTTTCGCAGGGTTCCTCTTAAACCTAGTAGTAGAGCAGGTAACCTTTAACCTTTTTTGGTAGTATAGTCCCTATATAATCCTTATATAACAAAAAAGGTTAACCTTTAGTTCCCCATGCTACCCGACAAGTAGGTGAAGAACTCAACAAAATTTGGGAGCTGAGCCCGCCTGCGCCCATAAGTCCGACTTGCAAGGCTTTCGACCTGGACGGCGATGGCTCGATTACCCGCGAGGCTGGCGGTGTAAGACGGCGAACCTCCCATATCCCCGACAGCAACATGGGGGCCTTTGAAATTGGAATGGGGCTTTGGGGTAGGTTCTTGTGTAGCTAGAATCCTGGATAGGAACAAAAAAGGGGATACCATGACTAAGTACTCCCATCGCTGTATTCTTTCAGAAATATTCCTTCAACCTATGATCTGAACTCTCAATCCTTTTAAAGAAGGGACCATTATGATGGGGGTCTCCTCGTCTCCAAAACCCTTTGCAGCGAGTTAAATCGCCTTCTGACACTTCCTATAGCCTTATACAGCGGGCTGTAGAGCATTGTCTAGCCCCTACAAATGCCCATAGGAGCATTTATAAAACCCCTATAGATTCCTACGACGATTCTGTTTAAAGTCTCCCGGTAGACGAGGACTGTCGACCTCTCTGCCGCTAGCCAGTAAAGAAGACCCGAAAAGCACGACCTTTGCGCTTGCGTTTTTTTGGGTGGCAGGGAGGCCTCCCCAGGCTTGCACATTGGGGGGGCCGGGGATTCCCGGGCCGAAGAGCGACTCGCCCAATGCCCAAACTTCTATTCCTTGTCACTATTTCGGTATCCCTCTTGACTAACCTCCATTTTTTGCCCGCCGCCTCAACCCGGTTTTAGCTAGTAGAACCCTTGCCCATTTTGGGTAATACTACCACCAGTCAACCCATTAGACGATTATTCCTGTACTCCCCCCTACACGCCACCCAATATATCATCACTACATCCCCATTACCAATACCAGTATAGGAATAACCGATTACCTCATCCATATAAGAGGAATATTCCTGTACTCCCTAACACTTCCCCCAAATATCACCACTACTTCCCCATCACCAAGACCAGCATAGGAATAACCAATTACCCCATCCATATTCCCTAAGGTGGTATTATCATCCCAAAGTGGGCAAAGGTTCCCTCATAGAATTTACTCGGTTTAGGGTTAAAAGGTTGTTACTTGTATCCCAAGTGGTCGCGCTCATGCGGATCGCCACGAGCATGACAACCACAACGACGACTACTCCCGAGAGGACTGCTTCTCTGCAAGGGCATTCGCGTGTTCTGGCAGTAGTGCATCCTAAACACAAGCAAATGCCCATGGATCGGAAATTTGCTGCAGGGCTTAAGAGTACAAGATCCCGCCACCAGCCGCCCAGCAAGCTGCCGCAATGGGTGGTGTGGAGAGACAGCTCAGCCTTAATGTCACAGTTGCATCCTTCATCCTGTTCGTCACGGGCTTCATACAGTCCCGCAGGGACCCAGCCCTAGGTCTTCGCACCTTCACAATCGGCCTGTTATTCTCGCCGCGTAATTTGATCTGTGGCCTCCTTGCTGAAATGCTGCTCCCAGTTCCCGACATTCGGCCCAGGATCCTCCAAAAGATCAGCTTGCTCTTTCCATGGCGACCGCTTCAAGTCATTTTCGGCTGGTCAGCCCCTGATCTTGCCGAGGCTTTGCGGAACAACCGCACACGCACGCTTGTATGCCTTAGTGCTACCCGCTACAGCCAGGAGGATATGAGAGTCATTTGCAGCGGCCTTCGTCGAAACACGAGCTGCCAAATCCTACTTATGAAGCTCGCGGCCCTGAGCAATGAGCACGTGACACTCCTGGCCCAGGCGCTGCAGTACAACCAAGGCCTCAAGTTGCTGGATGTCCGCGAGAATGATTTCGATGACCAGGGGGCAGAGAACTTGGCATTGGCATTGAGGCACAGGCGGCTGCGCACGAACAGTGAAATTCATCTCTGGTATGACACCCGACGATTGAGCAGACAAGGAGGCATGCACTACCTGGAGGCAGCAGGGCATTGCCGCAGTGCTTTCATGAGGTCTGTTGACCGGCTCTTCGCCTTTAGTGGCATGTTCCCATTAATTGTAGTTATGATGGCCCCGATTGCATTTCTGACGCGCAAGAGCTCACGCGCTGGAAGCTGATGCAGTGAGTCTGCTGCTGCAGCTGCAGTCTAGCCCCAGTAGTTGTCAAGACGTTTCAACAACCGAAGCAGTGGCAACGGGAGCAGTGAATGAGCAGCGAAAAGGCGTGGCTAGCGCAATTGAGTGAACAATGCAACACCACGCCTCACTTCCATCTCATCCTCCTAGAAACTTTCATGCGCTCTAGCCCTACTCCCCTGCCACTTTCGCCTCCAGAGGAGTCCGTGCAACTACCTGCATCCTCGTGCCCTACGTTACTTGGCACCTCCCGCTGACCGACCTCTACATCGACAAGTGCCTTGGGTGGCGCGTGGGCCTTCAGGGTTCTCATTGTCCGTAAACCCGAATAGAAACTAATATTGATTCTGCTTAATTGCCCATACAAAATTACGAAACACATGGAAGAAGCCTATTCAGAAACAATCCAACACACAACACACAGCACATGGAGACAAAGTTTAAGTTTGACAACTCGCTGCGCTTGCCCAATTAATGCTTAAGTAACAAAACATTAGTTCATTGCGTTTTGCTATCTGATGAAACTCATGGGTTTTTAGGCAGTCACCGGCTAGTTGTGAAATGTCTTTTGTACGTCTTCAGCCATTTGCCTGTTAAGTAAGTGCGGAAATCTTACATCCATATTTTTACAGGAGTATCCGTCGTTCTATTCAACTCGTGACATTTTTAGTTTCATTGTTGATGCTGTAATTTGAATACGTTGTCTGCTCTATATTGCTATGTTCCTATCTTTCTTGAATGTAGTCACACATCTTATCTATACTATTGGACATTGGTTCAGTATGTGAGCCTAAATCAACATAGAACCTTTTGTTTTGAATCCGTTAATGCTTTGTTCCACAATTTGGTGAATTATGTGTCTATACCATTGCTACCATTTCATAATGAACTATAACAGTTCTTAATTACATCATGGATGTGTTGATTGGAATTGCTGGTATCCCCATTCACCATGTGATTTACAACTCTCTTGTATACTGGGAATGGGCGGTGTATGTTCACAGAATTGCAAATTTGTGTGTTTACTTGTTCTTTTGCACTCTCTCCCTATTCTTGTATTTTATACATCTGTGTATCTTCCACTGCTTCAACTGTATTTTCTCACTTCTTCATGCTGCAACCCGAAACGTGATTGTTTAATGCCTTTAGTGTAGCACATGTCTCGCATTCTTTGGAATGCATTTGCGCATGGTTTCAATCACACACTGTATACGCGCCCTGAGCCCGAAACCTCAAACCCTCCACCCTAAACCCTAAAACCCCTAAACCATAAACCCCCTAAGCCCTCAACCCTCCACCCTAAGCCCCAAACCCAAACCCCTAAACCCCAAACCCTAAACCCCCAACCCTCCCAGCACCCCCCAACTACCCTGTCTCATACCCTAAATACCCCCTATTAAGGACCATAAGGGCTCTATTAAAGGGTATTTAGGGGGTGCTGGTATACCCTAAACCCCTGGACCCTAAAACCATAAACTCTAAACTCTACACCCTAAACCCCAAAACCCTAAACCCTAAAATCCTAAACCCTAAAACCCTAAACCCTAAGTCCTTAAACCCACAGCCTCTTCGGGAGCAGGAACTGGAGCTCCTTCTGTCCGCGCTGGACGGAGGCAAGTGGGGCTGAGACCTCAGAAGTTTGGGAGTTTCTGAGAATAGGGGACCTTAATATAGCACCCGAAATAGTATTCTAAGGACCCCAAAGTAAGGTAGCCCCAATTTTCGGAGACACCCCGAAAGCTCAGGGTTCCCATAGGCCCCCGTAGTAGGGGTTCATATTTAGAAACCTATAAGGTAATCCCAAAAAGGAACTACTATGGGGCCTATGCGTTTAGGAGTTGAAGAGGTCTATGAGGGTTCTTTTCAAGAATTCGGGCTTAGGATTTAGGAGTTTAGGAGTTCAGGGTTTCAGGGCTTATGGGGTTTAGGAGTTTAGGATTTCAGGGGTTATAGGGTTGAGGAGATCAGGGTTTCCGGGCTCAGGTTCAGGAGTTTAGTTTAGGGTTTAAGGTTTAGGGTTTTAGGGTTTAGGGTTTAGGGGTTTAGGCTTTGCGGGCTTTGGGTCTAGGGTCTTGGTGCTTAGGCGTCGGGGGCTTGGAGTCAAGGTTTCGGGGTTCCATGTTGTGGTGTACATGGGGGGCCTTGGGGGTGGGTTCTTGCATTTTGGATGATCGTTCGGACTTTGGGCTTTCGAGGGTCTAGGGTTTAGGGTTCCAGGTTTCCGGTTTGGGGCTGGACGTTGAATTAATCAAGTATACGGGACTTATAATTCGCTAGGGATGATTGGGGATTGGGGGCGGGAGCAACGCAGGGATACTAGTAGCGGTAATAGTTTGGCCCCTATATAAGGGTTTCGGGTTCACCGGCTGAGGGTCCAGGTTCCTTTTTCAGGAGGGGTTTGCGGGTGTAGTGTTACGAATGGGGAAGTTTCATGACAAAGACGACTAAAGAACCCTAAGTACCAAGATCCAAACAAGGCGGCGGAAAGTTTTCGCCCTGCCCAGCTTCGTGATTCCTCACGGCTTTCTGTCACCCCACAAAGCCCTGAAAGCTTCCTCAAAGCTCTACTATCAGACCCTGCCCAGCCCTTCAACCAATGTACCCGTAGGCTCCATAGTAGTTCCTTTTTGGGGATTACCTTACAGGCTCCTAAATATGAACCACAAAAAGGAAGTACTACGATCCCCATAAATAAAAGCCGGAAATCTCCTAGGCGATGGTGAAATCGATGACTTCATTCAGCTCGCCGGCTGCATTCGGACGAAAGGACGAGGGCCGAGGGGTTCGCAGCCGGTTTACGGGGTCTTCAGCAAAAGTGAGTAACCAAAAGTGATGAACCCCTGTAGAGCATTGATACGGACTGTTATAGAAACCCTTGTAGGAACCCATACCATTAGAGTCCTCAGACCTCTGGGCTCGAGGTTTTGTGCGAGTTGTGCACCGGATTGCGGAAAGGCTTTGAGTTCCCGCCAGAGACGTGCTGGAGAGAACAGCCCGAAGTTCCGAAGACCTGATGCCTCAGCCCTAAACCCTCAAGCCCAACGCCCCCAAATTACAATCACCTAGTAGTAGAGTAGGTAACCTTTAACCGTTAACCTTTTTTTGGGTAGTATAGTCCCTTTATGTAATCCCTGTATAACCAGAAAGGTTAGCCTTTAGTTCCCCATGATACCCGACAAGTAGGATCATAAGGGGAGCGGCATAGAGATGCGCACCTGGCCTCTTCTGTGATCTAGCTATAGCCCACTCTTTGCGTACTGTACGCTTCACCAAGCCATACAGCTCTAAAGCCCCTACTTAAACCCCCCAAAGTAGGTAAAATAATGGCCCAATACCCATAAAAGGCTGTTATTCTACATACTTTTGGGGTCCAGGTAACCCCGAAACCCTTTCTGCGTGGACTTGAGGCACAAAGTCTTTGGAACATCTCTGGGTGCAGGGTTTAGAATTTAATATCGGAACCTATATTGCTACTATTTTTGTGGTTCCTTCTTGTAATTACAATTATGGTACAACATGTGTATATATATATATATACATACACACTTATATACTTATACGTATATTTATATACCCTTAAACCCTATTCTAATTATTAAGGCCCATATACTATGGTTCTGAAAAAGCAGAGTTTCGGGGCAAACGTGGTCTGAGGCTGGCGGACATGAACGGCGACGGAATGATCCAGTTTGAGGAGTTTGTGAAGTGGCTCTACGGGAGTGAGGGGCTCAGTCGCCGGTGTGTTGCGACATTCACCAGTCTGGATTCCAACGAGTGCTGACATGACACGAAACAAGCCACGTATGAGCGACTGAGAGCCTCTACGAGAACCGGGTAACAGACGCATGAGCCAAGCTGTTTCCGCTGCAGCCCTTCGGTTTTCGCAGCACTTGATAGCTTGCATCCTGATCTGCTTTCGCGATGGCGAGGCTCACAAAGACGGTAGCGGTGACCCTCATGGCCATGCTCGCTGCAGTCCTCCAGGGCTGTGGATGCGACACGAGCAACCTTGCCAGCTGCACCAGCAGCGCATCTGGCTGTGACGGACTGACCACTTACATGAACTGCGTGAAAGATGCCGGCTGCTGCGACTACGAATCCGGTGGGGCCAAGGTCAAGGACGGCTTCGAAGCGATGGTGGCCCTGGTGAATCTCGTGCCAGGAAATGACTGCACCTTGAATAGCCCTTGCTAAGCCGATCGACCACAGGCGTTCTAGGGTGTGCAGGACAGCCGTCACATGTGTAGACCTGTAGCCACTCCAATCCTGCTGTTGTCCCGCAGTCCTGTGCAGCACTAGCACGACCAAGCATGATGCCGTGGCGTCGCAATGTCGGCACCACGTCCATGCAATGCTGCCCTTGTGAGTTCAGCACTGGGCGAGGGGGGAACGATGAAAAGAGACCTCGTGCTGTTCACGTAGCTGTGGGTTCTGTCCCATCGCCGGCCGGGTTAAGGTTAGGAGATCTTTATTGTCTGGGGCTTTCTCGGGGGTTGGCGTGGCATTGGGTAGCTCCGAGCCGCAGCAGACATGACACACGAGATCACGCTAGAGCACTTGAGAACATTTAGGCCTCTATGAGAACCGAGTAACAGACGCATGAGCCAAGCTGTTTCCGCTGCAGCCCTTCGGTTTTCGCAGCACTTGATAGCTTGCATCCTGATCTGCTTTCGCGATGGCGAGGCTCACAAAGACGGTAGCGGTGACCCTCATGGCCATGCTCGCTGCAGTCCTCCAGGGCTGTGGATGCGACACGAGCAACCTTGCCAGCTGCACCAGCAGCGCATCTGGCTGTGACGGACTGACCACTTACATGAACTGCGTGAAAGATGCCGGCTGCTGCGACTACGAATCCGGTGGGGCCAAGGTCAAGGACGGCTTCGAAGCGATGGTGGCCCTGGTGAATCTAGTGCCAGGAAATGACTGCACCTTGAATAGCCCTTGCTAAGCCGATCGACCACAGGCGTGCTAGGGTGTGCAGGACAGCCGTCACATGTGTAGACCTGTAGCCACTCCAATCCTGCTGTTGTCCCGCAGTCCTGTGCAGCACTAGCACGACCAAGCATGATGCCGTGGCGTCGCAATGTCGGCACCGCGTCCATGCAATGCTGCCCTTGTGAGTTCAGCACTGGGCGAGGGGGGAACGATGAAAAGAGACCTCGTGCTGTTCACGTAGCTGTGGGTTCTGTCCCATCGGGGCAGGGTTAAGGTTAGGAGAATTTAGGAGATCTTTATTGTCTGGGGCTCTCTCGGTGGTTGGCGTGGCATTGGGTAGCTCCGAGCCGCAGCAGACACGAGATCACGCTAGAGCACTTGAGAACATCTAAGCCTCTATGAGAACCGAGTAACAGACGCATGAGCCAAGCTGTTTCCGCTGCAGCCCTTCGGTTTTCGCAGCACTTGATAGCTTGCATCCTGATCTGCTTTCGCGATGGCGAGGCTCACAAAGACGGTAGCGGTGACCCTCATGGCCATGCTCGCTGCAGTCCTCCAGGGCTGTGGATGCGACACGAGCAACCTTGCCAGCTGCACCAGCAGCGCATCTGGCTGTGACGGACTGACCACTTACATGAACTGCGTGAAAGATGCCGGCTGCTGCGACTACGAATCCGGTGGGGCCAAGGTCAAGGACGGCTTCGAAGCGATGGTGGCCCTAGTGAATCTCGTGCCAGGAAATGACTGCACCTTGAATAGCCCTTGCTAAGCCGATCGACCACAGGCGTGCTAGGGTGTGCAGGACAGCCGTCACATGTGTAGACCTGTAGCCACTCCAATCCTGCTGTTGTCCCGCAGTCCTGTGCAGCACTAGCACGACCAAGCATGATGCCGTGGCGTCGCAATGTCGGCACCACGTCCATGCAATGCTGCCCTTGTGAGTTCAGCACTGGGCGAGGTGGGAACGATGAAAAGAGACCTCGTGCTGTTCACGTAGCTGTGGGTTCTGTCCCATCGGGGCAGGGTTAAGGTTAGGAGATCTTTATTGTCTGGGGCTCTCTCGGTGGTTGGCGTGGCATTGGGTAGCTCCGAGCCGCAGCAGACATGACACACGAGATCACGCTAGAGCATTTGAGAACATCTAAGCCTCTATGAGAACCGAGTAACAGACGCATGAGCCAAGCTGTTTCCGCTGCAGCCCTTCGGTTTTCGCAGCACTTGATAGCTTGCATCCTGATCTGCTTTCACGATGGCGAGGCTCACAAAGACGGTAGCGGTGACCCTCATGGCCATGCTCGCTGCAGTCCTCCAGGGCTGTGGATGCGACACGAGCAACCTTGCCAGCTGCACCAGCAGCGCATCTGGCTGTGACGGACTGACCACTTACATGAACTGCGTGAAAGATGCCGGCTGCTGCGACTACGAATCCGGTGGGGCCAAGGTCAAGGACGGCTTCGAAGCGATGGTGGCCCTAGTGAATCTCGTGCCAGGAAATGACTGCACCTTGAATAGCCCTTGCTAAGCCGATCGACCACAGGCGTGCTAGGGTGTGCAGGACAGCCGTCACATGTGTAGACCTGTAGCCACTCCAATCCTGCTGTTGTCCCGCAGTCCTGTGCAGCACTAGCACGACCAAGCATGATGCCGTGGCGTCGCAATGTCGGCACCACGTCCATGCAATGCTACCCTTGTGAGTTCAGCACTGGGCGAGGGGGGAACGATGAAAAGAGACCTCGTGCTGTTCACGTAGCTGTGGGTTCTGTAAATCATTACCCATAGGCTCCATAGTAGTTCCTTTTTGTGGTTCATATTTAGGCTCCTATAAGGTAATCCCAAAATGCAAGTTTTTTGCGGGTCCCACCGAAAACCGCAAAGTTTCGGCGAAGCCACCCAAAGCCCCACATTACAGACACTTAAACCACGTATTATAGGGGACTAAGTAAGCACTAATACTATTTCGGGGGCGTTCCTTGTTACCTGTCTAGTATAATGGGCCGCAAGTACCTATTCTAGTTGTTAAGCCCCCTATATCATCAGCCCCGCCCCCACCCCGGAGACACCATAAAGCCCTGCTTCCCAGACACTTTGAGCCCAAACACACCAAACTCCTAAACCCTAAATCCCTAAACCCAAACCTCTAAACCCCAAACTCCTAAAACCTACCAAACTCCTAAACCCTAAACCCTAAACACCAAAAAATCCAAAACCCTAACGGGGGTGCCGGAAGCTGCCGACAGTGAGGAGCTATATTGCTAGATTGTTACCAGTACTAGTGCTATTACTAGAGTACTATTACTAGAGTACTATTTCTAGAGTACTATTACTATTACTACTGCTAGTACTAGTACTATTTCCCGAAAGGTGCCGACAGTGAGGAGCTGGAGGCAGCTGGGGAGAGCCTGGCTGTGCACTGTCCCCCTGGCATGGAGACTTCCTTGCACTCTGGGCCTTAGGGTTTTGGGGTTTAGCGGTTTAGGGTTGGGGGTTTAGGGCTTTGGGGTTTTAGGGTTTAGGGGTTTGGGGTTTACCAGCACCCCCAAATACCCTTGAATAGAGCCCTCGTGCTCCTTAATAGGGAAATTTAGGGTATGATACAGGGTAGTTGAGGGGTGCGGTGGGTGCTGGTAGGGTTTAGGGTTTAGGGTTTGCAGTTGGAGGTGTTTACGGTTTCACGTTCGGTTTGGGGGCGAAACGTTCAGGATGCAGGGTTGGCGGATTTTGGCATCTGGGGTTTCAGAGCTAAAGGGATGACATCATCCAAATCCGCTGTGTGTTGGGCTAAAGTGGAGGGGGGCAGGGATGGGTGTGGCGTGCGAGGGTGGGAGGGAAGCCAATCGGTTTCCGTAAAGTGATTGGATGCCAGAGCATGCATGCCATCAAATTGTCTTGTCAAGAAGGTGTTGGATTGTGGTACTCTCAAGGTAAAGCTGTTGAGGGTAGTATAGAGGCTTGCCTAATTGCCAATATCATGTATTCCTTACGGTTCCGATTATAGTGATCGTACACTGGACGCTTAGGCGTCTAGGCATTGGGGTTTACGGCTATGGGTTTCGCTGCTAAAGGTACTGCAACAATGCTGCGGTGATGAAAAAAAAAAAAAAAATTCCTCACTAAACTTCATTGACCGTAAACTCAACTTTTCAACTTTTGGTGTTCGATTCTGAGTTTCAACTTTTATTCCCTTGGGTTTTGGGCCAGTGAGCAACTTGGGTGTTGGGCTTAAGGGATCCTTCATGTTCGAGGGAAACAGAAATATCCCTTGATAACGGATTTGTTTCCTACGCCTTACGCCCTTTTACCCCTAAGCTAAGCCTTGGGCCCCGAACCCCAAAACCCTAAACCCCTAAACCCTTAACCCAGAAGACCACTTGAAGGATCCATGCCGCTATGGGAAGCCTGGGTCCTCAGGGGGAAGAAGTTCAGGGTGCAATTTGAGGAGTGCCTTCGGTCGTATTGGGACTAGGACTAGGATTTGGAGTTTGGCATGACTTCATGGGGGATGTCCTTGTATTTCATCATGCATCTACTTGGTTGATCATGGGATTTAGTAAGGTTACAAGAACCTGAATTGGGGTTATAAGTTTGGTTACCCTAATTATAACCCTAGTTACTAAGTCTCATGATCCTTCAAGTAGAGGAATCGAGCCTTCCGGAACCCTTGTTGAAAGCTTTCTGCAGCTCCTGATCCTTTCGCCAAGCTCCCGGCAGCGGATACTTGTACTGTGCCAAACTTTATTTCGGCTTCCGGGTCTAGGTGGTGTAGCAGGATCCATTACAGGAACCTGGATCTTACCATCCTATAGTGGGGAGAGAGCATCACCCAGCGCCAAACCGCACGCAGGGAAAGCTGAGTCCACAAATCCGCATGTTGGCAGCTTTTACCCCTGAAAGCGTTCACCACGGCCTTAGTCGGAAGGACAGCTCAACCCAAATACCCCCAAACCCAAACCGTGAACACCCCAACCCTTAAACCCCGACTCCAAATGCCAGACCCTCAAGCAATCAACACCGCAATCCCAACGCCCTATACCGGACGCCCCTGTCCAAATGCTGAAATGCTGGTCTAGAACCTTGCGCACCCTGCAAAGAAGAACGTGTAAAAACCAGAAGGTCGAACACCTATCAGTCTAAAGCTTAGCTCTTAGTACACCTTACGCACTCCACCCCCCAAAAAAAACACCCTGAGCCCTCCCCCCACCCTAAAAACCTATACTGGTAACGATTAACCCGAACTCAAACCTAACCTCCCCGAACCCCTAAACCCTGAACCCTGAACCGTAAACTTAAACCTAGCCTCCACTAAACCCTGAACCCTGAACCGTAAACTTAAACCTAGCCTCCACTAAACCCTGAACCCTGAACCGTAAACTTAAACCTAGCCTCCACTAAACCCTGAACCCTGAACCCTGAACCGTAAACTGAAACGTCCCCGAACCCCTAAACCCTGAACCCTAAACTTAAACCTAGCCCAACCTCCCCGAACCCTAAACGCTGAACCCCAAACTGAAACCTAACCCAACCTCCCTGAACCCTAAACCCTGAACCCTAAACCCTAAAGCCCGAAACCTAAACCTAACCCGACCCCCCAACCCCCCCCATGAAATAGCAGGGCCTGCTACAACCGGAAGCCTGGTCACCGAAAGAAGTACTGGCGCCTTGGGCTTTAATGATGACTTGGAGGGGCAGGGGGCTTAGTAAGGGCTCTAAAAGGGCTCCTTAGAGGGATCTCTAGGGTTCCTTAAAGGGATCTATGGGGTTTAGGGTTTAGGGTCTACTTGGAGGGGCAGGGGGCTTAGTAAGTGGGTTGTAAGTAGAGTTATAAGTACCCTAAATGGAGGTACTCCAATTATAACCCTACTTATAACCTACTTACTAAGTCCCCTGCCCATCCAAGTAGACTATAGGGTTCCTTCAAAGGGATTAGGGTTTAGGGGATTTAGGGGTTTAGGGGTTCCTTTGAAGGGATTAGGGTTCAGGGGATTTAGGGGTTCCTTTGAAAAGGGATTCGGGTTTAGGGGATTTAGGGGTTGAGGGGTTCCTTTGAAGGGATTCGGGTTTAGGGGATTTAGGGGTTTAGGGGCTTTAGGGTTCCTTTGAAGGGTTCCTGACAAGGGACCTATAAGGGATCTATGGTAGGGTTCTATCATGTAGAGGCCTTAATAATTGGATAGGGGTTCCTGTAAAGGGATATTATAGGGGTTACTATAAGGGATCTACAAGGGTCCTGGGGTTTCGGGTGTTTGGGATTTAGATTTTAGGAGTTTGGGTTTTATAGGGTTTTCGGTGGTAGGGTTTTCGGGAGTTTGGGGTGCGGCTTGGGGCTTCGGTGTTTTCCGGGGTTTATGGGATAGGGTTGAGGTGGGAGGAGGGGGTCCGATGTCTTCGACGGCTTCGGGCTTGCATAGCTTAGGGGATTAGTCTTGGAGATTTAGCGTTTTGTCATGGGGGGGGGCTAGTGGTGCCCCAAGCCCTGAACCCTTCAACCCTCGACGGCTGAACTCTGTTCTATACCGTTTCACAGGGAAGAAGAGAGATTTTGGGCTTGTGGCTTGCTCCTTACTATATGAGAAATGCTTAGTCCGGGTTCTAGCTCTGCGGATTGAGGGCAGGAGAATCTGAGAAGCTGCTTTTGCAATTAATGTGCCCCGACTCCTAAGCTCGAAACTGTAAACCCTATCTTAACCTACCAAAAACCTATGTACTTTTTTTTGTAGGGGCACTATAAATTCCATATTAGGCTTGAAAATAAGAACCTACCAAAAAAAGTAGGGTTTGGTAGGTCAAGGTATAGTTTGCTGAAGGGTTTCGATACTGGAGCTTGTCGATGTCATCGTTTCTCTGGCGGTTTCACCCGACGTGACAACGTGCTAGGCCCTATCAATGGGAGTTTCCGAAAATTTGGGGTACCTTTATTTTGGGGTCCTTATAATATGGATCCTATTAACTATATTAGGGTCCCCTTAACCTAAAACGAGATGGCCTAGCAAACGCAAAACGTCTTCTCAACATCGACGCAGGCTTTTAACACCCATAGCAAACCCACCCCCTCATAATCTCACCACGACTTTTGCGCCTTACAATGCCTGATCTTCCCAAAGCAAAAAATGAGCCGTGAGACCTTGCAGCCATTTAAACTAGACCCTGTTTTTGATTAATAGTGATAATCGTAATAACAATAACCTGAAGACGCTTAGCCTTCCTCCAGACAACAGACGACAATCCTGAAATGCGAAACCCCTTTGTTTCACATTTTATATCCTTAAATGTGGGGCCTGGAACAAATAAAATAGTAGCGGGTCTTCCCAGCATGCTTCCGTCTGAAGCCCCCATGCCCCTAGAACCCCGAAAGGAGCCCTTGAAGTGCTTGTACAGGAACCTCCGAGGAACCCTTCAAGGCCCCATTTACGAGACGTCCTTGATGGCCCCTCAAGCCTATACCCATAGGCTCCATAGTAGTTCCTTTTTGGGATTGCCTTATGGGATCCTAAATATGAACCACAAAACGGAACTACTATGGAGCCTATGGGTAAGCCTTAAAAGAAGCCCACAGAGGGGGAAGCTGCCATACAGAATCGTCGAAGTTTCACAGAGAAGGCACCCTGCAGATCCTGCAAAAAGAGACTGCCGCCGAGAGGCCTGCCGCCCCCTTGGATGCAGTATTTAGGGGCCAAAAAAGCACATAAGAATAAACATCTTATGGGGATATCCCTACCTTATTTGGGCTTCATTATAAGGGGGTTTATATGGGATATCCTTTTCCTCATTTTTGCTTATGTGCTTTTTTGGGGCCCGTGTGTGTGTGTGTGTGTGTGTGTGTGTGTGTGTGTGTGTGTGTGTGTGTGTGTGTGTGTGTGTGTGTGTGTGTGTGTGTGTGTGTGGTTTAGGGGCTCAGGGTTTCGGGTTCTGTGTTGAAGTTATGTGATTCTTTTCCGTTGAGGGGTCAGGGGTTACTGTGTTAGCTTTTTCTTTTGCAAAGTCTATAGCTGTTTCTCCTCTGAAGGGGTGCTGTAGGAGGTGCTAGAGGGTATATAATATGTTTCGTTTGTAAGATATGACATGTTGGTTTTTATGTGGGGCTTTCTAGTGTATCGACAGGCTTAATAGGTGTTGTTTCGATCCGGTTGTATCCGACACTTGGGCCCAGCCGGTTCTTGTTAAATAGGATTCCCTAGAGTGTATTAGCGTTTGATAGATCGGGGGGTTCTCAAATGCATCTTTGTAACACTGTATGCCCTAAATTTCTGAAACTCTCGCACTGGGGGATAAGGTTTCCAGAGCAAGTCAGACGACGTGGCGTTGAGTCTTCTCAGGATCTGATGGGTGTAGGTGCGAGTGCAAGATTTCAGCGATTGGAGGATGAAGGGTTGAGAACGACCGCGAAACATCCTCCCTGAAACCGTGAAGACAGAAGCCCAAACCCCAAGAACAGAGCCTTGAAACCTTACATCAGAAAGTTTTTTAGCCTTTATAGTAGCCCGTAGAGACCCCTAATTATCGTGGAACCCTATTCAAATTGCTCAAAAACCCGAAATTTCAGGCAAAAAAGCCCTTTCAGGCTACGGCTCCGGCTGCTACAGGCGGAGCACAGCCCATCTGGAGCGGTATGCGCACCCCGGAGATCGCAACTACCGCAAGGCAGGCTCTATCCATAGGCTCCATAGTAGTTGCTTTTTGGGATTACCTTTTAGGATCCTAAATATGAACCACAAAAAGGAACTACTATGGAGCCTGTGGGTAGACACCAGACCCCAGTGAGGATAGAGTGTTGAGGGTTCAGACTTGATTTCCCGGGATGTAGGATGGATGAGTCTTTCCAGCCTTCGTCGCCTTCGTCTCACTTGAGCCGATGTGCAGCTTATGTTCTTTGTCATAGTTGGGTAACATTTTATATTTCTATGGGTACTTAAACCCAATACGGAATAAAAATGTACATAGTTAGTCCTATCCCAGCCATGAACTAGTGTTGTGCAAACTTGATTCGGAGAGTATTCTTTCGTCGTCGTATGGCGTGTGCGTTGGGCAGCTCGTGGAAACGGAAGACTCCCTGAGTCTTCTCCACGGCATTGGCAAAGAAAGATACGGGTCTTCAATGACAAACCCTGAACCCTAAACCGAGGAAACTTCGAAAGTCAATACCAGACACCAACCCCCCAGCCCCCTCCGCCGAAACCATAACTCGTTGACGTTGCCCTTCCCCTCAATTTCGGAAGCAGGTTGGAACCATGCAAAACATAATAAACTTATGTTGAATTCGCTCATATGGGTATCTATACACACAATACAGAGAAATATGAAAAGAGTACAGCAGTCGAGCCGCCAGGGGCTTGTCAAATTCGGCAGCCATCGGCCGCAGTTCGAGACTCTGTTGCAGCTGTTTGACTTCCACGATCCAGAGGACAGGGTCGTACCCTAAACCGCAAGGTTGGGTTTGGGGTTCTTGGTTGGATACTGCCCCCACTCAGTAACAGTTGGATAATGTTCATAAGATAGATGTATTAGGCCCTTAATAGTACCCATAGGCCCCAAAGTAGTTCCTTTTTGGGATTACCTTATAGGATTCTATATATGAACCCCAAACATCAACTACTTTGGGGCCTTAGGGTAGCCCTGTTATAGACTGTTACTGTATGGGGGCAGTATCCAAGCCTTCACTGGGACTCTGCCTGTGGGTTATGGATATGTTAGCTTGGGGTTTAGAGTAGTTTAGGGTTTAGGGTTTAGGGGTTTAGGGGTTTAGGTTTTCAGTGGCTTTCGGAGTGTGTCGAAGAGACTTCCTGAGGGGCTCGCAGGGGACAAAGTTTCTTTCTGGTCTCATAAGTTTGTGCAATGTCTCATCGTGATCTACAGCTACTACATCACCGCACGTTTTTGTGGGGAGTTTCACAAGGTTGTCTTCCCATGTAGAAACTCTCTTGCATGTGCGAGCACTTTAACCGGTTTCACACAACATAGATAGATTCAGAAAGAGATTCATGGGGCCATAGTGGGTTGGGTGTTATACAAGAGGTCTTCTGCCGCTCCATGAGAGACCCCTATCAAAAGACTTGACCCGTCTTTGGATTGAGTAATACTGAGGCCTGAAACCTAGCATGGGGTGCTGTGTAGAGAAGTACAAACAATCAGGAACTTTGCGGTGAATATAATGACTCACTATTCGCACGCCTGTGTTACCGTGGGGCTTGGGGGTTTGGTGGCTTCTGGGGTTTGCGGCTGGAGGAGTTTGCGGGACTGGTAGTTGCAGCTTCAGGCAAAACACCTGTAAGGTTAAGTTCGAAAGTGACCCTCCGTTAATGGCACCCCTGGAGGAGTCCGGATACCTGCAGAAGGCCAGGGCTGCATTTTCGACCACACAAGCACCCAAACTGCAATCTCCCTGCTGTATGCTCCTGCAGCATGTGCTTCGTTGTTACTTACCTTTGGTTAGTAGGGAATGAAGGAATGATAGTAATATATAGTATAATAGTACCCATTCCTTCATTCCCTACTAACCAAAGGTAAGGTTATGTGTGAGCTGGTCTGCAAACTGCTGTTGCTGTTTTCAAGATTCGGGATGGCTTGTAAAATCTGGTTGAAGTTCGAGGTTTCAGGTTTGCGAGTTTTGTAGTGTACGGTTATTGGGCTCGGTTGTGAGCTGATCGGGCAAATAGGTTGAGTTCTGGAAATAGTGATTTCGGGTACGACTTCTGCAGGAAAACATCGCGGAGCCCGTTACTGCATGCTGCCATGTAGCCACCAACCTGCATCCAAAACCGAGCCTCAAGCAGGAACGCCAAATATAGGGGCCTTAATAATTTCCTGGACTATTTTGTGGGTTCCTTACTATAAGTATAATCTGATGTATTCAAAACTCTGTTCGAATTATTGAGGCCCCTATATTATGTAGACCCCTTTAAAAGGAACCCTTTGAAGAAGCCCTATTCTAATTATTAATGCCCTATATTATAGCGCTACAGTCTGGTCACGAGCCCGTGAACAGAAAGTCTTAAGGACTCAAGACCTAAAATCGGTTTAGGGTTTATAGGTTAGGAGCTGTTCCCACCCTGTAATAGTGACTATAAGGATTATATTAGGGCCCTATTATATTCCTATTATACCACTATTACAGGGTAGGGGCCCCTTCTAATGTATAGGGTTCAGGGTTTAGAGTATACGGACCCAAAATCCTACGACGTCTGATCCTACGGCCCCGACAAGAGAATGTGCGAAGATGCAGGAGGAGTTCGGTCAAACTTTCGAGTACTGCAGCAAGGATAACTCAGGACCCCATCATGTTGTCGCATTTTGGATGAATGTGTAGACTTGAGGATGTGGAGTTTAGGGTTTTGGGATGTGTGAAGAGCTTTTGAGGGCTTGAAGATTTGGGGCTGGCGATTCTATACCCTAAACCCTAAATTCCTAAACCCTAAACCCTATACCCTAAACCCTAAACTCCTAAACCCCGAAACCCTAAACCGTTCTGCGATTCTATACCCTAAACCCTAAACTCCTAAACCCCGAAACCCTAAACCGTTCTACCATTCTATACCCTAAACCCTAAACTCCTAAACCCCGAAACCCTAAACCGTTCTGCGATTCTATACCCTAAACCCTAAATTCCTAAACCCCGAAACCCTAAGCCGTTCTGCGATTCTATACCCTAAACCCTAAACTCCTCTAAACCTTTCTGCGATTCTATACCCTAAACCCTAAACTCCTAAACCCCGAAACCCTAAACCGTTCTGCGATTCTATACCCTAAACCCTAAACTCCTAAACCCCGAAACCCTAAACCGTTCTGCGATTCTATACCCTAAACCCTAAACTCCTAAACCCCGAAACCCTAAACCGTTCTACCATTCTATACCCTAAACCCTAAACTCCTAAACCCCGAAACCCTAAACCGTTCTGCGATTCTATACCCTAAACCCTAAACTCCTAAACCCCGAAACCCTAAACCGTTCTGCGATTCTATACCCTAAACCCTAAGCTCCTCAACCCCGAAACCCTAAACCGTTCTGCGAGTCGATACCCTAAACCCTAAACTCCTAAACCCCGAAACCCTAAACCGTTCTGCGATTCTATACCCTAAACCCTAAACTCCTGAACCCCGAAACCGTAAACCGTTCTGCGATTCTATACCCTAAACCCTAAACTCCTAAAGCCCGAAACCCTCAACCGTTCTGCGATTCTATACCCTAAACCCTAAACTCCTAAACCCCGAAACCCTCAACCGTTCTGCGATTCTATACCCTAAACCCTAAACTCCTAAACCCCGAAACCCTAAACCGTTCTGCGGTTCTATACCCTAAACCCTAAACTCCTAAACCCCGAAACTCTAAACCGTTCTGCGATTCTATACCCTAAACCCTAAACTCCTGAAAAACCCTAAACCGAATACCCTAAACCCTAAACTCCTAAACCCCGAAACTCTAAACTTCTGCGATTCTATACCCTAAACCCTAAACTCCTAAACCCCGAAACCCTAAACCGTTCCGATTCTATACCCTAAACCCTAAATTCCTAAAGCCCGAAACCCTAAACCGTTCTGCGATTCTATACCCTAAACCCTAAACTCCTAAACCCCGAAACCGTAAACCGTTCTGCGATTCTATACCCTAAACCCTAAACTCCTAAACCCCGAAACCCTAAACCGTTCTACCATTCTATACCCTAAACCCTAAACTCCTAAACCCAGAAACCCTAAACCGCTCTGCGATTCTATACCCTAAACCCTAAACTCCTAAACACCGAAACCTTAAACCGTTCTGCGAGTCTATACCCTAAACCCTAAACTCCTAAACCCCGAAACCCTAAACCGTTCTGCGATTCTATACCCTAGACCCTAAACTCCTAAACCCCGAAACCCTAAACCGTTCTGCGATTCTATACCCTAAACCCTAAACTCCTAAACCCCGAAACCCTAAACCGTTTCTACCATTCTATACCCTAAACCCTAAACTCCTAAACCCCGAAACCCTAAACCGTTCTGCGATTCTATACCCTAAACCCTAAACTCCTCTAAACCGTTCTGCGATTCTATACCCTAAACCCTAAACTCCTAAACCCCGAAACTCTAAACCGTTCTGCGGTTCTATACCCTAAACCCCAAACTCCTAAACCCCGAAACCCTAAACCGTTCTGCGATTCTATACCCTAAACCCTAAACTCCTAAACCCCGAAACCCTAAACCGTTCTGCGATTCTATACCCTAAACCCTAAACCCTAAACCCCGAAACCCTAAACCGTTCTGCTTTCTATACCCTAAACCCTAAACTCCTAAACCCCGAAACCCTAAACCGTTCTGCGATTCTATACCCTAAACTCCTAAACCCCGAAACCCTAAACCGTTCTGCTGTTCTATACCCTAAACCCTAAACTCCTAAACCCCGAAACCCTAAACCGTTCTACCTGCGGCTCAGAAGCCGAGTCATCTTAGGGATTCTGGATGTGGGTGGTTTGTCAAAAGTATAGTCCCTTTTGGGGTTCCTAATCTAGGTAGGTCTTTGGGACATTTTATACTTTCCCTTATTGGGCTTAAGAGGATCTTATCTACTAATATTTTTCAACAGCTTCAAAAGCCCCACCTAGTAATATGATACGGCACCTACTATTTAGGGCACCCCAAAAGGGACCCTAATTTTGACAACTACCCATGTACAGGGCGTTGGGGCCTTCGAGGGTTTAGCTTTGGCTGAACTCGGCTGCCTTCAATTAGGGTTTAGGGGTTTAGATGTTTAGGGTGTAGGGGTTTAGGGTTTACGGTTTAGGGGATCAGGGTATAGGGTTTAGGGTTTTGGGGTTTAGGGTTTTAGGGGTTAGGGCCAATGTCAGGAACCCAATTGGGGATCCAGCAGTCAACTTACGAGTGTGCAGAGTGTTCATATTCTAATAGTTTCTTTTTCTCAATGACGTTCTCATCATCCTTGCTGTGGTGGTAGTCTAGTAGTGGCAGCAATACTACTTCAAGAGTCCGCCCCGAAATCCCTGATCCCCAAACTCCTCAAACCTAATATAAAGCCCTGCATCCTGAAACCCTTCAGCACAAGCGCCACATGCCTAGAGATTCTGAATAACTGGTAACAGTGTCTCATGAGTCTCATACTACACACGCCCATTCTAACTGTTGAGACACCGAACTCCTTGTAAATCGTGGAAAGCTTTCCAAAGCCCATCTTATAGACCCACAAACACCCGGTAAAGCACACGCCTGCAGGAGCTGAGCAAATCGACAGCGAGTGGGAGGCAGCAGGTGGTACAGCCACGGGCCTCTTCAACCGCAAATATGCTCGAGCTTCGGTTGTCGCTGTTTAATCGGGTTTTGTCAGGTTGGTAATCCTGATAAGCCCAACCCGAAGGCACATCAAAGCTTCACGAACCTCGCGGACGGTACCATCTCATTTGTATTCATTTTCATAGCTTGCACATGCAAACAGACATAAAGGCATGCTGTATACATATGCTTATGCATTTGTTTATACGATGCAGTGCATACACAGCATATACGCGCATGTGTGCATGCATGTATATCTGCATGGTTAAGATTCATATGTGTAGCTGCAGATTCACTTTAGATAAGATATTTGCTCACGTCTATATGTGTGCCTGTGTGTATATGCATACATGCAGAATATACACACATAAAATCAGAAATTGTCCTTCAGGCTTGACAACCGCAACAAAGGGCACAGAGCTCTGAATCAAGAAACGTCCCCCACGAACTGGACTTTGCAGCCCGCCACTATCAACGCTGGAAGCTTTACATGCCGAAACCCAAGGCTATGTGAATTTTTCGCGCTTCGCCAGCTGGGCTGCGCAACACTGCTCGCTGCCGATAGGCCGGACATTACCGTTGGGTTAACGGTTAACATCTATTCGATATGTGCGGTTTCAGGGTTGAGGCTTCAGTGCTTTCAAGGTTGCAGGGCCTGCGGCGGAAGCTGAACAAAGGCCACTGGCTCCACAGTGGCGACCCAGGACTGCTCCCAGCTTCGGATTCAACCTGAACTGGAAGCCTGTGATTCCACAACTATATGGGAGTTTCCGAAAGTTAGGGGTACCTTATTTTGGGGTCCTTCTAATAAGGATCCCACTATTTAGGGTACTATATTAGGGCCCCCTATTTACTGAAACTCCCATATATGGGTTATATCAGGCCTATGAATTAATAATTATATCCCTTAAGATAGTACCAGTCAGGTTCTGGATGGACGGGTAAGAATAGTCTGCAGAACACAACTGCTTCGAGCACTGTTTGAGTAACGTTGACAGTGCCGTGTTTCAAGAAGGCGGCTGTGCTGATAGTCGGCAGCACAAACATGCTAATGAACTCGGAACACACCTCCTGAACCCCAAACCCCAAACTGCTTCAAGAGATCCGAGCGAAGCGTAGCCCATTCCACAGCTTTGTTTTGTATCAGATGCGCGTTGACATGGCGAACGTTACATAATCCACCACCTGAGCTGTAAACCCTAGAGCCTATAAAGAGTCTGTGGTTGAGGGCTTATAGTGTTTAGGGTTCAGACACCCTTAAAACAACAAGTTCGAGACTCTCGGGACCCCTGGCCACTGATATGCACACAGTTGCCGAGCAACAGGGAGTGTATACTACCCTAAGGCCCCAAAGTAGTTCCGTTTTGGGATTACCCTATAGGATTCTATATATGAGCCCCAAAAAGGAACTACTTTGGGGCCTTAGGGTAGTCTCACGACTATGCTGTAGTATAGTCCCTATGTAATCCTTATATAACCAAAAAGGTTAACCTTTAGTTCCCCATGATACCCGACAAGTAGACTAAAGCCCAATCCGAAGGGCTTAGCGAAGCCGGTCAGTCGAGACCCTGCCAGCGACCTGTCTGAAAGTTGAGATCCAGGCTTTGATGTAGGGGCCTAAATGATTACCAACACTATTGTGGTGGTTCCTTACTTCGCGAAACCCTATGCTATTACTGCCCGATCGTTGAGGGGTTTGGGGTTATTGGGTTTGAGGATTTACGGGTTTAGAGGCTTAAGAGTTAAGGGCTTTGGGCCTTTAGGCCTTCGGGCTTCAGGGTCATTGTCCAGAGTTTCAGTTGTCGCGGTTGAGGGGTCTGCTTGAACATGTAAGACGAGGGTCGGATCGAGCAGTTTAATATAGGGCCCAAATAGCTACCTATACTATTTTGAGGTTCCTTGTTTATAGTTATAGTAGAGCATACCAATCTACCCTCAGAACCCCATTCTAATAATTGAGGCACCTACATGACAGCTACCATAGAGCTCTGAAGAGGTGTTAATCGTCTCCACATGCAGTCCCTCACCAGATGTATGTTTTAATCTACCCGCAAGCCATATTGCAAGCAGTAAGGCCCTTGTTTGTAGGAGTAGTAGTAGTAGTAGCAGTAGTAGTAGTAGTAGTAGTAGTAGTAGTAGTAGTAGTAGTAGTAGGTTGTAGCAGCAGCAGCAGCAGCAGCAGCAGAAGTAGCCGGAGAAGTACTTGTATTATTATCATTAGTAGTACTAGCAGCAGCAGGAGGAAAAGTAGTAGGGTCCGGGGGATGGTGATGCTATGAGTTGCGATTTTCGGAACGGTAGCGACGACAGCATGCGAGGTTACTGGTGCGAATAGCAACAGTAAGCAATCAAATGTTGAGCTCAGGTTCCGCAACCGCGATGGTGACGACAGCTCCTGTAGCTACTCGGAGACTATTGTTTTGCATGATGGGTCTGAGGTCTACGATTTAGGGGATGGATTTGGGGTTCGTTTTGTGTTGTTGAGGTTTTAGGCCATAAAACAAAAAACATGGTTGATGCATACGTATCTAGGGTCTAGCATGTTCGTGTGATTGTTCTCTTGTAGAGAGCGCGGTTCTTGTCTTAGCTTTCAGTTTCCTCTACCGCCACGCCTACTGTATAGGCTCGGATTTATTGCTGCCTTCAATAAATCCACGTTTGTTTGGCAACGACTGTGTGCACACATTGGGGACTGGCGAATGAATCGCCACCCAGTCCGGATACCCCAAACTGACGAGGTGGTGAATAGGGAGAGGGTTCAACTGAGGAAGGGGCTGTTGCACTTTGTTAGGTCGCCCTGCAAGGTGTAGTTTTATCTAGTCGCTGGCTGGAGGACCCTAACGACGGGACCCTATAGCTGGCACATCAAGCAAGCCAAAGCTTCAACGGTGTTACAGCCTCAACACAAACCTTGAGAAACCCACAGGGAAAAACTTAGACCCTTACTCTACCATACCCTAAGGCCCCAAAGCAGTTCCTTTTTGGGGTTCATATATAGAATCCTATAGGGTAATCCCAAAGGGAACTACTTTGGGGCCTATGGGTAACCACTGAGAGCTGAATCCCGTACTTAAAGGATCATGGGACTTAGTAACTAGGGTTATAAGTAGTGTAACTATACTTATAACCCTAATTCAAGTACTTAGAACCTTACTTACTAAGTCCCATGATCCTCCAAGTAGTCCGAAACCACGGACCAGAGGAGCCTCAGCAGACTTAGACTTTCAACATGGGCCCGACCGAGGCTGTGCCGAGTTTTCCGCGGTTGGGTCTGGAAGACTCTGTGACCTGGTGGCACTCCGGGAAGTATACTAAGATCCCCAATACCCAACCTTTAAACTTTTTGGGCTCTTATAGTTTGGTAGGAATCGGAAAGTTTAACCTTTCATTTCTGTGGCTTATTTAAGTAAGTATGAGCACGTCCCGTTCTCAGGGTCCTATGAGCTCCGGATGGTTCTTCGCAGGTAGCCGGCCCTAGCCGGCCCGAATCCATCAAGCCAAATCGGGAACGCCTGTAGCTTGAACCTCGAACACTTAAAGGATCATGGGACTTAGTAACTAGGGTTACAACTAGGGTAACTATACTTATAACCCTAATTCAGGTACTTAGAACCTTACTTACTAAGTCCCATGATCCTCCACGCACCTCTGCCTTCATGAGCTTTCGTTTGACCCTTTTACTTCTGCCCCGTAGCTGGAAGGTGAGTGTGGCCACAAAGAGAGCTGTCACAGGCCAGGAACCGCTCCGCTTGGAAGGATGCGCTGGATGCTTTAGGGACCTCTTCATGGCCCGCATTAATTGGAACAGGGTTCCTTTGAGGGTTCTAGATAAAGGCTTCCGAGCACCACTTCGAGATACTATTACCTGTTGGGACCCCTTGCTGGGTCGCGAGTTCTCGACGTGTTTGGTTCTAAAAGGGAGTTTCCGAAAATAGGGGACCCTAATATAGCACCCTAGATAGTAGGATCCCTATCATAAGGACCCCAGAAAACAGCCTCACACGCTTTCGGTGCCGATGCACCGCTGCCGCAGGTCAATCGCAGATGTCTTGTCCATCGGAGAGGATGCGCTGAAGCATTGGCAAACCGCCGACGACGGCTCTTTGCTGGATGGGCTGGTGAACGTTGAAAGCGACGATGTCATCAGCAGAATGCAGGACGTGTGCACTTTGCAGCCTAGTGAGCTGCAACTTCAGCTTACTCGTGCCTGAAACCCACGCTAATCGCAATGGTCGCAGCGAAGTATAGATGCAGCAACAGGCAGGACACATGGGTCTATGCACTCCAAAACCTTCTTTTTCGAGGTTAAGGCTTTAAGGGTTTTGGGTGTAAGGTTTAGGGTCTAGCAGATTCTCTAGGTGGCAATTTGGGAAACTTGTTAATTTCCCTTATGGTTTCTATAGAGGTACCTATTCATAAATACTTTTCAGAGCCCCAAAACTACAACCCAGTTCGAGCAAATCGGACGCAGAACGGCAAAGCGACAGCCCCGGGAGACCCCATGGTCCTGAGATAGAGCCGCAAGGGGTTGAGGGTTTAGGGTTTAGGGTTTAGGGGTTTAGGGTTTAGGGTTTAGGGGTTTAGGGTTTAGGGGTTTAGGGTTTAGGGTTAAGTTCGAGGTAGGTTTACCCTAAGGGCCCAAAGTAGTTCCTTTTCGGGGGTTCATATATGGAATCCTTTAGGGTAATCCCAAACAGGAACTACTTTGGGGCCTTAGGGTAGCATAGGTTCCTAGAAGTCGAGTAGGGAACCTTTAACCCTTTTTGGGTGGTATAGTCCCTATTTAATCCCTATGTAACCAAAAAGGTTAACCTGTAGTTCCCCATGATACCCGACAACTAGGGGTTTAGAACAAAGGATTTTGGAAGCCGCTTCGAGGATCACGGTCAGAATACGGGCCGATAACACTGACCCCCAAGCCCCAAACTTAGCCATGAAAAATCAGCCCTTCAACCCTGTCAGCTTTAACCCTGACATAGACCACTGACCCAAACCTTACCTTTAAACCCGAAACCTGGCAAAACCCTTACCTCAATCCCGAATTTAGGGGCCTTCATTAATAATTACGCATACAAAGTTGGGGGTTCCTTATATTATAACCTAGTCCAGTCAAATTGTTAAGGCCCCTGGATTATAGTACCCTTATGGATCCCTCATAGTAGCCCTTATAGAACCCCTTGAGGGAACCCTGTTCTAATTCTGAAGGCCCCCAGGTTAGATCTCGAAGCTCCACCGGAGCTTTTCAACCAGATGCACCCCCCAGTCCCTAAACCCTAAATCCTTAGCCCTGAATAACCTACCATTTTAGGGTTCCTGATTAATATTTCCTTAAAGTCCTGAAAAAGGTAGGTCCTTCAGGGTTAATGCCTTAAACCCTAAATCCTAAACCCTAAACCAGGAGCTTTTCAACCAGACACACAAGACCAGCGACAACTGGACCCGGGACCGCGGCTGCGCTCTCCATGGTCGGAGCCATCCTGAGCGAACTGGGCGAATACACGTGTAAAAACCTAGGGTTCCTTTGAAGGGGTCTATAAGGGCTACTATAAGGGATCCACAAGGGTACTATATTATTCTAGTCGTATTATGAAGGGGACTTATGTAGGAACATGATTTAAGAAACCCTGGCCCTATAACCCCCAATACATGAGGATTCATATTAATATAAGGAACCCCAATAAGGACCCAGGGTTTCTTAATCGGGTTCCCACATTAGAACACTTGCTTAGGAAGGTGCTTACAATGAAGCGTGTTATAAAGGTGCCGCAATGGTTATATCGTATGGTTATATAGTAGTATTTTTCCTGGCCTCTGGATGCTTTACTCACACTGCACTATCTCACAAATCCTACCAGTGTTAGAAGTCAATAGCACCACTTATGTCAGCTCTAGGTGCGACGCCGGCTGTCTACGGAAGAATGGCCACCGAGTTCCAAAGGGCTTCGTCGTCAAGAAGGCGAAGACTTATGTACTATAGGGGCCTAAAAAATTACCTAAGCTGGTTTGATGGTTCCTGATTACAGTTATAGTATACTGTGCCCCCAAAACCTAGTTTAATTATTACCCTAAGGCCCCAAAGTAGTTCATTTTTGGGGTTCATATATAGAATCCTATAAGGTAATCCCAAAAAGGAACTACTATGGGGCCTGTGGGTACGGCCGCTATATTAGGGCGCGAGGGTAAGGATCTGCGAGTCGGGATCAGGGTTTGCGGTTTTGTTCATACGGGAGTTTCTGAAAAGTTAGGGGTGCAGTATTTTGGGGTCCTTACAATAAGGATCCTACTATTTTAGGGTCTTATCTTGTGGTGCTCAAATTTCGGAAACTCCCATATGCTTTACCGACCCAAACGAGAGATTCGAATTCCGCTTGGGGTGTGGTATCGCTGTTTTCTGCCACTTTAAAGGATTCATCGTTACAGCAACCCCTCAAAACCCTAAGCCCAAGAACCATATAATTAGAAGCTTTGAGTAATGCGACCCTTACAGTACCGTTCACCAGCACCCTATGCTTCCGTCTCGGCATTCCTTATTGTAATTGTAGTATCAGGGGCCCAAAAACCCTATTCTAATCATGAAGGCCCCTATATTACGGGGCTTGCGGGCCTGAATCATTGAGGGCCCTTCCTGCTCCAGGTTTTCCGAAATCAGAACCTTGACCTGTGGAAGCATTACGCTCCTTGGCTTGCCAGAGGGTCCAAGTACCCAAATAGTACAGTAGGGTTTCAGGTCCCAAAATCCATACTCTGAATGGATTTTGCCCCTTGAAACCCTACTATTTGGTTACTTGGACCCTTAGGGCTTGCTACCCTGTCTGTCATCGCAACTGTTAGTCAGGTAGTCTGCAGAATCATGTTTCTCACTTCGAGTCATGGTTATGTATGAGCGCTGTCAGCATGGTTCCTGGGACAATAATGTGTTTGCTTGATAATAAGACCGTGCGGACCACTCCATCGAGGAGATTTGCAGTAGAAGTAAAAAAGCTCGATAAGCGCTCCCAGTTATTAAGGAGTATTCTTCAATTTACAGCCCGAAGAAGGTCCGCCCCCAAAAGGGAGATTGGCACTGCGCAGCCCCTTGAGGTGTTGATGCGGAATGCCATCAGTAGCGAGTGTGGTGAGGATTCCAGCTTCTCCAGTGTCTCTGTGCATGCGGACGTCACGGTGGAAGCCGGCATCTAGGTACTGATGGATCGGCTTGGGGGTTAGCAGCAGGGGAGTCCGTCAGGTTTGGGGCTCATGATAAATAGAGTTTGGTGTGTTGGTGGTAGAATGTCTACGGCCCTTTCCTCGTTTCGAGAAGCTTTTTCATCCGATTCTAGCGCTTATCCAGATGAGGAAGAAGTTCTCCGCACTTCTTGGCATGACGGAACCCATGACCTAGGTATGTCCGACACCAGCAACGAGTGGCGCCTATTTCACGGCACGAACATCGATGCCTCGCGTGGGATATGCGGAAGCAACTTTCGCTTGGCCCTTTCGGGCCGCCAGTCTCGAACTGTCGGGGCGAAGCTCCTAATATAGGGGCCTGAATCATTACCTAAACTATTTTGGGGGTTCCTTGTTGTAAGTATAGTATAGTATATACCCCCAAACCCCTATTCTAATTATCAAGGGCTGTATATTAGGGCCCTCGGGCCCGGAAGAGGAGGGTTTGATCTACAACTTTGAAGCTCGACATACTGGAAAGCAAGGCAGACTAATCGTGAAGTGAAGGGTGTTCGTGAAAAAGCAGTGCAACCCATGACCCTCGAGCCCTAAGAAGCTTACCATTGCCCTTTGACTCTATAGGCCCCGTGTAGACCTCTTGACTATCTTCCAAATACAGACTATCAGAAGCTACAGGGATCTTATTGAAGAGTATGAGGGTGGTTCTCTGTGACTTGGAGCTTCTCACCCGTAAAGTAGGGGCCTTAATAATTAGATGGGGTTTTGGAGCCCATTATACTATAGTTATAATAAGTTAACCCCCAAAGCAGTATAGGTAATTATTGAGGCCCCTGTCGTACCGCCCTTACCTCTTGCATTTCGCGAGCCTCCGCTGTACAGGCACCGGTGCTACTTGGAAGGAGCCTGGGGAAGCAAAAGGCTCTCCGCTCTATGGCTTCGGAATCTATCTCGCAGACGCCTGGGCTGAGAGTGGGGAGAACTTCCGAGTGTGGTAAAAGTCTTCAGGGCAAGGGGTGAATGGCTTGCACGGGTCTAGGGTTTGGGGTCCATCAATTTGGGGATTTTGTTTCCGGGCTTCGATGTTTGCAAAGCGGAGTTCTGTGTCACTTCCGGGATCAAATTTTCGGTTGAGACTCTCGGTGCGAGGATTAAGATGGCTATGGTCGTGAGAGGAAGCATAATGCCGGCGCAAGTAGTCGTAGTCAACGGGAGGAGCCAATGTTTCCATGCAGGTCTTGAAGCAGAGAACCAGTAATTACGCGAGAACCAATAGCAGCTAGAACCAAGACGGCAACGAGTAACAGCAAACAGAGCTACTTACGGCGAGGCTGTAGGTTGTAGACCCATATAGATCACACCTACAATCTGAAGGAGATGGTCACGAAGTCGGATGAGTACGCCGACCCCCTGCCCGAGGGCGAGGAAGAGGAAGGCCTACACGCCATGCTAGTGGTACGATGCGTTGGAGGTCGCGCGAACGCACCTTGGCTCCAAATACAGAAGCGTTTACGAATCCTACACCCCAAACCCGGTTCGGCAAGCTCAACCTTTCGGATTTTGGGAAGCGGTCATCAAAGTCGCGAGCGTTCGTAGGATGATTTGCTTCTCCGTGCAGTTTCTATGTTGGGGGGGGGCCTTTAATGGAAACCTAGTTGCAGGGTCGGCTGAGCATACTTTCACGGAGTATTCGTATCTCGAACAGATCAGAGTCTCACTGACTGCCTAGAGGTAATATAGCGGCCTTTTATCATTACTTGGACTATTTTGGGAGGTTCCTTATTGTAGCTATAGTATAATATACCGTAACCCCAAAACCGTATTCTAATCTTTAAGGCCCTAAATTGGGTTAATCAGCGCGGTTTAAGCTACTAGGCCAGGGATAGCAAACACCTACTGTATCTGCTTCTATAAGCATACACATCTATATATAACTGCATACACATACATATATATATATATATGTTTATATGTATATACATATGCATATACATGTACATGAGTAGCCTTATATATTGATAGATTGGTTTCTGCCTCTCCCCTTCTCTCGGTCGCTCGCTCTAGTAAGCTAGTATGGTTATTGTTCCTTCAACAGTTTGGCTATACTTTGGCTACACAGCCCGAAATGCTGTGTTGGAAGAGCTGGCCTCAGGATGCCATTCCAGCTATGAAGGCCCTGTAGTAGGTTTGCCTTTGTCTCAAACCGTCGGACACCTGGAATTCATGGGAGGATGTCACACGGGTCTGCAATGAGGAGCCTAGTATTTAGGAATTTGGGTCCTATGGCTCTAATGTAGGGCCCCTTCTACTGCGAAACTCCCATGCAGTGCCAGGATCTCCACATCACAATTCCGGTCGCTCATGTTGTGCCAAATACAGGGGAATTATAGGGGTCTTAATAATTAGAATGGTTCTGGGGCCCACTACACTACACTTATGACAAGGAACTCCCCCAAATGGTCTTGGGAATTATCTAGGGCCTATATTAGCCAACTTGCGTGGAAGGTGATCGAGACAAATGAGATCGACAAGGAGCAGTTGAAGAAAGAAGTCTTCGACGGCCCATACCACTCTGTCTTCGGTGACAGAGTGAAGACATTAGGCAAGCCCTACCGGGAGATCATCGTGTACGACAAAGATCAGATTTATCCTGAGTATCTTGTACTTTACGAGAGGCTGTTCAAAAAATGAGTTGGTGTCACAAGACGTGATGCCAAGAAGCCTCAGTGTGCTCGTTAATGTACTGCCGACACCCTGCACCAAAGTTAGTGCATCGTGTTTGCTTTAAGAGCTGCAATGTTTTCCTAGTGCTGTTTTTTGCTTCTGCTGGCCAATCGCAGCCGAAGTAGAACCCCCGCGATCCAAAGACCTCATTGCTCAGTTGCGCCTTCGTGCCGAAAGTCTCCTCGTCCTCCGTGTAACGCTGGCATGGTATGTGCTAGGTGTATATTAGTCTTGTTATACTACTATTCTGCTAGCAGTATCGCCTTTTTACTGTCCGAGCGGTGCCTTGTCACAAGTTTGTCACTGACGCACACCCAGCTGTCATTGACTCACTCACAAAATGACTCGCAAAGGTCTTGCTCAAGAGGAGTTGGAGCCGGCGAGGCACGCAGCAGTGCGTTCCTTGACATCCTGTCCGGCACGTGAGAAGGTCATTAGTGACTGCCAATATCTTGGGCATGTCTCGGACTAGAAGAACTGGCACGTAGTCTGCTGGTTCAGATTGTCTGTCGTGGTAGGCGTAGAAAAGGTAGTTTCAGACATAGACAAACAGCAGCACTCGTGTGTAATAATGTTGCAGGCCATCTTTTGGCTCTTTTACAGAGCTATATTGTTGGCATATCATTTCATGACGGTTCATGTTGCACGAATCAGAACACCTCTTACTAGGAACGGTTCCTAGTACATGACTACCATTCGTCGGTGTTTGGCAGTCTGGAATTTTCTTATAGTCATAGAAGTTGCTCGCTTGCTTTCAGTTTCTTGTCCTGGTCGTTCCAAAAAGCGAGCACGAAGCCGTAATGTCCCCAAAGCCTCAAATCCCACACAACCACACCTCTTCACCGTGGAACCACTATTGAACCCGAATTACCCCTATGATTCTGTTACAAGTCAGACCATTATCATAATAAAGCACCCAAGATAACGGTAACAAACGCTTATAAAACCATTACGCTATCTTACATGAAGCTTTACAGCCCTGTTGCTTGTTGGAGGGGCCTTAGTAGTTAGATGATCATTTTTCCCTAAACCCTGAACCCTAAACCCCAAAAGGATCAGAGCCGCCAGCCCTGGTTCAGGCGGACTTTGAAGGAGGAGGAGCGCAAGGTAGTGGCAAGGGAGGCGGCGATGCTAATTTCTTGAGGTAAATAAGGGTTTGGGAACTTAGGGTTTAGGGCTTTGCGGAGGGTCTTAGGGCGCAGGGTTGCGGGTTCAGGACATGCGGTGAGGGTTTAGGATTGTGGGATTTGGGGTGTGGAGATTTGGGGATGAGGGTTGCATCGGTTGCGCACAGGCACACCTTCCTGAAGCTCCCGAAGAACGACAGGCTTGTAATTAATTCTATAGGTGCATGTGCGATATATCCCTCTGTCTATGCCAGTGTATGTGTGCGTGTACACATGTACGTACGTGCATACGAATGTATATATATATATATATATATATATGTATGTACAGCTACGTATCTACAGACATCCAGACTAAGTCTGTAATAGCATATGGGAGTTTCCGAAAATTAGGGGTACCTTATTTTGGGGTCCTTATAATAAGGATCCTACTGTTTAGGGCACCATCTTAGGGTCCCCTATTTTCGGAAACTCCCATATGCTGAAAAGAAGGAGGTCGCCGAGAAATCTTCGTCTACCCTTGTTGTAGCCTCCTAGAGAGCCTGGACCGTAAACGTCAGAACCCTGAAGCTTGAACCCGAAACTTTAATCCTTAAACCCTAGAGTCCTCAACCCTTAACCTTCCAGAAAATCTAGAACAACTCTTGACTAAAGCACCCTCAGCACGAAGTTTGCGGGATCGCCGCCAGGGCCTGGTGGAACCGCTTCGTCTCAAAGCGCCTTGTCACAGGGGTTGAAGGGTTTAGGGTAAAGGGTTCGGGGTTAAGGTTTAGGGGTTGAGGGGTTAAGCGCTAAGAGTTTAAGCTTGCAGGGTTTAAGTTTTTGTCTAGAGTCCAAGGTTTAGGGGCTGCAGGGTTAAGGGTTAAGCATCCAGGGTTTTGTCTTTAGGGTAGGCGAGGTTTGCGGTTTAGGGTTTGCGAGTGTGTGAGTGACTGAACGTGGCCGGTCAAGCCCACTGTACTTGTTGACTGGTCAGCACCTGTGCAATCGGAACCAAGCGAACTTTCGACTCCGCTTGTCTGACTGTTCTATATCAAGCCAGCAGCACCAGGAGATACCAGGAGGGACTACAACATGGCGTGCAGTCGTCAACTAGCAGTGTCAGCATTATGTACAAATGCTACAGCTGCTTCACTTTGCCACGTGGGCCCTTCCCTCCTCTGCGAAGTCAGTAAAACTACCCTAAGGCCCCAAAGTAGTTTCTTTTTGGGGTTCATATGTAGAATCCTATAAGGTACTCACAAAAAGGAACTACTATGGAGCCTATGGGTAGTTGCAGCCCATTCATCCGCTCCCTGGCACCTGAGGATGTGAACCTCATGGCAGCAGCCGTTGCAGAGGTGCGGGGTCGCTTGAAGTCAGGAACTCAAAGGTTAATGGGACTTGGTAACTAGGGTTATAATTAGGATAACTATACTTATAACCCCAATTAAGGTACTTAAAACCTTACATACTAAGTCCCATGATCCTCCGAGAAGTGCGACGTTGCAACCATCGGCTGCCATGAGAGTCTTGATGACTGTGTTGACGACGACATGCATGTTGACATTGATAGTTCAGTCACCAGTGATCCGATACTGATTTTGACAGTGCTGGTGCTGGTGCTCACAACGTCGGCGCCGACCGTGGAGGTGTTGCCGTCGTCGTCATCGTCGTTACTGTTGGTGATGTTTGTCGTGGTGTCGTTGCGACGGTGCCAGTGCTGATCGCGGAATCGTGGTGGTGGCAGATGTGGTATTGGCAATGCTGCCGGTGGCACTGACAACGAGGAGAAGAGGTTCGGTAGTGTTTACGGCGATGTACTTTGGGCTGCTAGACTTTTCTGGCCCAAAGCCTCCAAAGTACCGGTATAGTAGAATGTAGGATTTCTAGATTAGGAATCGGGTAGGCAGCAGAAATATGGGGGTCTCAATAGTTGCCAATACTAGTTTGGGGGTTCCTTATTATAATGGGCCCCAAAACCCTAGTCTAATAATTATGCCCCCTCTATTAGGCAGCAGTAACAACATGGTCCGAGCGTGTTTCTCGACTCCTTTCTTCGTCGCGCAGGGCGAACATGCTGGGCTCGAGGAGGAGGAGTTGGCCGAGATCAGGTGCCTTCTGTTGGGGTTTAGGGGTTGGGGTTCGGGGTTTGGGGTTTAGGGTTTGGGGTTTAGGGTTTAGCGTATGGAGTCTTTTTCTGCTGCGCACTTTCCGGAATTTCGGTTTGCGATTCTGTCTGGCCTTCGCAGTTAAGCCTTTCACATTTGACATTGGTGCTTGGCTTGCTGCTGGGTCTGGTTTGAGGAAAGCTTCTACATTGGAGTTCTTTCTTATTGTCCTTATTCTTTAACCAAGCAATATCAAGCATTCCCGGTCATGAGTTCTGATGAACCGCACATTTGCGGGGCAGAGGCGGGCGGCAACCGCTAGTATCGAATCAAAGTACGTACATGTACGAAATGTACGAACAGCCAAGTGGTCGCCCCGGAGAATGCGCTCCGTAATCTGTTTAGTTTAGATGGATGGATGGATGGATGGATGGATGCGGGCCGGTCAGCAGAGCGGGCCGGGCAAATGAGGCAGGGAAGCCTCCTGTCCCAAGTCCCACAGCACACGCGGCACAGACAGGAAGAGTAGGCCGGGACACGGAAACCGTGACCCAAGCACACTCACCCATGCCGGAGCAGCGGAGAGCGGAGGGCGAGGACAATGATACTCAGAGGGACGGGTCCCTGCTCCAGACATCTTCAGCGGGCGTGAGAGGGCATCACGTCAGCCCGAAGGTGCGGAGCCCCGACACCCATGAATATTTACTCAGCCAGGTTGCTCCCAGAACTGCTTGCTCCCTCGTTCAATGGTCAGTGCAACACACGCAGCCGGAGTAAATAGCATCTCATGAGGCTGGGAGTTGAGCAGCCCTAAAGCACGCTCCCTTGGACATAGGAGCTCACAGGCATCACGCAGATGCGGGTGATGGCTTGGAGTTCTTTCTTATTGTCCTTATTCTTTAACCAAGCAATATCAAGCATTCCCGGTCATGAGTTCTGATGAACCGCACATTTGCGGGGCAGAGGCGGGCGGCAACCGCTAGTATCGAATCAAAGTACGTACATGTACGAAATGTACGAACAGCCAAGTGGTCGCCCCGGAGAATGCGCTCCGCAATCTGTTTAGTTTAGAGTTGCCGGTCAAGACCTCTCGCACTCTGAGTTTGCTGGATGTTCTTACAAACTGAACCTTACACCGCAAACAGGACTGAGAGCTACACAACGTCCAATTTCAAGGCTTTTACTATGGGATTTAGCAGCGTAGGTGGGCCTCGAGTATTTCAGTCCTGCAAGACTCGGGCCACAGCAGTACCAGCGGCGGCCCAAACCCTAAATGCCCTAAATCTTGATAGTACCTTCGTAGTCGATGCCCAGCCCTATATTGTGCCCTCAGTCTCAAGATTCTTATGTCCGAAAGCATAGAAACCCCGAAGCCCTAAGCACATGAAAGCGATCGAGCCTTCTCGATCTGTTCTCGATCTGTTGCAAGCCCGAGACCCGCGCCTAAACCCTTGCAAACTTAAAGCCCCAGGCCAAGCCCCAAAGCCTAAAGCATCAAGTTTCCAAAAACCCTAAAACCCAACCTAGTAGTAGAGTATGTAACCTTTAACCTGTTTTGGGTAGCATAGTCTCTATATAATCCCTACAAAACCTAAAAGGTTACCCTTTAGTTCCCCATGATACTCGACAAGCAGGCCAAATCCTATCCTCTCCCATCCTAAAGTTCGCGACCTGGTTTGTTCATAGGGCCGCCCTGGCTTTGGAGAAGGCCAAAGCTGACGCAAGCCGCTCGTCTCAGTGGTGTGTTTGGGGGTTTAGGGGTTTAGGGGTTTCGGGTTTAGGGGTTTAGGGTCTATGGGTTTTCAGGGTTCGCGGTTTACAGAGTTTAGGGTTTAGTTTGTCATTTCTGCGGGAGTTGGCATTCCGGTTTCGAGGTTCCGGGGTGCGCAGGTCTGTAATGTAGGAACCTGATGAAGAGACCCTGGGCCTAGAACCCCAAAAGAATATGATTCATATAAGGAACCCTAATGAAGGCTCAAGGTCTCTGAATCAGGTTCCTTCGAAGAGGGAAGGATTTGCATGGATTGGTCTGGGCGTGATGCATGCTCAGGGCAAGAACGAGCGTATGAACGAAGCTCGGCTTTGGGATTCGGGATTCGTTGTGAGGGTTTCAGATTGCGGGTTCTGCGGATGTCTCCTTTGTAGCACCTCCTCGCCCTCCGTCCTGGAGATACCAATAGCACCCGAAGCGGCCACAACATGGACAACCGCAATGTCAGAATCCAACAGAATGTCACTTTCAGAGTCGCGTCCTTAGCACTTCCCCGGTTCCGTTCATCATCCACGTGTTCATGTGCATGCTGATGCTGATCAGCCACATCCTCACCTACGGCAGCACATGAGCTACCGTCGCGTGCTAACACTTGGAGCTCCACAGCCCGTACCCTAAGGCCCCAAAGTAGTTCCTTTTTGGGGTTCATATATAGAATCCTATAGGGTAATCCTAAAAAGGAACTACTTTGGGGCCTTAGGGTAAGCTAGCTTCACCCTGCGTCCTGAGGAGTTGCGCTTCAACGGGCAACGAAGTCGCGACAGGCAGCGATATGTCTCCTGCATTTTCGGGGCTTTCGGGGGCTACTTAGAGGATCATGGGACTTAGTAACTAGCGTTATAATTAGGGTAACTATACTTATAACCCCAATTAAGGTACTTATAACCTTACTTACTAAGTCCCATGATCCTCCAAGTACTGAAGCAACCGAAAGGGGTTGAGCATTCGGGCGGTCGGATCGGGGAGCCTCGTGGTGTGGATTGCTATGGCTTCCCAGAAAGTTGGAGCATGAATTAACGATGCTTAGTGCTCCTTGGGCTTGAGGATAGGAGTATTCCATTTTTCTGGCTTCTATACATATGTAGGTGCCGAGACAGCAAGCAGTTCAGAGAAGCCGTTTTGTTGGAGGTGTTTGACGCTTCGATCAGCAAACTGCAAAACATTGGTGTCTTTAGCACGAGTGTTCTTGCAGATCGTTGAAAAAAAACAACTTATTATTAGTGGATCAAAGCAGCTGAGGTTGTGCGATTCCAAACTTCTTCAAATTAACTAGTATATACCTGCAAAGCGCCACGCAGAACCCGAACTACATAAACCCGCATTTTGGTATGCCTGGAGGTGCAGCAGCTGCAAGCCGCACTGCAGGCACACAATTTGCGTTTACTATAGGGTTCAGGATCAATAGCAGCGCGGGATAGAGCCTGTGGTAAGGACTCCATGAAGATACTATTTTATCATTATCTGTCCGCACAGATTTCCGTGCGAAGTGACGAAGTGTTGTCCAGCTGAGAGTGTGAATCCAAGCCCCCATCCGAGACTCGAATAGGATGCAGAGTGTCAACAGCTGGCTCGAGCACAAGCACAGAATGTACGGGAACCCTGGATACTCTTGAAGCCCTGCGCTGAACGCTTGAAGTGGTCATTTCGGTTTGGAATCAGACCTGGTATATCTCCGGCCTACAAGCCCTATAAACCGAAACCTATATACATAGACGCAAGTAATTACATTAAGCGAGGAGATGTGCGCAGAAAGCACATGATGCCTTCAACAGAGCAGCAATTTTGGTAACTCACAACAAGAGTCCCAATAATTTATCGGGTATTTAAAGTTTGTGACGTGTCGGTGGATTCTCCGGGTGGCAACCACCATCTATGCCACCAAACTCAATGGAATCAGAGCTAAGCTTTGGAGATTGGGCGTGGTAGGGTCTGGGTGCGGGTCTAGTCTAGGGCCTATGGTTAGTTCGTCCATGCTCCCTCACAGCCCTTATTCTTGAATCACCAAACCTAAAACGCTACCGCCCGAAAGCCTGTGCCCTGAGCCCAAGACTGCAAACCCCTGGCCCGACAGTGCCCTACATACTCATCAGAGCTCGAAGCCCTCAAACTCACGCGCCAGAGCCTACATGGGAGTTTCCGAAAATTAGGGGTACCTTATTTTGGGGTCCTTATAATAAGGATCCTACGATTTAGGCTACCATATTAGGGTCCCCTATTTTCGGAAACTCCCACATAAGCCCTCAGAGCCCAACTGTGGCGGAGGAGGCAGAAAGTTGTCATTTGGAGGGCGCCGAGGTCTATGAGGCCTTGTGAAGACCGAGCTGTACTTAAAGGATCATGGGACTTAGTAACTAGGCTTCTAATTAGGATAACTATGCTTATAACCCCTATTAAGGTACTTATATCCTTACTTACTAAGTCCCATGCTCCTCCAAGTAAGGGGTTGTAAGGTGGTAGGATGCAGTGCTTTAAGTTCTCAAGTCTTGGAATTTATTTTCGGGGGGTTCTCGTCGGGATAGGGCTTGGGCTCCAACATTCGGGCCGACGAGCATATGAAAGATGTCGGGGCTTACGCGCTTGGGATTTGTAGAACTGAGGTCCCCAGGCTACAGCAGGGATCACCTTCACATTACTCCTTGGCACCCAAAGTACATACGACGTCAGTCAAGAGCGGCCGAAAAACGAAAGATGGAATACTTCATAATAAACTGTTGGTTCCGTGTCTACTTTCCAAAGCTCACAAACGGGAGGCCCGCCTATGGTTGCTAGTGGTCAGAAGGCTAGCGAGAGCATCTGCAAGCTGCCTAAAAGCGTAACAGCTTTTAAGAGTCTTAGGGTTCGTTCTCATCAGTGAATTTTAGTCTGCAGGCGGCATGAGTTTTCTTGGTCGAGGTGGGTGTGCAGCGGTAGCACGAATCTCTTATATGATCGAACAAACCACAAATTATGCCCAGCAGTCAATTGCTACTCCAGCTAGCGGTGCTTGTGGCAGCAAAAAGGGACCTGCAGCTTGAACAACATTCCGCATATGGGATATATTGAAGCGCAGCAAGAAAAACCAGCAACGCACACACAAGCAACACAAAGAAAGCTAAAACCAACACGAACAATACAGTTTTAGATTCGTAGGACTCGCCGCACTGCTGGAAATGCAAGTCAAGTAGTCATCTAGACTAGTGACTAGAAGCATAAGCATAAATCATGCTTTTCACCACGACACAATTCATGCCGAACCACTCGTCACTACGAAATACAGCCTGGGTCGAATGTGAAAGCGAGGCCAAGCGAACCTTGGTCGACGAGCAGACCAAGATTGCTGCCAGGTCGACAGTCGACAAGGCCACAGCAAAAGGTATACCCCCCCCCTCCAAAAAAGCACTCTTTCCGTCATTCCAGACCCTTATCATGGTGTCATGTCTTGATCTCCGTGGCCCATGTAAAGAACCATAATCTCGTACAGTAGTCGTCTCCGGGCATTGTTTTGAATGATTTTGACCGGTGTTGTGTTTGAGTTCCACTCGTGGCTTAGCTGGCCACGTTGCCTGGACCCCAAAAGGATGTAGAATAATAGCCTTTTATGGGTATTGGACCATTATTTTGCCTACTTTGGGGGTCTCGGTAGACGCTTCAAGCTGTGCAGCCCTGAATCACCCTTGATCGCAAGAGTAGCAAGGAGCAGGACATGGCTGATGATACCTGTAGTACGAACCCTAAACCCCTACACCCCCCTATAGGTCCCCTTATAGAACCCTTATACATCCCTTCAAAGGACTCCAATAATGAGGCCCCAAAACCCCTCAACCCAAATGCTGCTTGCTGTGCTGTGTCAGGCAGTGCAAAGCCGTGACGTCACAGAGCTGAAGGCTGCACTCAAGCAGGCCCCCTTGGCCTGGCAGGGCAACTTTTCAGTTGCTGTTTAGGATAGGGGCCTTGAGAATCCGGTCTTTAGTATAACCAAATGAGTGACTTGAAGGGGATACTGTTACTGTGGATTCCGATCCCTTCAGGAAATATTGGCCTTATTGCGGAGCCTGAATCGCAGGTTCGCTGCACGACCATTAACAGAATAAGCATCCGTCCAAACGGACGCTCAAGGTAAATTTCAGCGTTTAAGGGTTAAGGGTGCGATGTGTTCTCTGTTTAAAGACAGCTGTAAGCCTGAAACCCTAAAGCCCTACAAAACCTCTGACCCTTAAACCCCTAAACCCACCCTACTTGGAGGATCATGGGACTTAGTAAGTAAGGTTATGAGTACCATAACTGGGGTTATAAGCATAGTTATCCTAATTATAAGCCGGGTTACTAAGTCCCATGATCCTTTATCTAAAGCCCTAACCCCCCCTATAGTCTCCTTAAGGTTTTTTTTCATTCTTGTTCATATAAAACCAAAGAGAATATTAAAAACACTAGTTTTATTATGGTTCTAATGGGGGTATAGCCCCTAAGCCCTAAACCCTCAACCTTCGCTGTTTCAGGGCCTTTCCAGCGGACTGGAGGAAGGTGAGCTCCAAAGAGCACTCGGGCTGCATTTGCCCAGAGGCCCCAAAGTAGTTCCTTTTCTAAGATCCCCAATACCCAACCTTTAAGCTTTTTGGGCTCTTATAGTTTGGTAGGAATCGGAAAGTTTAAGCTTTCATTTCTGTGGCTTATTTGGTAAGTAAGTTTTGGGTGTTCATATGGGTGGTTGTCAAAAATATGGTCCCTTTTTGGGTCCTTATTATAATACGGCACTTAATATTTAGGGTACCCCAAAAGGGACCCTACTTTTGACAACCACCCGTATATAACATCCTATAAGGTAATCCCAAAAAGGAACTACTATGGGGCCTCTGGGTAAAGCCTAGTCCCTTGCCGAGACCCCCCTCCGAAAACTACCCTCTATTATACCCATAGTCCCAAAATTAAGGACCAGTCGGGCTTCATTAAAGAACCTTCGAAGGGGTGAACGGGATGCTGGTACAGACTAGGGTTTATAGGCTTGGTTATTTGCTGAATACCTGTAGCCGAAGAGAGCCACTTTTTTAGGGTTCGCTTTTCCGGCTAAGTCGTTGAGCTGATTCGCCTTGAGCCACAAGGACAATGAACCATAAACACCCTAAGCCCTAAACCTACATGCGGTAGAACATTCAGCGGAATTTCACAGCTCTTCCCATGGCGCGACATCCGCAGTCTTCGCGCTGTTTGAGCAGAAGTTTGTCCCTAGGGTACCGCCAGACCCAACTACTTTTCGGCTCTGTGGGCTTGGTAATCTCACTGAACTACCATCTGTACCAGCACAGCGCTTGATGTTGTTTGTTACCGCCATGGCCCTGTCCAGACATTACGCGGAGTTTGAGGTTACAGGTTTCAGAGGTGTTTGCGTTTCGTTTGCAGGCTTTAGGTTGTTGCGATTGGTCGCTGCCGTTCGATGATTCTACATAGCTTGTACTTGGTGTTTTCGTGCTGCTGTGCATGCAGCCTGAGGCACGAATGATCCTCAAGCAGGCCTGGCTGAAGTAAATCAGCAAGATTGAAAACATGGTTGAGGCTGTTGGATTCGGCAACGTTCCAGGTTCAGGGTTTAGGGCGGGGTTGTGGCATGACAGGGTTCCATGAATGCCGCCAGTTGCCGACGGTGCAAGCGGCTTTTAGTTTTCTGATTTCATATGGTTTTCCGCTTGCACTTGCTGAGACAGTGGTTTGTATTGGGTTCTGAAAGCCAAAGCCTCAACATGCTGAAGCCTTAATTAATTTTGGAACATAGCCTTGAACAGTTTAAGCCCCAAAGCCTTAGCCTCCCTCGGCTCGGAGGCATCTGTGGAACTTAAATAAGGCCTTTTGCAACAACCTCTGGCTTTGTTGCTGGGCACCTTTTGTAAAAGGCAACCAGACCTAAGTCATTCTGTCTGATGCCTCCAGGTACCCAGTCGGAAATCTAACAAGAGTGTGTAATGGCAACGCGCATGCACACATGCATTCATGAGAATAGTAGCGTTTCCATCACTGGGGCAAAGCAGCCAAGGCTTATATAATGTGACAGCATAGATCCCCACACAGTGATACAGCACCGCGACGACTGTGACGACCACGACGACCAAGACGACCACGACCACGAGGACAAACAGGGCCACCACATTGACAGGACCTGTCTGGTGCTTTAGGAAGGAATGGGGGAATGGATCCCTATAGTAGTCCCTGAATAATCTCCAAGAATAGTCCCCATACTCCATTCCCCCATTCCGACTAAGAACCAGACAGAGGACGACAGCTTTGTCATAGTTGGGTAACATTTTACTTTTTAAGGGTACTTAAACCCAATAAGGAATAAAAGTTTGAATGTTCAATCCTATCCCAACCATGAGCAAGACAGGGCGACCACCTAAAAAAACAACAGGAGACTTCCGGAAGACTCCACGAGACCAGCAGCAGACGGCAAGATTCGTTTCACCGGCCAGGGATCAGTAAGTAAGGCTATAAGTAGCATCTTTGAAAACCCACCATAAAACACAAAGAACAACCATAAGCAAGCCTATGCAAGGCACATCTGCAACACCTCAAACCCTACGTAAAGGATCATGGGACTTAGTAACTAGGGTTATAATTAGGGTAACTACACTTATAACCCCAATTAAGATACTTATAACCTTACATACTAAGTCCCATGATCCCCATTATAGAAGCCCTATAGATCCCTTTAAGGAACCCTATTATAGAACCAACAGGAATCCTAAACCTTACTTACTAAGTCCCATGATCCTCCAAGTAAGCCACATCGATTCGCCGCCGCCCTAAACCCTAAACCCTAAACCCTAAACCCTGAAGGAGGAGATCAAGCTTGAGGCCCAGGCTACTTTGGAGAACGCGCTGAAGAGCCGTGACATCGAGGAGCATCTGAGCTAGGGGTTTAGGGGTCTAGAAGTTTCAGGGGAGTGGGGATTCAGGGCTTGAAGGGTTTAGAGTTTAGGGTTTTAGAGGTTGCGGGGGATGAGGGATTTGGAGGTTAAGGGCTTATGTAAGAGTTTGCAGTTACGGGCTCTGGGGGTTTGGGGTTTAAGGCCTTAGAGCTGAGGGGTTAGTAAGTGTATTAGAGCTAGTTAGAAGTGTGCTGCAACAGTTGGGAGTTTCCGAGAATAGAGGACCGTAATATAGTACCCTAAATAGTAGGATCCTTATTATAAGGACCCCAAAATCAGGTACCCCTATTTTCGGAAACTCCCAGTTAAGGGAGCCTTGCCTTTTTGTATGCGAGTGGCAATGCTTAAGTTTAGAGTCGGTCGTGGTAAGCGTTTTTTCAGTTGTTATGAAAGTTCACTTGTGGGTTCTATAATGTTCAGAGGTTTCACGTGGGGGTTTTAAGGATCGTGATTTAGGAGTTTGAACTAGGGAATTTCCGGATTTTTTATTCACGGCACGGCAGTGCAGCCCTTAATACTTCCTCATTTTGTTGAATCTTCCCCATACTTTCCGGACCAACCTTGACCCAGCTTTTGAATCCTTTTTGGATTTGGGGTGGACAAGAGGAAGAGCAGGAGCGAAAACACAAGCAATGGCAGGAGCAGGAGTAAGAGTAGGAGCAGTGGCAGGAGAAAGAGCAAGAGCAAGAGCCAGAGCAAGACAAGATCCCCATGAAGTGAAGTAGAGATCAAACCCAGCGCTGTTTGACTTTCTACTGGGGGGAAGGCAACGTTTCAATATTATAATGCCTATTATTAGGGGGATGACAATTAATAAGCGTTTGGCAGGTGGACCCACCCAAAGGCCTCCACGCTAAACGTTAAACCATTGAACCCCCAACCGCTGAATAAGCTCGGCACCCTGGACTACAAACCGGGTTCTGATTTAGGAATTTGGCTCCAGGTGTCAGAATCCGACAAGCATTTTATTTGCAACACACCCCTACAAGCATTGTACACCCTTATAGAACATTTCCTCAATCCTGTACTAAGGTTATTGTCTTGTGGGGGGCCTGAAGAACCCAGTAAGTCCTGGCGCTCCAACACCCATAAATTCATTAGAACCATATGCGACTCCTACACAAACTTTTTCGAGATGTCTTGAACCCCTGTAAAGTCCCACGAACCTAAACCGGCCTACAGAGCCCTAAAGAACCCTTATGACTCCCTGCCTTCAGAGCCCTTTAAACGACCCTTTCCAAGCTGCAAAAGCACCAGAATGCAGAAAAAAGCATGCTTCCGAACATCTTTATAGAATTCCAACCCATTCCAGAAAGCACCTTATCAACAATACCGATCGTTACCTATATCTATATATATATATATATAGATATAATATATATATATATATATATATATATATATACATATGTTTGTATATACATATATGTGTATGTATGGCATGCATGTAAGTAAGTATGTATATGTATGTGCGTATACATATGTATATGTATACATATATATATATATATATATATATATGTATATACGTATATACATATACATATCTATATATGCATATATACATATATATGTGTGTGGTTTGTTTGCACCCAGGAGCTCCAGACGGCCATCCGACAGGCACAGGCCGCGAGCCTCGATGCGGCGCAGCTGCGCCCGGCGCGAGCGGCTCTGGAGGAGGCCGGGCCTTACTTAAAGGATCATGGGACTTAGTTACTAGGGTTATAATTAGGGTAACTCTACTTATAACCCCAATTAAGGTATTTATAACCTAGTATGGTCATACCCTAAGGCCCCAAAGTAGTTCCTTTTTGGGATTACCTTATAGGATTCTATACATGAACCCCGAAAAGGAACTACTTTGGGGCCTTAGGGTAAAGTAGGAACCTGATGCGGTTTGGACTTACCCTTTGCTGCGTTGAGGGCATTTGAAGCGCCTGTTCCTTATAGTGCCCGGAGAGTACCCTTATTGTCTCATTATATTCTAGTTGTAGTAATGTAGAAACCTCGGATTCCTTTAAAGGGGTCTATAAGGCTTACTTTATTATTCTAGTTGTAGTATTAAGGGGACTTATGTAGGGACCTGATTAAGAAACCCTGGGCCTCTAGCCCCAAAATATTCGTAGGATAGTAGGATTCATATAAGGAACCCTAATAAAGGCCCAAGGTCTCTGAATCAGGTTCCTACATCAGGCCCTTACGGCGGGCATTGTAAGGGTTTCATGCGGGTCTCGAAAGGGAGGTGTAAGGTTTTGCGCTTTTTAACGAAGGGTTATGCAGGGTTTTCGGGTTTTGTAGGGTTTAGGACTTTGTGGGTTTACGCTGTGGTGCTTTAGGGCTTCTTTGTAGTGGGGTCGAGGGCTCTCTGTCGATCTATTTGTCTGTCTACCCTAAGGCCCTAAAGTAGTTCCTTTTTGGGGTTCGTATATAGAATCCTATAAGGTAATCCCCAAAATGGAACCACTTTATTTGGGGCCTATGGGTAGCTATACATCTACCAATCAGCCTACCGACCTACCCTGCCCACCTATCTGTTTATGTGTCTGTATGTATCTATCCCTCATGTGTACAGGGTTGTATGTTTGCAGCATCTCGAAGCCTGAGATTTGGGAAGTCCAGGGATCAGAGCTTTATGGTGTAAAGTGCTTGCATACTTTTAAAATATGTAAGCACTATAGTGCCCAAAGGGCCCTCTGCTTTACCGCAAATTTCGTGCCAGGAGCAGAAAAAGGTCCAGGCGAAGTCTGGGCTAGAGAAAGCAATCAAGCGCAGGGAGATGAAAGCGCTGCGGCCGCTGGGATTCAGTTTTGGGTCTCATATGCATGTTTTACAAACCCAGCAGGAGGCAAGAGCCTCCATATCTAGAAAGATGGTTTCATGCTACGAATGTTGATGCCCCTGTCTTGCGGGTGTGACAAAATCTTGGGGCTTAGGGCTTCCAGGGCTCCTAATTTCGGGTTGCTATAATGGTACTGAGTACTGTAAAGGGGAACTGGGGGGTGTGTGTAGGATCAATGGATTTCCGGCTTGGCGTTACGGGGCTCAGGGATTGGATAAGACGTATAATAGATGTGGAGCTGGCATGCTCGAAGACGTTTGCTTCTTCCGTCCGTTTAACTGGCATCAGCGCTGAAGTTTCTAAGCACCGAAACCAACCCCATAATTAATGATACAAACCCTACCTAGACACAAGAACCGCTCTGAGTCCTAGCTGCTCGAGAGCTGAGGAAAGCACTGGCCGAGGGTGAAGCTGTCGGCTTGGGCCAGGAAGCAGAGGCCGCGCAGGTTTAGGATTCAGGCTCGAGGGCTGCGGATGTTAGATGGCACATGTACGATATGAAGTGAAAGACCATCATGATGGGTGCTGTAGGCCATCATTTTGCTGGCAAAAAGTGATAGGAACGTCAATCTTCTTACACATGACAGTGGCTCTTGGTACGTTGACATGTGCTTCCGGATTCTGCCAGTACTTCGCGATATCGCGAAGCTAGGTTTTTGGATCTCTCTCGTCTCTTGCCTCTTGACCATGTGTGTACATTCTTGAGGAATTCGGCAGCAGGGCTCCAGTTCAACTGGGTCTTCGGGTTTTGGTCAGGCGTCTCCTAATCCCGGCTTCGGCTGGCCCGGAAATACTCAACAAAAGGTCATGGAAGGCGGGTGGAATCCATGATGCACACACACATACATATATATATATATATATATATATATATATTTATTTATTTATTTATTTATTCATTTATTCATTTATTTACTGATTTTTCATTTTATGAATAGTCGTAGTTTCCCTACGCCCGAAACCTTAAACCCATGTTCCAGATCCTGCATGATTCCAACCCGTCTGAGATTTTTTCGAATCCTACAAGAAATTTCCGCAGTCCTACCAGAATTGCAAGGTGCAACTCAGTAACTAGAGCGATGATCCTTGAAACCTGAAAGCCACGAACCCTAAATCCCGAAGCCCTTAAACGTGAGCCCAACGCACCCACATTGCCACCGCCCTCAAAATCAAAACTCTAACACCCTGAACGCTTAAGCAGAAACCCTAAACTCCCTAGTACTATGAACTCCCCTAAACCCTAAACCCTAAACTCCCTAATACTATGGACTCCAAACTCTGAGCCCCTTTTTTAGGAGATGCGGATTGCCCTCGAGACTTTGGCCGTCGAGGAGGCGAAGGCGGCAGCGAAAGAGCAGCTGGCTCACGCCCTGAACATCCTCTCCTACGATCCTGGGCCGGCAGATCGGGCTTCCGGGCCCTAAACCCTAAACCCCTGAACCCTAAACCCTAAACCCTAAACCAATAAACCCTAAACCCTACCCATGAGACTATAATTATGATAAGATGTATAGGTGATTATTTAGGCCCGTCTATTAACAAGCCTCAAACCCTCAAGCCCTACATCCTACGCCGTCTTGTGGTGAGTGGTTCTAAGTGCACCCACACGTGTTCCAAAAACAATGTTGCATTTTGGTAGGAGTTTCCGTTCAGGTTTCGGGTCCTTGAAAATTTGGCGTCGGATCTAGGTTCAGATTTGACGGATTCCTGTTGTGGGTTCTTAAAGCGTAGGCGCGTTTTTTTGGTAGGGGAGGGGGGGGTGGTAATGAATGGTTACTTCCCATGATCTCTTGAGGTTTTAGGGTTCGGGGAGTTCAGGTGTTCAGAATTCCTAAACCCTCAAACCCCAAAAATCCCAAACAAAGCCTAATCCCTAACCCTGTCTCCAGCCCTAAACCCTGAACCCTAAATATCCTAGACCCTGAAAGCCCTGTAAAGCCGAATTCCGTTGGGCCTTCAAGGTACTCCCAATTTTCGGAAACTCTAAACCGTAAACCCTTTATAGAACCCTTATAGATCCTTATAGATCCCTTTCAAGGAGCCCCCAATTTTCGGAAACTCCTAAAAAAACGGCCTAATGCCTTTGAGCCTTCAGGACAGCATCGACACGCTGCGAGCCGCCATCGATGTGGCGGCTCCCTGGTTGATACTTAAAGGATCATGGGACTTAGTAAGTAAGGTTCCTCAAAGGGCTTCTTAAACGGGATCTATAGGGTTCCTTAAAGGGATCTATAGGGTTTAGCCTTCAGACCCAGCGTCCTGCCGCAGACCAGCGGGTGGGGCGCGCATCGGTTTTTGCGAGGGTTTCTTGTTGCAGAAGCACGAACTCGAAGGGGCCTCCGGTATTTTGGGCTCAGGCCTTCGGCCCTTCCGTCCCAACCATGATGACGTCCAGATCAGACTCCATCCATGGCCGCAGAGCATCCATGTGCCACCCATGTTAACGTCCAGATCAGACTCCATCCCTGGCCGCAGAGCATCCATGTGCCAACCATGTTAACGTCCAGATCAGACTCCATCCATGGCCGCAGAGCATCCATGTGCCAACCATGATGACGTCCAGATCAGACTCCATCCATGGCCGCAGAGCATCCATGTGCCAACCATGTTAACGTCCAGATCAGACTCCATCCATGGCCGCAGAGCATCCATGTGCCACCCATGTTAACGTCCAGATCAGACTCCATCCATGGCCGCAGAGCATCCATGTGCCAACCATGATGATGTCCAGATCAGACTCCATCCATGGCCGCAGAGCATCCATGTGCCAACCATGATGACGTCCAGATCAGACTCCATCCATGGCCGCAGGGCATCCATGTGCCAACCATGATGACGTCCAGATCCGACTCCATCCATGGCCGCAGAGCATCCATGTGCCACCCATGTTAACGTCCAGATCTGACTCCATCCATGGCGGCAGAGCATCCGTGTGCCACCCATGTTAACGTCCAGATCAGACTCCATCCATGGCCGCAGAGCATCCATGTGCCACCCATGTTAACGTCCAGATCAGACTCCATCCATGGCCGCAGAGCATCCATGTGCCACCCATGTTAACGTCCAGATCAGACTCCATCCATGGCCGCAGAGCATCCATGTGCCAACCATGTTAACGTCCAGATCAGACTCCATCCATGGCCGCAGAGCATCCATGTGCCAACCATGTTAACGTCCAGATCAGACTCCATCCATGGCCGCAGAGCATCCATGTGCCAACCATGATGACGTCCAGATCAGACTCCATCCATGGCCGCAGAGCAAATCATAGATTTCGAAAAGCTTTTCGTACGAGAGGGTCTCAACTTGGTCCGTGTTATTGCATAAATTTGGACCTGAGAAATGACTGGTTCTTCTGCTTCCCGAACAATGAATCCACTGTAAATTACGGTGTAACCGTCACTTCCACCATCTAGATGGACGAGTGGGGCGCGGCATAACGAAGGGACTGACCGTTTAGGGTTTAGGGTCTACTGGGAGGAACATGGGACTTAGTAAGTAAGGTTGTAAGTACCTTAATTGTGGTTATAAGTATAGTTACCCTAACTATAACCCTAGTTACTAAGTCCCATGGTCCTCCAAGAAGATGGGAGTTTCCGGAGGTTAGGGTTCCTTTAAAGGGTTCCTATGTACTCTAAGGGTTCCTTTAAAGGGTTCCTATGTACTCTAAGGGTTCCTTTAAAGGGTTCCTATGTACTATAAGGGTTCCTTCGAAGATTGGTACCTTCCCAAGGGTTTAAGGCCTAGGGTTTTTAGGGCTTCCAGGTTCAGCAATGTTTTTTGAGACGTATGGCAGGCACCTACACAGAGCTCCGCAAGGCGAGCCCTACTTTTGTAGTGTGTAGTTACTGTAGAGTGTTTTCGGCCGGTAAACCCACGCTTCTTCAGGAGATGTTGTGTTCGTTGAGGCCGGAAAGCATACGACAAAAAGTTGCATCGATATTTCTCACAGAGGACTCTGAGATCACTCTTTTTGCTGGGTCTCTCTCTTTTTGTTTCTCTCCGGTCCCTCTCGCCTCTCGTGCTGCTCTCCCTCGCTCTCTATCTCCGGCTCTCGCTCGCTCTCTTTCTCTCTCTCTCTCTCTCTCTCTCTCTCTCCCTCGCCTTTCTTTCGAAATCTGGGGTGGCTCTTAGCGGATGTGCATTCAGGCATTCAGCATGCGAAGATTTCGTCTGGTTTTGGTAGGGAAGGAGTTCACGAAACAAGGTGCCCTACCTTGCGCCCGAATTCCAGACCCTACTTGGAGGGGCAGGGGACTTAGTAAGTGGTTATAAGTAGAGTTATAAGTACTAAATGGAGGTACCCCAATTATAACCCTACTTATAACCTACTTACGAAGTCCCCTGCCCATCCAAGTAAGCAGTCGGAAAGAGGCCCTTTAGAATGTGAAAAGCACGTGGGGCCCCTTTCTTTAAGGATCAGAATGCTCGGATCCGTATTCCTTTAAGGTAGTGGGTGTACCAACCAGGGGCCCGGCCTAAGGTTTACAGTTACAGAGTTACAATTTTTGTTCGAGGAGTTTGATGTGGCTTTGTGGGCGTTTACAGGGCTTTGTAGGACATAATGTTTGAGTGGTCTTTAGTTTATATCAGGGTTTGAAAGTGGGCAAGGTTCAGCCGTGTCGATCTTTTCAGGTTTCAGAGCCGAACTTGAGCCCGACCCCGTCTGGTAGGACGATGAGGTGTCATCCCAAGTCAAAGCACCGAGGTAGCTGCTGGCTTGGACTCTGTCTTGGTGGATCCTGCGACCTGGAAGGATCAGAATTTAGCGTTACAGGATTTGGAGGTTTGGGTTGAGGGTTCAGGACTATGGTTTAGGGTTGCAGGCGGTTGGTTTGTTCACAAGCATGCAGAGTTGCCATGGGTCCAACCACATCTCAAAGATACCTTCGGGGATGAGTAGGTCTAGGTAACCGTTAGACCGCTTAGCGTGTATATCATATACAAGCCTTGCAGAGTTAAACGGGTATCCTTCTTGGGAGTCGAGTAGCGACTACTTGAACCCGTAACACTGAACCCTCAGACCGAAATCCTAAACGCTAAACCCAGAGACTATACCTTAAATCATGTTCGGGGATCCTACTCTAGGGGACATTGGAGTCTCTGGCAATAAACCCTAAACCTCGAAACCCTCAACCGTAAACCCCAAACTCTATACCCTTAAACCCCTGATACCCTGAACCACTAAAGCCCCTAATCCCCTAAAGCCCTAAACCCCTTAAAACCCTAAACCATTAAAAAAACACTAAACCCCCAAATAAACCCTAAATAAACCCTAAACCCCCAAATAAACCCTAAATAAACCCCTACCCAAGGCGAAAGCCAAGCTGGCCACTCTCGAGCGGCAGATCTCCGCCAAGCGAGAGCTGGAAGACGCGCTGGCCAGCGGAGTCGCGGCCGAAAAGTCTTGGGGTTTTAGGGTTTAGGGCTTTAGGGTTTAAGGTTTAGGGTTTAGGGGTTTAGGGTTTAGAGTTTAGGGTTTGGGGGTTGCGGGTTTAGGGTTTTAGGGTTTGGGGTTTAGGGGTGTTTAGTGGTTTCGTTTGGGATGTTTGGATGTTCGGTGGTTTTAGAGTTTGGCATTTTGTGAGTTGCGGGGTTTTGGGGATCCGGGTCTTCCGCCGATCTGAACAGCCTCCCTACGCCATCCAGACGTCAGCTTCTGTGCCAAGCCAGCACCACTGCCAGTCAGCACGGTATTATATAGCACACGTTCGAGAATTCGTCATTCCATACACCCCAAACCCTAAGCCTGCAACACCTCGGACTTGCAGCCATTATGCTCTGTGATTTCGCCGTGGTGTCCAAGAATGCTGATGATTCGCAATGGCCTTTGCATCTTGTTTTGGATACCGCGCGACTTAGATTGCTTACATACATACACCCGGGCAATGTAGGAACCTGATTGAGAAGCCTTGGGCCTTTACTAGGGTTCCTTGCATGAATCCTATTATTTGTTGGGTTATAGGCCCAGGGTTTCTGTATCAGGTTCCTGCATTATGACTGCAGGTAGATGGCGCAACTTTGACTTCCCTGTATACGTATTGAGTTCCTCCTACCCACCCATTGTAAGACCTCAAAGCTAAGCCAGCTAAGCCCTGCGTGACAGACCCTGAACCTTTAAAGCGCTAAGAGCCATAAGACACTAGAAACCCTAAACCTCCATTAACAGAGCCTGATAAATTCCCAAGTTTCAAAGAGCGTGCAAAACCCTTCACAGACCCTAAACCCTAGCCTGCGAACAACCCGACACGCCTACACGCCGAAAAAGCCTGAGGCCGGAGAGCGAGAGAGAGAGAGAGAGAGAGAGAGAGAGAGAGAGAGAGGGAGAGAGAGAGAGAGAGAGAAAAAGAACGGAGAGATGTGTGTGTGTGTGTGTGTGTCTCTGTGTGTGTGTGTGTCTCGGGGTGTGTGTCTGTGTATATTTTACATATGTGTGTATGACCCTCAGAAGAACCCGCCCAAACCCTTTGAACCCTTCAAAAATCCCACATAGGAACACCCTAAGCCCTAAAACATGCCTTCTTCGTGATCTGAGGGGCAGCTGTCATTTCTTGTGTAAGCCGACCTTTGGCTGGATCATTTCGCAGAAAGGGTTCATTGCATTGTAAAAAAACATTTAGAACCTTTCTCCAAACCCCTAAACCCGAAAGCCTTGCACCCAAAAGCCTGAAGTAAGAACCCAGGAGGATTGAGTGACCTCGCAGCCGCCATCAGCCGGGCAGAGGGTGCAGGCAAGTGGGGATGTCTTTGGGTTCTTTAGGGCTTCTGTTTTGAGAGTTTGTGTAAGGGTTCAAAAATATGGGCTTTCATCAGAATCCTTATAAGGGCATTATCAGTGTTTTTGTTGATTTTCTTGCATGGAGAGGGGGTTCTTAAGGCTAGGGGGACGGTCGATTTTGTATTTCTAGGTTTTTGGAGTGAACGGGGGGAGGGGGGCAGGGTTTAGCGGTTTGGGTGTGTGATTTGGGTGTGTGCTCTCACTAGCTAGCAATGGTATCCTCCCGATAATCCCTGTACCAGAGCTACAGTATGTCTGAAACTACTCCATAGCACTATTTAAATCATTAAGGCCCCTCTAGGAAACACCTACCTGGACCCTCCATCTACCCCCTAGACCTCCCTAAGTACCCATTATTTGGGACCATATACTATTTGAGGGTACAAGGAGGGTCCTGGTAACCTGAGGACTTGCATCTGCGGATGAGCACCTCACTTCGGCGAGACAGACCCACGCTGCGGAAAAGCGACGTGTCAAAGCACGCCAAGGCTCACTTCCTCTTTGCTTAAAGGGGGTCTATAAGGGATCTATAAGGGTTACTATGAGGGATCTATAGTAGGGTTCTATAATGTAGGGGCCTTAATATTAGAATAGGGTTTTGGGGCCCATTATACTATATGGGTGGTTGTCAAGATTATGGTTCCTTTTTGGATCCTTAATGTAATACGGCACCTAATATTTAGGGTAATCACCCAAAAAGGCACCATAATTTGGACAACCGGTACCCATGTAGGATTTGTATCCACGTCGTGGCACGATGGGACTGACTTCGGATTGTGGTCTGTGAGGTTACCCAGATGCTCCATAGTATTTCCTTTTTGGGCTTCGTTTTTAGAATCCTATACGGTAATCCCAAAAGGAAGGACTCTGGGGCCTACGGGTAGGGAGGTTGGCTTGAGGGTTTGGGCCTCGGGATACGTCTATTGTGCATGGCTATCTTTGCTCGCATGGCACCGCCACGTCATTTCGGATCATGTACTATAGGGGCCGAAATAATTACCAATACTATTTTGGGGGGGTCCTTATAATAAAATAATAATAATAATAATAATATTAATATTAATATTAATAATAATCAATCATAATAATAAATAATAATAATAATCATAATAATAATAATAATAATACTAATACTAATAATGTGATGGGCCCATTCCCAATACTATTTTGGGGTTTCTTATTATATTATAGTATGATGGGCCCAAAACCCCTACTCAGACTCTATATTATGAGCCTTTCGTCTCGTGCTTCCCCCAGATCCTGTGAGTGCTCGCAGGCCTTTTCGATGCCATCCAGACGCGCAACATCGAGCAGCTTCACAAGGCCGTCGGCATTTTGCGATGATGCTCGAGTCTATATACTATAGTGTCGTCCCGCACGAGAAAGTGAGCTTTGGTCAGCGTAGCTCTAGCACTGCTGCAGCTAAAGCTGTCTCTCAACTCCAGAACGTCTCAGGAGTTGGGTCTTGAGCTCAATCATAGGGCACATCTCTCAGCTGGTTTCAGTTTGTGGATTAGACTGCGTGTTAAAAAAAACTGTTTGCACATAGTTCTGTGGGGCTGGCATGGGGTTTCTGAGGTTTTGAAGCTCTATACAAACTCTGACGCTCTGAACCCAAAGACCTGAACCTCAACCTGCGATTTACGGTGTTGGGTTTCGAAGCCTTGCATGGATGTGGAGACTACCCATAGGCCCCATAGTAGTTCTCTTTCGGGATTCATATGTAGAATCCCATAAGGTAATCCCAAAAAGGAGCTACTATATGGGGCCTATGGGTAGATTGCACAAAACCGCAAACCCCATGCGGCAGAGGGAGAAAGCTTCTGGCTTCCCGAGGCCATCGAGGAGGGCCGCGCTAGTGGCATCCCGGAGGAGGAGGTCGAATGACTTCGAATCTTCATGCTTAGTTTTTTAGGGTTGTTTAGGGCTTGAAGTTTTGGGGTTTGTAGCCTCGAATCCCTGAACTTACCACCTCAACTCCCGAAATCCCTTGCCTTCGAAGCCGAATTCCCTGAGCTCATCCTCTGGGGGATCACAGAAGAGCATGTATGGTTTTGACTGTGATTGTTTTTGTCAGTACCCCCATCAGAATATGTGTAGTGTCCAGTTATTATCATCATGTTCTCCTAGCATTCGTCATCATAGTCGCTATGAATCTCTTCATGCTTGCCTTGTTCCGTGTACCGTTGCCATTACCATGATGACGATCTTCGTTATGTTCATCATGGCTGTTATTTCGAACATCATTTATTGAACACTAGATGTATTATATGACGATGATTGTTCCCGACAACCTGTTCTTTATTTTTTTTGCGAGAACGCAGATTCTGATTAGTATTAGTACATGTTGTTACTAGTATGATGGTGGCCAGCAACACTACCAAAAACACAGTCGTTGGTAATAACGCATAGGATGACGATAACGGTGATGATCACGATGGTGGTAACAATGATGAGGTTTCGTATCTTTTCTTACTTTTACGATTATTGCAATTAGGTTTGTGGTGGGTACTAGCATCATGATGCCCATAGGCCCCATAGTAGTTCCTTTTTCGGGTTCCTGTTTAGAAACCTATAATAAAGTAATCCCAAAAAGGAACTACTATCAGCCCTGCGGGTAATATGATTGGTGCAAATGGCCTCAATGAGCCAGGTCCAGGAGGCCAGCGACATCCTCTCGGAGGAGGTGCGCAAGGCACCCCTTGGGGTTTTCAAAGTCGTGATGTTTTTTGTTGGGTTTCAGGGTTTAGGTTTTTTAGGGGTTTGGGGGGCTTAGCCTTAGCTTTCTTGGTTCAGGGTTTAGGGGGGCCTAAGGCTTTGGGGATCAAGGTTTCTTTCAAGGGGAATCTGAGGCTTTTTGGGCTTCAACGTTTTAGGGCTTGCCGGTGTTAAGGTACCCAGGGTCGAGGACTTTAGCTTTGCAAGGCTGTCTTACAGTAGAAGCCTGAAAGTTGGAATATCATTATCGTAACCCCTTTAAGGTAAACTATAGGGGATCCTACCCTGAAACCATATTCCAACTTTCTGGAGTTCCCTTTAATTTGATTTTGGTGGTTCAGGGCTTGGGGTGTCGAGAGTTGTCGTTGTTATGCGCTTCTGCCCTAGGGGTTCCATAGGACCCTTTAGCCTATGGCATTAGCAAACCCTAAACCCCTAAACCCTAAACGCTAAACCCTTAAACCCTAAACCCTAAAGCCCTAAAACCCCAAACCCCTACACCCTTAAACCCTCAACCCTAAACCAAACCCCCACAGAACCCACGAATTTCCCCCTGCGGGACAGAGCCGCAACCCTGGAGGCGCATGCGCACGACGCCCTCCATCGAGCGACCTGGAGTAGGAGAGACTCGTCGCAGGAGGAATAATGTAGGGGCCTTAACAATTAGAATAGGGTTCCTTTAACGGGTTCTGTAAGGGATCTACTGTAAGGGATCTATAAGGGTACTATCAGGAGGAATACATTAAACCCCAGAAAGTTGGAAACCGGATCAAGGCCAAATAGTGCTGGGATTCCCTATACGTTACTCTTCGGGATTGATGCTTTGGGGTTTCCAACTTTTTGGCTTCTACTGTAATGTAGGGGCCTTAATAATAATTAGAATAGGGTTCCTTGAAAGGGTTCTTGAAAAGGGGTCTATACGGGATCTAGAGTAGGGTTCTATAGTGTAGAGGCCTTCATAGTTGGAATAGGGTTCCTTGAAAGGGTCTAGAAGGGCTACTGTAAGAGCTATTCTAAGGATTTAATTTAGGGGCCTAAGCAATTACCTATACTATCTTGGGGTTCCTTATTCTAGGGTATTCTAAATATAGTATAAGATACCCCAAAACCTACCTATTTTACTGTGGGATTCCTTATTGTAGTTACAGTATAAAGATGGCCCAAAATCCTATTCTCAATATTAAGGCCCCTATGTTGGGCGGCCGGGGCCTTTCGGGCACTTGTTATGATTTTTTAGGGCTCCTTTGGGTGCCTGGTTTAGGGTTTAGGGTTTAGGGTTTAGGGTTTAGGGTTTTAGGGCCCTTGTTGTGGCTTTCAGGGTCCAGGGTTTAGGGCTGAGGGTTGTTGCTTAACGACCCTCATAAACACCCGACAGCCCGAAGAACGAAAAAAGTCGTTAGCCCTGAAAACTTAAAGACATCCCTAAACCTTATACCATACCGAAGCCTTAAACCGTAAATCCTACATACACCCTGAGCCCTAATCCCTAAACCTTAAACTTAAACCCACCCTCAACTCCCTAAACTCCCTAAACCCTACCCCCTAAACTCCTTAAGCCCTAAACTCCCTAAACTCCTAAACTCCCTGAACTCCCTAAACCCTAAACTCCCTAAACCCTAAACCCTCAAACTCCCTGAACCCCTAAACATCCCTGAAAGCCACGGAGCTCCCCGAGCCGAGGCATTCTCGATCTCCGCGCCGCCATCCTCGAAGCCGAAGATGCCGGGGTGGACGAGGAGGAGCTGATGGAAGTGAGGCGCCCTGGAATTGTTTGGTGTGCTTTTTTGGGGTGGTAATTTGTTCTGGGCTTTTGTTTTGAGGGGGGTGGAGGCGCCTGCAGGGGGGGAGGGCGTTTTTTTGGGCGGATTACGGTTTAGGGATTTGGGGTTCAGGGGTTTAGGGTTTAGGTGCTTATGGAAGTCAGGTGCTCCGGGAATCATAGGGTTTTGGGGTTTAGTTAGGGTGTTATGGGGCTCATGGATTTAGGGGTCTAGGGTATTACCGAGCTCATGGAAGTCAGGTGCCCTGGAGGGGTCTTCCTTTGGGGTTTAGGGTTGAGGGTTTGGGGTGTGGGGGTTGAGGGTGTAGGGTTTCGGGTTGAGGGCTTCGGGGTTTAGGGTTTAGGGTTTCGTAACGCAGGGTCTTAGTAAATTAATAAGAATAGGATAGGTTTTGGGGGTATACTATACTATAACTGGAGGGGGCGTTTCTTGGGGGTTTCAAGGGGAGTTCTGCAAGGGCTCTTGAACGCGATAAACCCCAAAGCCTGTGAACCCTATAACCCTAAACCCCAAAACCTATGAACCCTATAATACCCCAAACCCCATAATCAATCCCACAAGCCCTAAACCCCCTGTAATACCCTAAACCCTCTGAGTCCCAGAATCGCATAAGCCCTAAACCCTAAACCCCCCAGAATACGCTAAAATTCCATAAGACCCAGAATCTCATAAGCCCTAAAGCAGGAAGCTTTATATGAACCCTATAATACAGCACCAGAATCCCATAAGCCCTACCCAAGTCGCGGCTCTCAATCCCAAAGCCTATGAACCCCAAAAATGTCCTAAACCCCAAACCCCATAACCCCTAAACCCCTACAGATCCCTGAAAGTACCCCTATGGATCCCTTTAAAGGAGCCCTTCTAAATCCCTATAAGCCCCGGAGCCAGGCAGCTCTTGGGCCTCGAGGAGCGGCGCGCAGACGCCCGCGCAGCGCTGGACGCGGCCACGCAGGGCCGTGACGTGGAGGTCGGCTTGCCCAAAGGGTCCCAGACCTTCCAAAATGCCTTAATTAAGGACTATACCTTAATTCATATTTGGGATCCTATTATAGTTTAAGGTATATTCCTTAATTAAGGGATTTTGGAAGGTCTGGGGTCCTAAAAGGGTTCGTTTAAAGGAACCTATATAAGGGTTTCTTTAAAGGGAATTATAAGGGTTCCTTTAAAGTGCTCCTTGAGGTCGGCTTTCTGACAGGGTTCCTAAGTACTGGCTAAACCCATAATAGGGAGTTTCCGAAAATAAGGGTTACCTTAAGGATCCTGCTGTTTAGGGGACCTTATTAGTATCCCCTATTTTCGGAAATCTCCATAGTGTGGGTTTAGGGTTTAGGGTTGAAGTAATTTATTGTAAGTGCCTATATCGTAGAATGTAGGGTTGGGATATTAGGAGCTACGATGATGATTTGGAGACGTATCCCCCATAACAGTACCTTTGTAATCCCAACGGCCCGTAGAGGTGTTCTGAATCTGTACCGATTATACTGATTATACCGTCTGCTCGTGCTCCGCATTATAATTCATTATAACGTATCCCAAAACTCGTCAAAGACCAAGTCTTTTCGACTTCGCTACTCTACCCAAACCCTAATACCTAAACCCTAAACCGAAACCCTTCTTGAGGAGGTGCCTTCGGCTTGGCGTGGCAACCCGAAGGCTAGAATCTTGAACCAGGATGCCCAGTACTACCCCTATTCCTTTTTTTTTGTAGTCCTAGGTTCCTCATACCCTACGGCCCCAAAGTAGTTCCTTTTTGGGATCACCCTATAGGATTCTATATATGAACCCCCAAAAAGGAACTACTTTGGGGCCTTAGGGTAAAGTTACCCAATACCATAAAGGAAGCCTTTTTTTCCTAGGTTACTGGGCATCCTAGTGAAGGCCTCCAACTGCAGGCCTTCCAGGCGCTGAAAGCATGCTCAAACAAAGGAGCATCGTTGAACTTATGACAAAGAGGTCTAAATAATTACCAAAACTGTTTTGGGAGTTCCATATTATAATAGTATAGCATAATGGGCCCCGGAACCCTATTTCAGTACTCACCCTTTTTGATCCCTTAAAGGAGCCCTATTCTTATTACAAAGGCCTCTATACTACGCCCAGGCCCTGAAACTTTGTTTTTCGCAGCCACTTCCCTGTCTCGCGCAGGCTCTGGAGGAGGCCCTTGAGGAGGCCAGCCGAGGATACCTGACACTGTCTGGTTCTTATAGTAGTAGGGAACGGGGGAATGGATTTATATGGAGACTTTAGAGTTTAGGGCTTAGGGAATGGATTATGGAGACTATTATTGGGGATTGCATAGGGACTACTATAGGGATCCATTCCCCCATTCCCTACTAAGCACCAGACAGGAGAGCTGTGCACTTTGGCAGTTGACTGCAAGATGCAGAGGCACAAAGGAGGAATAGGAATGATGGTACTAGAGGCGGAATCACGTTTTTTTCACCACAATCTTCGGCAGTGGTGCTGCAAGAATACGTGCAATGACCATTGTTAAACCCTAAACCCCTCAACCCTAAACCCTAAAACCCCAAACCCTAAACCCCTAAACTCTAATCCCTACAGAATTGCAGATGACGATCATGGCGATCGGCGATGGTGGTTTGATAGGCTCAGGGGTTCACTGGTCAGGCCGAGGCCTGCGGCCTCACTCCGAAAGAGACGGAAGTTGCGAGGCGTGGAGCGAAAGATACATGCGGGGGCTTCAGGGTTTAGGGTTATCAGGCTATCATATCTGGGGATAAATTTGTATATATACACTTTATAATGTGGCTCTCCGAAAGTCGTTAGTCTGTGCTCGGTTTTAAGTTGGCCAGGAAGTTGGAACAGACGTCCAGCGTTTTTTTGAAGTTATTGTAGGGCAGTAGGCTTACTGGCCCAGGGGCAAGGAGTAGGCAGTTTGGTATTTTGCCTCAACATGAGTCAGAGGCGAGATCTTTCTCTCGAGTTGTTCGCTCGAGATCGAGATTCAGCCGCAAGGAGAATTAGGAGTTCAACAGTCGCTCCTAGAAGACTGACCCCCAAAAAAGGAACCTACGAGGGCCAGAACGTTGAGTTCCCGAGTACATCCAGACCCCACACACCCCAGATTCCTGACCCAATCCCTACTCCTCGACCCTGCTTCTCGGCCCTACGTCTGAAATGCTACCTCCTAATCCCCAAACTCTCGGGTGCTCTTGAGGCAGGTTTTGGCTGAAGAGAACCGGAAGCTAGCCGCACTCGAAGGGCTACACAAGGCCAGGGAACGCCGATGTCATGTCATTTCAGGTCTTGGCATGTATGAGGGCTTGTCGCAGAATCATTTTCAAGACCCCTAAACCCTAACTCCCTTGTGGCGAGTCCGACGTCGTTCTGCAGAATCGAAAGAGGGCTATTGCACTTAAAAAAAACCCTAAACCCTTGCATATGGGGGGTTCAGGAATTCTGGGCCTTAGGGGTTTAGGGGGTTGGGCCGGCTTGGCGACACAAGATGTACCACAATGCACGTTCCTCAAGGCATCCCATAAGCTGTAGCGTGGACTCCAGCAGAAGAAAGCAAGATACCACAACGGGTGTTATGAACCGCTGTCTTTGTGCAGCTGAGAATCGCAGGATGTGACTTAAGTCTGAGACCAGTCGGCTTCATGGACATCCGTGGCCACGAACAGTCACCCTCAAACCCTATAAGCCCTAAATCGCAGACTCGTGACTACCCGTAGGCCCCATAATCGTTCCTTTTTGGGATTACCTTATAGGATTCTAAACATGATCCCGAAAAAAGAACTACTATGCGGCCTGTGGGTATAGGTATGAAGGCCCCTTACCCCCCGTCCCCCGAATTACCCCTCTAAGGATCCTTATGGTTTCCGGACGAATATAGGGGACTTAATAATGAGGGTTTACGGTTCCTTTAAAGGGGTCAAAGGCCCATATACTAAATCCTTGTAATACCCCTTATAGTACAGTAATCCATATAGACCCCTTTAAAAGGAACCCTTAAAGGAACCTTTAGTGATGCGCCCCCCGGAGGCCACGGCCTCCCGCACGGCGGAGCTGCTCTCCGCGGCCATCGCCGAAGCCGAGGCTGCCGGGCTCGAAGCCCCGGTGCCTTGGCTTTTTAGGGTTTAGGATTTAGGGGTTAGGGTTTAGGATTTAGGGGTTAGGGGTTGGGGTTTAGGATTTAGGGGTTGGGGTTTAGGGTTTAGGGGCTGGGGTTTAGGGTTTAGGGGTTGGGTTTGAGTACCATACTTGAGTACTTTTTTTGGTACCTGTTCCTTAAAGGAGCCATTATGAAATAAAAGTCTACACTTTTATTTTCCTGGTTACTTCAAAGTCCAGTCTTGGGCTTGTCAGAGGTTGTTTGTTCTTTGTTTGTCGTGTGTGAGTATGTGTGTCTTCGTGACATGGTCTAGGGCCCAAAAGTTCAGGGTTGCTAGCAGGATGTTTGTAGGTTTTTTTTGCGTTTGAAAGTTCCTTCAGTAAGGAAAAGGCTTGGCTGTTGCAAGGTTGTTTTTTGTTATGATAGATAGAGTTGTACAGCGACTATCAGGGTTTCAGTTTTCTCTGTAATATGTGTTTAGACGTGTGGAGTGTTTGGGGGTCTTCGAGGTTGAGGGGTTTAGGAGCCCCCTCCACATAATCTTGAATCGGGAGTGAGCTGCATGAATACAGCTCTCATCGTGTCGTGGACATCGTCATTGTCATGAGCGCAGCATCATCCTCGTCGCATGCATGAGTGTTCTCGTCGTCCCGGTCATGGCACATCATCAAAACAAGGACAGCAGCAACCATCATCCCCCCAGAGACCTCCCAACATAATTCAAGGCAAATACTAATACTAGTATTAATATTAATATTAGTATTAGCATTAGTATTAGTATTAGTATTAGTATCAATATTCGTATTAATACTAACACCCCTAATTTTCGGAAGACTTGTTAGGAACTCGACGATGCCCGCAGCGCCCTGGCGCACGAGCAGCAGATCCTTGGTCTGCACTTGCACTGAGCTGCGGTGCCTTTGGGAGATGGTTCGAGTTTCCGAAACTAAGGGGTACCTTTAAAGGGATCTATAAGGGTTCCTTAAAGGGATCTATAAGGATTCTATAAGGGTTTTGGGTTTAGGGTTTCCGAAAATTAGGGGATACCTTCTTTAGGGGTCCTTAGAATAAGGATCCTACTATTTAGGGTACTATATTAGGGTCCCCTATTTTCGGAAACTCCCAGATGGTTCGAGTTTTGGAGGATCTGGACCCAGACCTTCCAAAATCCCTTAATTAAGGAATATGCCTTAAACTATAATAGGATCCCAAATATGAACTTAAGGTATATTCCTTAATTAAGGGATTTTGGAAGGACTGGGGATGTCAAGTCACAGCTGCTGATTGGCGGCAGGCAAGGCAGCATAAGCAGCAGCCAGTATGTTGCACTCGGTGTCCGGGTATGTTTGGGGTGTCGGGTATAGTGCAGTTTCGCATGTGGGTCCTGTGATTTGTGGAGCATCAGTGAGCCGTATGAGCACAGAGGGGGTGATCAACTCCGTGACCGGCCAGGGTGCGCTGACCTACGGAGTTTTGAAGGGTTTAGGGTTCAGGGTTTAGGGTTGAATTTAAGGTTTAGGGATGTACGGGTTCAACCTTAAACTCAACGCTCTGAACGCATACCTGGCCAGGCAAGAAGACAGCGCGGTAGTCAGCGCACCAATGACCCTCTGGAATGTACTCGCAGCAGCCTTAAACCCTGCACCCCAAACCTTAGAAGCTGAACCACATGCCACAGGTCCATCCACAATGCCCTCCGCCCGGCTAGCAATTCGTGGCACGTCCAATGTAGTAGCACTGACATGGCACTGAAGGAAAGCAGCCGCACGCACCAGTCTGGCTCGCGCGGCCAGCAGCAGGCCCCTTCCTCATAGGGGACTATACTTCCTTGAATAGGCCTTATGAAGTCCTTATTACCCATAGGCGCCATAGTAGTTCCTTTTTGGGATTACCTTATAGGATCCCAAATCTGAACCACAAAAAGGAACTACTATGGAGCCTGTGGGTATAGGTATGAAGGCCCCTTACCCCCTCCCCCGAATTACCCCTCTAAGGATATTTATGATTTCCGGACGAATATAGGGGACTTAATAATGATGGTCTACGGTTCCTTGAAAGGGTCAAAGAGGGCTAATATAAGGGCTACTATGAGGGTTTAATATAGGCGCCCAAATTGCCAATACTATCTTGGGGGTTCTTTCGTATAGATATGGTATAATGTACACCCAAACCCTATTCTAATAAGGCCCACGTAATTATGCTACAGTATACCCCCAAAGCGAGTGGAAGCTAGGGTTTTGCCACAAGGTTTGAGCATCTTAGGGCTTCAGGGCTGAGGGCTCTAGGGTGTTCTGGTTTTGGGTGAAAGGGCTTCGTAGGTAATTAGGGTTTCAAGGGCTGGGGAGCTTAAAGGTTCGGAGTCTAGCGGCGCTTCTGCAAACGTTGGCCGATGCAAAGGCAGAAGGTTTGAACCTCCTCCGCCGCCCGAACGCATTGGAGCTGCCTCGAGCAAGGTCCCTTCCCGAGTCCCAGCGCCGTTCCGGGTTTAGTGTTTTGTAGATCTGGGGCTCGGCAAGCACGGGACACTGGGACACCATGATATGAAGAACCGCCCCAAACCCTTCTAAAACTCATACAAACCTGATAACCCCTTACAAGGCCACCAAAATCCCTGAACCCCAAAGCCCAACAAGCAACCGCCATCTGAGGCAGATCGGTGGCCTTCGCGACGCACTTGCCGAGGCTATCAACCTCGGTCTTCCAAGCGAAGAGCATCTCGGAGCGATGCCTTACCAGGGTTGTTCGGGCTTGGGGTCAAGGGCTTTCGGTTCAAGATTTCGGTTAACAGTGTGGTTTTGCGGTTGAACAGTGTGTTGAAGCGACCAGCAAGGTAGAAATTGCTGCAATCGTCAGTTGTGGTACGTATGGAACGGGATTCTGACCTGGTACTTACGGGATAGGAAACCACATCTAAATATGCCTTTTCTCCCCATGCCTAAACTTCATAATCTCAAGAAACTTGGAATCTCGACATCATGAACATCATGCCTCCGTCATCTCAGCGTCGGACTATCGACTGCGAACCTCCGAAGACCTTCGCCGCCCTCAGTCCAACGGCAAACACAACAAGGGAAGTAACCCCCAGAATGCAATTGCAGATTGACGGATCCTGTTCCGATCACCCAGTTTTGTGTCAGCTCCGAAGCGCAGAAGCCCTTTCGGGCTCAGAGTGAAGGCGAGTTTTGGGCTGCTTGCCATATCCAGAGACTCATATACTACACCCTTTACCCTAATGTTTCTAAATGAACCTAGCTCAAACCATACTCGTAATTAGAAGGGGAGCCTCAATAAGCTCCTTATGGCAGCCATACGAAGACCCCCTTTCGTTTCAAAACACACTTAGGGGTTTGGGGTTTAGGGTGTACCCAGAGATTCCAATATCCCTTAATTAAGGAATATTCCTTACATCAGATTAGGGATCCTACACTATAGTCACTATAGTTTATGGTACATTCCTTAATTAAGAGATGTTGGAGTCTCTCGGTACTTCAAAGGATCATGGGACTTAGTAACTAGGGTTATACTTAGGGTAACTATACTTATAACCCCAATTAAGGTACCTATAACCTTACTTACTAAGTCCCATGATCCTCCAAGTATATTAGGAACTATAGGGCTACTGTAAGGGTACTAAAATATAGGGGCCTTAAGAATCCTATAAAGGGGTCTATAAGGGTTCCTATAAGGGAAGAACGTCAGCATACCCGGAAGTCCCAGGCTCGGAGCTGCTCAGATGGCTCTGCGGCAAGAAGAGCGCAAGGAAGCGGCCAAAGACGCTTTGGCGGAGGCCATGATGCGGCTGGGCAGAGCTTTAGGGGCTGTTGAGTTGTTTGGCAGTTTTTTGAAAGGCATTTGAGGTTCATAAGGGTTGCATGGGGTTTCTTGAAGGGTTCTATACGTATCTGGTTCCCTTGTGGGGTTGAGGACTTCGGGTTCAGGCTCAAGCTGTGCTCGTAACATGACTCCTGCTTCCGTCTCAGTTGGGAGTACACGTCTGCCGGGCCATGACCGGGCATGGCCTTCGGTCGTCAGAGGACCCTAAGCCCAAACGTTAGGGCCCTTGTTCTAGGCTGCTGGAGGCTTATCCTAGCTGGAGGTTCGGTTCAAGGCATGCTTTGAGGTGTAGTATTGCCAGCATCAATACGTAATGACATTGTGTGTGTGTGTGTGTGCGCGTGTGTGTGTGTGTGTGTCTGTTGGGTCTTGGAGTCATGGGCCAATGCCACAAGCTCCAGGCTTCAGGTATCAAAATGTAGTCGTTGTCGGCCACGCTTGACTGCTTCATGTGCGGCTGCGGTGTATACATTCGAACCCAGGCCTTCCAAAATCCCTTAATTAAGGAATATACATTAAACTATAATAGGATCCCAAATATGAATTAAGGTATATTCCTTAATTAAGGGATTTTGGAGTGTCTTGGAAGCCAGCTCCGGCTACGCTAAGGAAGCCTGAGATCGGCACGCCTCTAGCTTGCATTTGAAGTGGGGTGGGATGGGCCTTTGAATCGCGAGAACTGAGCCGTACAAGTGACAAGTCCAAGATGGAGTCGCTTAGGATGAGGGGGAGGAAGAGGATGATGTATCTGAGGGTCATGTCGAATTTCATATCATAGTCATGCAATGGCGACGATGATGGTGGCGATGTTGATGTGACTGGGATAACTGAGAAGGTAATGTTCTGGGTTGTGCCGGGCAGATTTTTGTTGGAAGGCAGTCTAGTGAAGCTTGCGAAAACTTTGATTTCTTGGCATTGGGCATTCCGAACGACATGTGTCGCGAAGAGCCGTCGAGGCAGGTACACAGAGCAGGGACGGTGAATTCGCCGAGAGCGCAAAACCCTAAACCGCAAAACCATGGGTCCTCAACCTTATCCATAGGCTCCATAGTAGTTCGTGTTTGTGATTATTTAGGATCCTATAAGGTAATCCCCAAAAGGAACTACTATGGATCCTATGGGTAAACCAAGCCTTAGAAACTGACCCTTCTTCGACTGTCTGGTTCCTAGTAGGAAATGGGGGAATGGGGCATGGGGACTATCGTTAAGAGTTATATAGGGACTACTATATAGGGATCCATTCCCCCATTCTTTAGACCCTAAGCCCTATACATCCCCTTGAAGGAGACCTTAAAGAGACCCAAAATCCTCAAAGGGATCCATTCCCCCATTCCACCAAGCATCAGGGAGTCTTCGCTGCAGGCTGGAAATGGCCTTGCAGGAGGCGCTCCAAGCCGGTCTGCCGGAAGCCGACTGCTTGCCGGCGCAGGCGAGCGCTCGGCAAAGAGTCTCCTTAAGGACGAAAAGAACCCTGAAAGGGTTTAGGGTTCAGAAAACTTTATAGGGATTCATAGTATAGTTGTATGGGGCCCATTCTTTTAAGGCTCGTTTGGCCCTTACGGAATTAGGCACTGTCTACAGATGTATATCTACATGACGGATACACATGCCTGTGCACATGCAACAATGCTTCAACCGTGAGCAATGGACCGGTCGCAGCACTGCACATCCCGAATCCCTAAAACCGAATCCTACGCCCAGAACCATATATATATATATATATATATGCTGACTTTTAAATCCCCAGCGCTACACCTGCTCTTAACCAGAAAGCTAGACGAATCGAGCGTTCTGAACTGAATCTTCCGAATCTTTCAACCTCAGAAACCTGCCCGCGGGACCTTCTCAATAGGTTCTATGACATATAAAAAACCCTGGAAAACACCATGAAGCCCCATGAAATCAATGCTTTGGAATCTCATTGAGATCTCAAACATGTCAGGGGAACCCAGAGGAACCCTTCTGGATCCGTTATAGTAATTAAGCCTTATAGTAACGCTTCAAAGGATCCCTCATAGTACGTAACTTGCCTGGCCGTTCGAGGCAGCCCTTGAAGATGCGAAGCATCTCGCCGAGGCTCTGGAACAGCGCACAGAGCATTTACGATTTATTTATATGGATTGAGGGTTTCAGGGTTTTGGGGGTTTTGGGCTCTAGGGTTTCAGGGTGTGGGGTTTCAGGATTTTCTTTGAGGGGGGGGGTTAGGAAGCCCTAAACCCTAAAGGGTTTTAGGGCTTTACGGTTCCGGGGTTTAGGATTTTCTGTGGTTTTAGTGTTTCAGGGTTTCGACTGCCAGGGTGTGGGGTCGTTTAGGGTTTAGGGGCAGTATTGAAGGGAGTACTATCAGGAGTGGATGAAGACTTCGTAAGGGCATAGAGTCTAGTTTTACATGGGGGCCTTATTGGTTAGAATAGGGTATTGGGGCCCACTATACCGTAATCATAATAATACGGAATGCCAAAACACTATTGGTGATTATTTAGGCCCCTATATTAGCGTTTCGTGCAGAGAGGGTGAGAGTGTGAAGGGTTTGGGACTTTTCGGGTGTAGGGGAGGGGCCTGAGTGTCCAGGGCTTCGCTGGCGCTGTGCTGAGGGTCTTGGGCTTGAGATTGTAATAGAGAGGCTTTGATAAAGCAACTACACTAGTTTGGTGGTTCCTTTTATTGGATTTACAGTGTAATTGGCTCCAAACCCTTTTCAATTGAATTATTAACCAGGACCCTCCTTGTACCCGCAAATAGGGGTATATGGTCGCAAGTAATGCGCACTTAGGGTCTGATAGGGGGTAGATGGATGGTCCTGAACCCTATACCCTGAACCCTAAAGCCCTAAACCCTGAACCCCTTTAAAGCCCTAAGCCACCCTGAACCCTAAACCTTGGATTTACAGTGTAATTGGCTCCAAACCCTTTTCAATTGAATTATTAACCAGGACCCTCCTTGTACCCGCAAATAGGGGTATATGGTCGCAAGTAATGCGCACTTAGGGTCTGATAGGGGGTAGATGGATGGTCCTGAACCCTATACCCTGAACCCTAAAGCCCTAAACCCTGAACCCCTTTAAAGCCCTAAGCCACCCTGAACCCTAAACCCTGGATTTACAGTGTAATTGGCTCCAAACCCTTTTCAATTGAATTATTAACCAGGACCCTCCTTGTACCCGCAAATAGGGGTATATGGTCGCAAGTAATGCGCACTTAGGGTCTGATAGGGGGTAGATGGATGGTCCTGAACCCTATACCCTGAACCCTAAAGCCCTAAACCCTGAACCCCTTTAAAGCCCTAAGCCACCCTGAACCCTAAACCTTGGATTTACAGTGTAATTGGCTCCAAACCCTTTCAATCCAACGAATTGGACTTGTACCCGCAAATAGGGGTATATGGTCGCAAGTAATGCGCACTTAGGGTCTGATAGGGGGTAGATGGATGGTCCTGAACCCTATACCCTGAACCCTAAAGCCCTAAACCCTGAACCCCTTTAAAGCCCTAAACCACCCTGAACCCTAAACCTTGGATTTACAGTGTAATTGGCTCCAAACCCTTTTCAATTGAATTATTAACCAGGACCCTCCTTGTACCCGCAAATAGGGGTATATGGTCGCAAGTAATGCGCACTTAGGGTCTGATAGGGGGTAGATGGATGGTCCTGAACCCTATACCCTGAACCCTAAAGCCCTAAACCCTGAACCCCTTTAAAGCCCTAAGCCACCCTGAACCCTAAACCTTGGATTTACAGTGTAATTGGCTCCAAACCCTTTTCAATTGAATTATTAACCAGGACCCTCCTTGTACCCGCAAATAGGGGTATATGGTCGCAAGTAATGCGCACTTAGGGTCTGATAGGGGGTAGATGGATGGTCCTGAACCCTATACCCTGAACCCTAAAGCCCTAAACCCTGAACCCCTTTAAAGCCCTAAGCCACCCTGAACCCTAAACCCTGAACCCTGACCCCCAAACCCTGAACCCCAGGAAGGGCCCCATACTTAAAGGATCATGGGACTTAGTAACTAGGATTATAAATAGGGTAACTATACTTATTACCCCAATTGAGGTACTTATAACCTTACTTACGAAGTCCCATGATCCTCCAAGTATTCCTTTTGCGCGGTTTGCCGGAGGTGCGCGGAGCCCTGGACTTGGCCATGCGCTCACGCGATGCCAGGAGGCGCCACATTGTCGACGCAAGGGTGAGGGCGGTTGGGGGAGGTTTTGGGGCTTAAGTTTACCCTAAGGCCCCAAAGTAGTTCCTTTTTGGGGTTCATATATAGAATCCTATAGGGTAATCCCAAAAAGGAACTACTTTGGGGCCTTAGGGTAAGTTTAGAGGCTTGACTTTGAGGTTTTGGAGTTTAAGTTTAGAGGCTTAGGTAGGTAGGGTTGGGATTTTTTTTGGGGGGATGTTCAAGAGTTCGGGTTGGCAGCGTGTGGCTTTGGGCCTTCAGATGTGTAGTTGATTACTTGGAGGCTCATGGGACTTACTAAGTAAGGTTATAAGTTATGAGCTCCTTGATAATGCCTTCCAGAAGGCCTTTGGCTGGGGGATCAGCGAATATCTTCCTGAACGACCCGTCCGAGCCTTGCAGACTGGGGAGACGCGGTACTTCGTTTCGATGGTAGCGCCGGGCGAAGAGCAAGAGCGCAGGCTACTCTGCGCTGTGCCGTTCGTTACGTATGTTGATACCTGGTTTCTTTAGGCTGGAATGCAGCAGGGGTCCAGGCATCTTGAGCAAAGTTCGGCGTCCGTTGGGCGAAGTGGCTTGAGGTGGCGTGGTCTTGCCTTAAGCTATTTGGAGCTTCCAACCTGGTCGCCCTGTGGTCGACCTGCTTGTCGAGGAAGTGGCAGCAGAGGAGTCAAGTTAAGATGTTGAGATGCAAGGCTCAAGGGAAGCTCACGATCCCAACTGGCTTGGAAGAGTTCAAAAGCCTCCGCTGAACGGCCGGAGACTATGCGGCATAAAAGACGTCCTCGAGAGATCACCGTGGCACACTCAATGTCCAAAACCCCGGTGCAAGCACGAAGTTGGAACCTAATTTTGACAACCACCCATATGGGTACTTAAACCCACGAATGAGTGGAAAACTAAGTTTCTGATATTGTCCCGGCCATGGACTGGATTTCTGCCCAGCTTTTGTTCAGAAGCTGTTGCTTCCTCACCGAACTCCAAGGTACCCCAGAACTCATAAACCTTAGTTCAACCCTGATTCGCCTTGCCCGAACTCTCATGCGCCAAGAGCCGACAGAACATGTAGGCCCCGGCTTCCAAACCCAAAACCTAAGCCTGGACCTGAACCCACCGAAGACCCTGAGATCCCTGAGCACAGCACCCTAGAAGTGTAGTCTATGAAGCCTTTACTGAATATAGAGAACAGTCCACAAGATTATAAACCCCCCAAACCTAAACCCCGAAGGCCTGAACGCACTAAACCTCCAAACCCAAAAGTCAAAACCCCCCCACCAGACTCCCAAACTCCTAAACCCTAAACCCCTAATATAGGGGTTGTAATAATTACCTATACTATTTTGGTGGCTCCTCCTCGTACAGTATCATGGGCCCAAAACCTAAGTGTCATTTTTAACGGAATTTTGTAATAATTAGAACCCTACTATAGACCCCTGATAGACCCCTTATAGAGCCCTTTAAAGGAACCCTGGTCTAACTATCAAGGCCCCTACTTAAAGGATCATGGGACTTAGTAACTAGGATTATAAATAGGGTAACTATACTTATTACCCCAATTGAGGTACTTATAACCTTACTTACTAAGTCCCATCATCCTCCAAGTATATGAAACCCTAAACCCTAAACCCTATAGATCCCTTTAAGGAACCCTTTAAGGATCCCTTTTAAGGATTCCTAAACCTTACTTACTAAGTCCCATCATCCTTCCTTGGAGGCTCTTTGAGGCTCTGCTGGCCGCGGAGCAGTGCGGCCTGGCACCGGAGGAGTTGGCCGCGGGCGAGGCGGTTCTCAAAGAGGCGCCTCTTCTGGGGGGGGCTTTGGGGTTTTAGGGTTTTAGCACTCCGCTACCAGTAGGGGTTTGGGTGGAGAGAGAGGGAGAGAGAGAGAGAGAACCCTAAACCCTAAACCCCTAAACCCTAAACCCTAAACTTCTAGGGGACTTAAGGGCTCCTGGGTTCGATTTTGCTTGTTCTGGTTGTTTCTTTGGCAGGAGTTTTTTGTTCTCTCGGTGAGGTTCGTGACACCATGGTGGGGTCAGGGATGTTTAGGATTTAGGGTTTTTGGTTTAGGGTTTGGTTTTGTTGCCGGCCTTGCTTTGTGAAGCGATTGAGACCCAGTCCTGGGCCAAGCCAAGCCATTCTCGAACCTGTACCCTGAAGGAGGGCACCCTCAAATAGGACCGACACCCAAACTCTGCACGCCCTTAACTAAGACCCTAAGCCTATCTCAACCCGATACCTCCCAAACCTCAACCCCTAAACGGCCCTAAGCCCTGAGGCCTCAAAGCGTTTTCCATTGCCAGCACGGCATAGGATTCGGTCTGAAAGAAGCTGTGCGGTTGAGGTTCTGAGGCCTTGAGGCTTTGTTGGGGTTCAGGGATTGGGGTTTTAGGGTCTTAGAGCAGGCTTTGTTCAATGATGTTAAGTGGTGTGTGTGGGTACGGTGTTTTGGTCGTTTTCAGGGTTCGGGGATTTAGGCTCTGCAGTGTTAGATCTTGTCGGAACTGTACAGCGAGAACGTGAGCAAGCTGCAAAAACCTTCATGCCCTCCATCGAACCTAAGACCCTAAGGCCCTAAGACTTAACCCTAACCCCTGAACCCTAAGGCTAAATCCTCAACTTTTAGTATCGTCGACCCGAAACCCGATTTTTGCAGCTTACTAAGTCTCTCTCTTTGAGACCGCATCGCCCGTGTTGCCTGATGTATCGTGGGACGAAGAGGGGTGTCATGAAACGCTGAAACTTTACAGCTCCAAGAAACCCTAAACACTAAACCCTTCATCTCTAAGCCCAACCCAGATGACGAAGCCTTAAATCCTTGACCGTAAACTCCTTCAATACTCCACAGCCTGCCAAGCAAAATATAAACCCCCAAATCGAAGACATGTAATTCTCGGTTTGGGAACCATAAAGCCCTAAAGCCTAAACCTCAATCACAAGCCTCAAACCTCTATTCTGGAATTCAGTATTCCAGCCAAAACCTAGCAAACGCTGCGCATAATCCGCCACGAAAACCTTAGCGACTTCTTAGTGGGCTTTACGGTAACGTAGAAAGTCGAAGCGGGTCCAGGTTGCTAGGCTTACCCTGAACCTAAGGCCCTCCTGATAAATAAACCCCGTATGTAGTCAAAGGTATTAAAGTTTACAGGGACCCTCATATCCGGCTCCTGAAAAAAAATCCTCCGAATCCTACGCGCAAAACTCCCACACCCCAAGTTTCACGCAGAACCCCAATTCAGTCCTCAACCCTTTAGCGCTGGATGTGATCCTGAAAAGAGCCACGTAAGCCCCCGAACGGTGTGCAAACATCCAGCCATCCAGGCCCGGCTTCGTGAATCCCGCGCTGCGCTGCAGAAAGCCGTGGCCACGCAGGTGGATCGGCGAGTTTTCGCATCTTTGGAGAGCAGATCTTTCGGGTTTGGTGCTTTTGTGCTTCGACGTGATAACGGTACAGGCTTCTGGGCAGGTTTTGGTTTACCCATTTTGCAGGCGGTCTCTCCGACGGTGTCGAAGAGGCGCCACTTGGATACGAGACTACACCCGTAGGCCCCATAGTCTTTTTGGGATTGCCTTGTGGGATGCTAGATGAAAACCCCATTACTGTGGTGCCTGTGGGTAGGTTCTGCTAAACTCTAGCCCTAAAACCTCAAATTGCCTTCAAAGCCACCAAGTGGCCAGCCAGGGCAACCTGGGAGCCATAACATAGGGGCCTTAATATATAATTTCCTATACTATTTTGGAGGTTCCTTATTGTAATTTTAGTATAAAATGCTACAAAACCCTATTCTAGTTGTTTTGGCCCCTACAATATAGCAGGTCTTGAGGAAGAGTCTGTGCTCCCGGCCACACAGCAAACAATGGATCTTCGGTACCATCGTTGCGATGTGGTGCAAATTCGGCCCCGAACTACAATACCTACGAGTACGAGTGTCTCGAGCTGTCATGCTCCAGATTTGGGTGGTTGTCAAAATTAGGGTCCCTTTTTGGATCCTTATTATAATACGGCACCTACGTATTATTCAGGGTACCGAAAAAGGGGACTCTAATTTTGACAACTCCCCATTTGGTTCAATCGCATTTACCATGCTGTGGGTTCTGCATTGAATACTGAACCTCCCCGTCCAAGCCTCATTTAACCCGAGAGAACACCGAAAAGAAGCGCTTCGTCCTCAGAACAGAAGGGGGCGAATCAACGGCAGCCGCCTGCTACCCATAGGCCCCAAAGTAGTTCCTTTTCGGGTTCATATATAGAATCCTATAAGGTAGTCCCAAAAAGGAACTACTTTGGGGCCTATGGGTAAGCTAAGGCGCCTACATCACACAGAGTTGAGCCCCCCCGCAAGACCCTAAAGCCTCATCACGGAACTCTACTTGGAGGATCATGGGACTTAGTAAGTAAGGTCAGTAAGGTCATAAGTACCTTAATTGGGGTTATAAGTAGAGTTACCCTAATTAGTATAAACCTAGTTACTAAGTCCCATGATCCTTTAAGTGGACCCTAAAGCCCCTCTCATAATAGAACCCCTATAGATCCCCTTTAAAGGAGCCCTTTAAAGCATAACCCTAGTTACTAAGTTCCATGATCCTTTAAGTAGCTGACCCCCAGTTCCCAGACCATGAGCCCGGGCACCCTTAACCCAGAGCCTTTCGCAAGAACCCTGTAGGGTATTAGCGTATTAGGGTATTTGGGTTTCTGGTATCGAATAATATACATTATTATTATTGTATATATATATATATATATATCCATCCCGCTTTAGAAACTCCATAAAAGATAGCCAGACCCTGCAGACCCTAAGCCAGGACGTGTCCACGCTCTTCCACGCCGTGGCGGAGGGCGAAGCTGCGGGGCTCGACCCGGAGGCGAAATGCCGATTCTCTGGATCCTTGCTGAGGGGTTTAATTTATGGGTTAGGGTTTAATTAGGGTTTTAAGGGTTTAGGGTTTAGGGTTCTTGCTGAGGGGTTTCATTTAAGGGTTAGGGTTTAATTAGGGCTTTAAGGGTTTAGGGTTTAGTTTAAGGGTTAGGGTTTACGGGTTTAGGGTTTGGGTTCTTGATGAGGGGTTCAATTTAAGGGTTAGGGTTTAATTAGGGTTTTTAGGGTTTAGGGTTCTCGCTGAGGGGTTTAATCAAAGAGTTATAGGGGTTTAGGGATTTTAAGGTTTAGAGTTTAGGGTTCTTGCTGAGGGGTTTAATTTAAGGCTTGGGGTTTAGGGCTTTTAGGGTTTAGGGTTCTTGCTGAGGGATTGAATTTGAGGTACCAATTGGGGATATTTAAGGGATCAATAAGGGCTGGGTTAAATTCATAAACAAGAACCCAGTTCTTTTCAGTCACAAACCTGAAGGGTTTGGAGGTTCGTGTTGTATATAAGGGGTTAGGGGCTCGTCTTCTACATAGGGGTTTAAGCTTGGGGTTCGGTATTCTATGTGAGGGTTTCGGCGGTGCGTATTGTATATCAGGGTTTCTAAAGACTTTAGTATTTAATGGATCGTTTGGAGCACCAAATGATGCTTCTTGATCAGCTTCTTTCTGCTGTTCGTGCTGGTACCATCCACTTTCATTTGAGCAGGTGTTGCGGATGTAGGAGGCGTCAAGTGGTCATTGCCGCGTCGGCAGAGAACTGGTACAGACGAAAAGTAGGGCAGTGGACATCCATGGTACCATACACGGCATGACCTTCAACCCGGATTTTCAACGGCAGCAACGTTCGTGTGTCTGCCCAGAACTCTAAAATCCCTCTTCAAGCTCCAATGTGATTTCCAGATGCTGCAAGGCTGTAGCAGCCGTTAGTGAGAAGCATCCAGCATGCGGCAAAACAGTCACCAGATGCCTAGACCCTGAACCTTACCCGCCCCCCCTCACAGCACACAGCACAACTTGCCGAAACTTGCATTCTGCCAAACCTTAATGTTGAATCCAAGATGCTGGCAGCACTGACCTTTCCTGGCCTTGATGTAACTGCCATCGTTGCTTTGTTATCATCGGCCGTATTCCCATATTCATACATGTAGGCAGCCTTCACGAAAATCTTTCATACCCTGTAGAACACCCTATCCAAGCCCTACAACAACCCTACAAAACCTTCAAGAACCTCGCAGTACAATTAGAATAGCTTTTGGCGTATATTATACTAAAAATAAAGGAAGAAGAAGCCATAGCATTGGTGATTATCTGGCCCCTACGTAAATAAACCTTTTTAGTAAACCCTACTAAATCCGTAATACAGGTACACACCTCGAAATTCGTTTTTTAACGCCCTACTAACTTAAACCCTGTAAAAACAACCTTCCTAACCCCCTTTGAAGAACCCTAACCCCACGAAACCCTATTTAAAAAGATAACCCTCCAAACCCCTAAACCCTAAACCCTCCTAACCCCTAAACCCTAAACCCTCCTAACCCCTAAACCCCTAAACCCTAAACCCTCCTAACCCCGCTTTTAGAAGCCGTCCGCCTCTGGAGAGGACCTGGACTCCGCGAAGGCGGCTCTACAGGAAAAGGTCCGGAAGGCCACGGAGGTGGGACCGTGGGTGTAGGGTGTAGGGTTTAGGGCTTAGGCCCCTTTAAAGGGATCTATAGGGGTTCCTTAAACGGATCTATAGGGTTTAGGGATTAGGGTTTAGGGATCAGGGTTTAGGGTTTAGGGATCAGGGTTTAGGGTTTAGGGATCAGGGTTTAGGGTTTAGGGATCAGGGTTTCGGGCTATATAAGGGTTTCGGTTTAGGGTTTAGGGTTAGGGTTTCTGGTTAAGGGTTGAGGGTTTAAGGGTACAGGGTTTGAGTGCAGGGTGAAGGGGTTTAGTGTTTATTTAGGCTTAGGGCTCAGAGCCTCGAATTTTGCTGAAAGCATCGCGAAGGGTGGTTCCGTGCGGAGCCGGTTAGAGAAGTACATAGATGACAGACATAGAATCGAGTACATAGATGACATGCATCGAGTGGATCACATAGAGTCAAGTACATAGATGACTTACCAGGACTCAAGCTCAATGCACTGTATGCTATGGCTCTATGCACTTGACTCTATGACTCTATGATTCTATGCACTTGCGTCTATGACTCTATGCTATGACTCTATGTACTTCACTCTATGCACTTGACTCTATGCACTTGACTCTATGACACTATGGCACTATGACTCTGTGACTCTGACTCTATGACACTATGACACTTGACTCTATGACTCTGTGACTCTATGACTCTGTGCTTCTGACTCTATCCGGCTTATCTACATCTCGGTATATATTCCCTCTTTTTAAAGCCAGGGTGGCACCGTCGTCATCGATCGGGAATGCAACCGGGTTTAGGATCAGGGTTTAGGGCTTGGGGTTTAGGGTTTAGGGATCAGGGTTTAGGGTTTAGGGATCAGGGTATAGGGTTTAGGGATCAGGGTTTAGGGTTTAGGGAACAGGGTTTAGGGTTTAGAGTTTAGGGTTTAGGCTTTAGGGAAGGCTTGGGTATTGGCGTTTAGGGTTCAGGGCCAAGGTTTTAGTTTAGAGCATACTACTTGTGGGGCTTAGGGCTACAGGGTATTAGAGCATCCCAGTCGCCAGGACGGCGAGGAGCTCCTTTTCGGATCTCGTGCCACTCTACTCCCGCCGGCTGGGGATCTCGCCTTCGAGGTTCGGTCGGGGGGGTGTTGTTCATGAGTAGTGTTGTGATTTCGCTGCTTATTCTGGTTATTGTGCATGTTACTGTTGGTTTAGTTATACTGTTATTATGAAAAGATGTATGAACATCACTTTTGATGTCAGTATCGATATTCACGTCAATGTTGATCGCACTCTTCTTATTATTATTACTACTGTACTACCGCTCCTGCTACTACTGCTACTACTACAACTACTACTGCTGCTACTACTACTACTACTACTGCTGCTGCTGCTGCTGGTGCTGCTGCTGCTGCTGCTGCTGCTTCTACTACCACTAGCACGACTACTACTAGTACTGCTGCTGCTACTGCTACTGCTACTGCTACTGCTACTACTACTACTACTACTACTACTACTACTACTACGACTACTACTACTACTACTACTACTACTACTACTACTACTACTACTACTACTACTACTACTACTACTACTACTACTACTACTACTACTACTACTACTACCACTAAGTATTATGACTATGATTATGACTATTAGTGCCAGACTTAGTACTATTACTAATATCATCGCGATAAGTCTTTTTCAATGTTAGTGTGAACACCGTTGCCGTTTTCTTCTTGTCATTAATGGTCGTACTAGCCTTAATCGTATTAGTATTGGTGCTTATCTTTTGTCTTTATGGGCCCTTTCCTCTTTCGGTAGTACTGTTATTATGTTAGCACTCTGACTGCAATTTCTGCTGGTACGGTTGCTGCTGCTGTTGTTGTTGCTGTTGTAATTGTAGCTGCAGCTGTTAACTACTGTTATTGCTGCTGTTGTTGTTACCACGACGGTTTCTGTGGCCGACCGACCCTCCCATTGCGATTGTTGTTATTATTGTTATTGTTGTTGTTGCTGTCGCTGTTTGCTACGGGTGGTACTTGCTACTATGACAGTTTATGTATCCATGCACACGCACACACACCTGTGTAACATGTTCGTATAGAGGGAGAGAGATACGTACACACACACACACACATTACGTTTGTGGGCTACAGGTTATTACAAAGCTTCTTTTCAACGGTTGAATTAGGTTTGATGTGTTTAAAGGTTCTCGGGTTGAAGGTTTAGGAGATTTGAGTTTTGTGTTTTCGGACTGCTGGTTGCTCGGAGCACTGTTCGGCGTCTTGGTGTTTATAGGGTCTTAGGGGATGTGTGTGTGGTTCCTCCAAATTTTGGTGTGTGGAGTTGTAGTGATCTGGCAGCCACCCAACAGCATTCTGGGTTAGTGAGGGATTTTGGAACTCGGGGTTCAACATTCCAAGGGTAAAGGGAGGGACCCTTAATAAGGACCCCTAGGTATATACCCTTAATATAGGTATTATATACCTATTATATAGCCCAGTGTAGGGTAGGGGTCCCCATTAAGGGTCCCTCCTTTTCCCTTTGAAACATGCAGTTGTTGCATGTTTAGGGTTGTGGGTCTCGGAGAAGTGCAGGCCCTCAACTTGAAGCCTGACCTCCCTGAGAATCGGAAACCGCAGCAACATGGCATGTAACCTTGTAGAACTGCAAAACTCCGAAGTAACATGAATGCATGGATATACTATAAAATACTATATATTACTATAAATTATTATAATATACTATAATATACTGTAATATACTACAATCATAATATACTATACTATAATATGGCAGGAATCCGGAGAATTTAATCCAATGACATCCACTCAGAGGTGGCCCGGCAGTCGCTGAGTGCCAAGGCCGCCGGCGATTTAGGGTTCCCTGCTGAGGATCAGGGTCTCAGTCTCTCCAAGGGGAAAAGGAGGGACCCTGAATAAGGACTTCTAGGTATATGCCCTTAATATAGCTATTATATACCCATTATATAGCCCACTATAGGGTAGGTATCCCCATTAAGGGTCCCTCCTTTTCCCCTTTGAGGGTCTCTTCAAGGGGAAAAGGAGGGACGTGCTTAGTAGGGAACGGGGGAATGGATCCCTATAGTAGTCCCTATACAATCCCCAATAATAGTCTCCATAATTCAAAGGAAAATAAGGAGGGACCCTTAATGGGGACCCCTACCCGATAATGGACCATACAATGGGTATAGAATAGCTATATTAAGGGTATATACCTAGGGGTCCTTAATTAAGGGTTCGTCATTTTAGCCTTTGAGTATCGGAAGTAAGAGTAGGAGCAGTGGCACTTGCAGTGGCGGCGGCATGGCAGAAGCAGTAGCAGCAGCAACAGCTAGTAGCTGTAGGAGGAGGAGCAGGAGTAAAAGTCGTAGTGGCTGTTGCTGTGGCTGTGGCAGTGGTGGTGTCAGCAGCGCTAGTTGTGTTGATTAGTCGTCTTAACTTGTCTGCAGTGTCTCCTTGATGACGCTGGTTTCCTTGTCTTGATCAATCTTTATCCCATTGCGCGAAATCCAAGAACCTAGAATGCAAACGCCAAGCAATTGTGGCATGACTGGCAAACTCTTATTGAACCTTGTTGCATTTCAGAAGACATCGTCATGAATCTGATTGAATCTTTTCCTGCTGGAGAACCCGCCAGTGGGCAGACCCCGGTCCCCCCCCGGTCTCTTGAATCCGTTACAGTGTTTGTTTGAAAGCGTCTTCTCAGCCTTCTACAGTCGTTTTTGATTGAAAAAGCTGATAAAACTTGTTTCCAGCGTTTCAAAATTGTTAAGTAGGCGCTCATATGATGATGAAGTTACAGTCTTCTTCGACATCTGCAGTTATGAAGTCTTTGCGTTGCTGCTTGCGACTTTGCACACCTTGGTCACAACTTTTCTTAAGCAAGGTTTTAAGCCCCAAGAGATAAAGGCCTGTGGTTTGCGAGCTTTCTAGATCCCTAGTGATACGAGCTATCTATCTATCCATGAGTTCTCTTTCCCGCTATCTAGCTACCTATGTATCTATTTCTCAGCCTGTCTGTCTGCCTGCCTATCCATCTATGTGTCCATCTATCTGTTTATGTTTTGGCCCATCCATCCATCCATCCATCCATCCATCCATGAATCCATTTGTTCTTTCCGTTTGTCGGCGTATCTTCTCCGCATTGTAAATTCAAACATGAAGGCCAGGACCGTGCCAGCGCGAGTTGCATGAAAGGTCGCGTGAAGCATCGTTGTCGGAGTTGTGGTTAGTATGTGTATGTAGGCAGCCCTAGGCACGTTGCTGAGTGTCGACGTGGATACTGTTGTACTGGTACTGGTGTAAAAACATTACCACTGCAAGTCGTGACGTTTCAGAGCTCAAGTGGAAGCTTCATACATTCCCCAACTAATTAAGAACACAGCACTTAACCCTAAACTCTGAACCCTACCGCGCATCACCCCAGACTAGAAAAAAGTGTAAGAACACAGACCCTCCAAAAATGGGCAAAGAAAAGAAGAACCCTAAGCCCTAGACCCCTAAACCCCTAAACCCCTAAACCCCTAAACCCTAAACCCCTAAACCCCTAAACCCTAAACCCCTAAACCCCTAAACCCCGAAACCCCAAAACCCCTAAACCCCTAAACCCCTAAACCCCTAAACCCCTAAACCCCTAAACCCCTAAACCCCTAAACCCCTAAACCCCTAAGCCCTACACCCTAAAGAGTCGAACGCCTCAGGGCTTCGGCGGCTTCGATTGGAAGGTGCGCGAACACCTGGCTTTTGGCACCGTGGCCGTCGGCCAGGACAACGCTTCAATGTGGGGGTTTCCGAAAATAAGGGGTACCTTTAAGGGATCTATAAGGGTTCCTTAAAGGGAACTATAAGGATTCTATAAGGGTTTTGGGTTTAGGGTTTCCGAAGAAAGGGGTACCTTATTTGGGGGTCCTTACAAAAAGGATCCTACCATTTAGGGTACTATATGAGGGTCCCCTGTTTTCGGAAACCCCCACATTGCACTCCTGGGAAGTCCAGCATGACACAGCGACATCACAAGTGCTTGAAGGATCATGGGCCTTAGTAATTAGTTTATAATCAGGGTAACTATACTTATAACCCCAATTAAGGTACTTATAACCTTACTTACTAAGTCCCGCGATCCTCCAAGTATGCATGTCGGAAGAAAGGTACACACATGCATGCATAGTGGTTGATGTCGAGTCTGTTTCCTGCTGGAGCGCAAGACCCTCCGGCAATGCATTACGGGCTCTCAGCGGACAGTACTTGGAAATTTCAGTCCACGGCCCCAAAAAGCGTCTGCTGTTCCGGATGGTTCAACTGTCTGGACGGAGCGGTCATGATGCGCAAGATGGTGGAAGCGAAGCAGACGTGTGGCTTGTCTGGTGTTTCGAGCACTGCTGCAAGGCCGAACATGGCGATGTACGCAGAGACTTGATTGACCTGGCGGCTACATTCGGATGCAAGTTCGTTCATCACAAAAAGGTCATGGGCTTGAAGACTTGGCTGGAAGGCAGGAAGGGGAGACTGCTGCTCATCGCAGACTGGCGAGAAGCAAAGCCAGCGATTGAAGAGCTCAGCAAGCGCCGCGAAAGTGAAGATTTCCGCATGTGCGTCGTTGCATCATCGGACAAAGTCCACCGTCGCGCGTCTCTCTGGAAGGAAAGTCAGAAAGCCGAAATCTTACTTCTAAGAGCCTTCTCGCGCCAGAGGGTGGAGGTGTTCATCAAGCAAAACCTGAAAGCCTTTCAGTCCATGGCCGGGCGATGTGAAGAGAATTCCCATGCGCCTGCGCCCACGAGGCCCAAGCCCATGGAGATCTTCTGCCAATGGTCTTTGCCCGATCTTCTCACGGCAGTCCAGGACCCGCAGCAGGCAGCTGAACTGGAGAGAATCCTTAAGCAAGCCATGTGGCAAGTCTATGAGGACTGAACAGAAAGTAGTCTTAAGCAGCATAGCCAGCATGCTTCAACTTTGATCAGGCCCTGTGGCAGAAGGGCAAGACGCTCTCTGTTCAGTCTAGCAGTCTAGCGCGGCAGCCGAAGTGCCCGCCACGCCGTCTCACCTCCATATATTCCATATCTATGCATACAACCTGCGCATTTGCAGTCCTTGTGCCTGGGGGGGGCCAGCCAGACCGGCTGAAACCGCCTGCGCCATGCATTTCTCCTTTTGCTGTCAACTCTGGAGTGCAAAGTCCAGACAACAAGGATTGTTGCTGATGGCATTGGTTGATCATAATGTTGTGTGTCTCCTGCTGTTTCTATGGCTCCTACTGAGCTTGCTTAATTGAAGTACTATCCTTGCCACTAGTGAGGCTTTACTTGCCTTTGAGTGACTTTTACCGGCTATATCCATAATCCAAACATGCTAGATGCTAAATCCATGAACAAGTTTACTAATAGCTAAAGCCATAAAAGCACGCATCTCTCAAACGTTCAGCCTTCAGCCGTTAAGGGCTTAGGGTTTGAGTGATGTGAGCCTTAAACCTCTCCCCCACACCCACACAACAGCAAACGGCTTCACGTGTCCGTGCATGTCCTGTATGCTCAGGGACATCGAAGGGTAGGATGAAGGTAGGTGGGATCATCCCAAATAAGAACGTAGACTGAACATATTACAAAAAGGTTGTACGTGTGTATGTTATATATATACACATATAATCCTCATTTTCGCATTTACAGACATGTGCATCATTCTCAATGTGCGCCAAAGGCAAACAGGCAAACATAGAAATATAGTATACAGTTGGTGTGTTCAAAAAAAAATATATATATATATAGGCAACATAGCTATGCCATGGCTTTACATGCAAACTTGCTGGTGTCTGCTCACATAGAACCTTGTGGGTTCCATATTCGTCGGCGGTGAGCTTTCCTTGAGTTGTGTTTACACCAACAGCATCCACTAGTTTGGCTCCTTTGGGAAATATGTGCGACAACCGAAGACCACATGCATGAACATAACCAGAGGATTTGTCCTATCTTGCCGCTTTGTCCCTGTAGTTGCTAATATTGCTGTTGTTGTATGACAAGCACATGAGGAGTAATACTTAGACTTATTCACACAAGTTCCTAAGGTAAAACAACACTGAACATGCAATACTATAACACGATACAGTAGGAAACGCTTGCAATAAACACCTCAGGTCATGCGATGTTACTACTTATCCGTTCGCAGTTTCATTCGCTTTGCAACTAAAGCAAATCTTCGAGTCCCGAGAGAAGCTTCTGCAGGGCAATTCGGGGAGTTAGCATGTATGTATGTATGTATGTATGTATGTATGTGTACATACATGTATACACCTATATGTCTACACATAATAATTTACGTATCTATTTATCGATTTATTGATTCGTTTTTGCATATATGTATATGCTCATATGTATATACACACAAGTAGGTATACGCATGCGCACATCATTCACATACATACGCACGTAGGTACAGACATATCTGACATGTACCTGGAGAGAGGGGAGCATGTATGCACAGGCATGCAGAGGCGTTTGCATCATCAGATGGGTTGAAATGTCCAAGCAGCGTCCAGAGCTACTGCCGGCAAAGAGGCTCGAAGCGGACCCTACGCAAACCTTATAGTCCACGGCCCCAGAGTTCAAAGAGCGTTTGCTGTCCAAGACAGCAGGCATCGCATTCCGGATGGTTCAACTGTCTGGACGGAGCAGTCATGATGCACAAGATGGTGGAAACGGAGCAGACGTGTGGCTTGTCTGGTGTTTCGAGCACTGCTGCAAGGCCGAACATGGCGATGTACGCAGAGACTTGATTGACCTGGCGGCTACATTCGGATGCAAGTTCGTTCATCACAAAAAGGTCATGGGCTTGAAGACCTGGCTGGAAGGCAGGAAAGGGACACTGCTGCTCATCGCAGACTGGCGAGAAGCAAAGCCAGCGATTGAAGAGCTCAGCAAGGAATGCCGAAATCTTACTTCTAAGAGCCTTCTCGCGCCAGAGGGTGGAGGTGTTCATCAAGCAAAACCTGAAAGCCTTTCAGTCCACGGCCGGGCGAGGTGAAGAGAATTCTCACGCGCCTGCGCCCACGAGGCCCAAGCCCATGGAGATCTTCTGCCAATGGTCTTTGCCCGATCTTCTCACAGCAGTCCAGGACCCACGGCAAGCAGCTGGACTGGAGAGAATCCTTAAGCAAGCCATGTGGCAAGTCTATGAGGATTGAACCGACAATAGTCTGTAGCAGTAGACAACATGATCGAGCTCTTTGGCAATTTGCTCGTCGTGTCAGTCGGGTGTGGCAGCCGAAGTGCTTGTCACACCGCTCCACCTCCATATCTACGCATAGAATCTGTTCTTCGTAGCCTTCGTGCATATTGATTTGCAGTGAAGTGTACCATGTTCTTGGCCAGGCGGGCTAGCCAGACCGGCTGCACTCGGTTTTAGCTTGGCATTGTTTCTCCCGTGTGACCAGGTTCAGAATTCGCGAAAACGGCGGGTTTTACTGCCGGTGCCTCTTGTTGTTTGTGCATCGTCTCCTACTTTACACCACATCAGGAGTTGGCGGCCACACTGGAGAGAGCTTGGTTCGCCAAGAAGATGCCTCTCGACTTTGTGAGATAGCTCGTGCTGTGTGGCGCCCAGTTGTCGGCTTTAGTTGCTGCAGATTGCCCTTCCCCTTAAGCCGAGGTCGTAGAGAAGTTGGGTGGCGATGTCGGGAGTTATTATAAGGGCCTTAGTAATTTCCTATACTATTTTGGGGGTTCGCTTTTATAACTATGATGCAATATGCCGCAAAACCCTATTATAATTAAAAAGGCCCCTATGAATAGAACCCTACTATGATCCCTTACAGACCCCCTTTAGGAACCCTTGAAAGGAACGCTATATTACACGTTCGGGCCCAGACAAGTGCTTACCTGAAAGCGTCCTTGTGACATGCGCGTCCTACCGCTGGAGGTCCAGAAACTCAGATACCTGGCAACCTTGATACTGCACATTTCCTCCCTTGCCCAAGGCCTCAAGCAAAATCTGCAACATAATCCGTGATGTGATATACTACAGCGTAACTTGATAAATATGCGAGCACATAAGTTATTTACATCATGTAACATAATACAAACTTACCACATTATAAGCATACCCTAAAAATGAAGTAGAGACATCTGCTGAGCCGAAGCCCTTTTTCCCCCGAAGACCGGTCCCGGGCGCTGAGGAACATCTTGGAGGAGCTGTGTCAGAATCTGGGCTCTTGTTAAGTAAGTTACATAGTTTAAGGGTTTAGGGCTTAGGGCTCTTGTTAAGGAAGTTACATAGTTTCAGGGTTTAGGGTTTAGGGCTCTTGTTAAGTTAATTTACATAGTTTAAGGGTTTAGGGTTTAGGGCTCTTGTTAAGGAAGTTACATAGTTTAAGGGTTTAGGGTTTGGGGCTCTTGTTCAGGAAGTTACATAGTTTCAGGGTTTAGGGTTTAGGGCTCTTGTTAAGGAAGTTACATAGTTTAAGGGTTTAGGGTTTAGGGCTCTTGTTAAGGAAGTTACATAGTTTCAGGGTTTAGGGTTTAGGGCTCTTGTTAAGGAAGTTACATAGTTTAAGGGTTTAGGGTTTAGGGCTCTTGTTAAGGAAGTTACATAGTTTAAGGGTTTAGGGTTTAGGGCTCTTGTTAAGGAAGTTACATAGTTTAAAGGTTTAGGGTTTAGGGATCTTGTTAAGGAAGTTACAGGTACCATAATAGGGATCTGTAAGGGCTCCTTTTAAGGGATCTATAAGGATCTGGGCTCTTGTAAAGGAAGTTATTTTCAGGTACTATAATACTGCAGGGATCTGGGCTCTTGTTAAGGAAGTTACATAGTTTAAGGTACCATAATAGGGATCTGTAAGCGCTCCCTTCAAGGGATCTACAAGGGGTCCTTTTTGGGCTTGGGGTTTAGGGGTTTAAGTTACCATAATAGGGATCGATAGTCCTTATTATGGTAACTTAAATAAAATCCGTTACTAGGTGGTTGACCTAACTCGACTCCGCTTACCGAAAGTTGACTCCGCATGCTGTGCACCAGGGTTCGGCAACGCTTTTCGTATCCCGGGAGCGCTGCTCTTGTTGCTATTCGTTGTTTGTCGTGGTGTGCGCAGGCTTTGCGGCATCTCGGCTTTACCCGAGTTGGTTGTCAGCCGAGGGGTTTGTGCTCAGCTGCATGTGGAACGACGTGTTGCCGATGCGGAGGGTGGTGGGGTGGATGTGTTTTGGGAGGGCCATAATATCAAACCGGAGGGTATCGTTCACCAGTAATAATAATAATAGTAATAGTAATAATAATAATAATAATAATAATAGTAATAATAATAAGAACCCAGGAATCTGCAGAGCTGCTTGGTGACTAGCAACGGGAAGGCCTCGAAGCCGCAAGCGGCTTTGCAGCATGGGGTGGGGTTTAAGGTTTCGGGGTTCAGGGTTTAGGGGTTTAGGGGTTTAGGGGTTTAGGGTTTAGGGTTCAGGGGTTAGGGTTCAAGGTGTTGCTTCTGTTCTTTTTCAGGTTTCCGGCATTCGGCTTTGCCTTGGGCAGGTTGTGTGGCGTATCACCTACGCTATGTGCCTCAAGTGCGATATGCCGCACACTGTGAACCCTGTAAGCACGAATTCGAATGAAGCCTTCTCCTACCTAATCTTTATCGGTTCGAAACCTGCATGACCGAGGCCTAAGCCTGACGAACGTGATGACTTGTAAACCCTGAAGCGAACGAGCATCTCTACACAGCTCCTGCAAGGCTTTGGACAAGACGATCCTTCTGAAACTGGGTCCACAGCTAAGTACTTGTTGTTACGGGTTTCGGGGTTCGGGATTTCGAGTTAGCAGTAAGCAATTATCTCTTTTGTTGTTAGGCTTGACTCCATACAACAGATTTGATGAGCTCTGCCCGTGACAGTGAGCTGCATCATACTCAAAAGCGACACTTCTGGCTTCTGCAGCATGATCACCAGCATCGTCAAAAGTCATCATCAGCATCGTCAGCAACAGCAGCAGCAGCGGCCTCATCATCTTGGTGTTGATTGCCGTCCAGTCCATGGCCACCATCACCAGTATCCTCGACAACATCTTCATCGTGACTATCCCCTTCATCGTTAGGTTGATAGTGTACCCCTACATTTATGCATACATAGGTAGTTGTTGATTGTGTATGTTGCGCTTGTTCGTGTGCCTGTAAAGGCTGTAACAGTACGGTAGCAGTAAGAGCAGGAGCAGCAACAGCAGCAGCAGTAGCAGTGGCAGTAGCAGTCGGAGCAGGAGCAGGAGCAGGAGCAGGAGCAGGAGTAGTCGTAGTGGTGGTAGTAGTAGTAGTAGTAGTAGTAGTAGCAGCAGTAGCAGTAGCAGTAGCAGTAGCAGTAGCAGTAGCAGTAGCAGTAGCAGTAGCAGTAGCAGTAGCAGTAGCGGTAGCAGTAGCAGTAGCAGTAGCAGTAGCAGTAGCAGTAGCAGTAGCAGTAGTGGTAGCAGTAGTAATTGTAATTATTATTATTATTATTAGTAGTAGTAGTAGTAGTAGTAGTTATAGTTATGACGACCAGAGACAAGGTCACGATATCAAGTCCCGCATCCACCCCCAGACGGATGTAACGTGGATGAACTTCCCGATTGCGTTGGCCACCATGCTGCTTTACACGCAGACGCTTGGCTAACGGTTAGCAGGCACTACCCCTAAGGCCCCAAAGTAGTTCCTTTTTGGGATTACCCTATAGGATTCTATATATGAACCCCAAAAAGGAACTACTTTGGGGCCTTAGGGTAAAGCAGCTGCTTTTTCTTCCAATGCGTAAAACTCGGAACGAGCAACCTCCCGAGACCAGAGCAATACTTCTGGGTTGCCCTCCTTCTCTCCTCATCTGTCGTTCACGAAGTTCTTGAAGATGCATGCCACAGATGAAAGAATCCGAATTCCGCACGCTCTCAGGATACAGGCGTTGATGTTCGATAGATTAAGCTGCTAAGCGACCTGAATGGTTAAACACCCTAGAAGGCACAGGAAGACAAAAGGATCCGGGTACCTGCAATAGCTATTGCGTACTTTTGGTAGCTGAGTGGGGACATGTTACGTTTTCCCTACAGAACTGATAGTTTAGATTTTTTCTGGGCCTGTGAACTCAGCTCAGCAAGTAAGATAAGGCAGTCCCAAGACCCTTGTGGCTTTCGGTCAACAAAGGCAGGACGTCGACACGGACAGGACCTTTCTTTTCCTGGACTGTCCTTCCTCGGCGGTGGGGCCTCAACTTTTTGCAGAAAGGAAGGAGGCTCCGCGCTCAGCGGAATGTGCTTCAGGATTTTAGCGTGCATGCAGTTTTGGTTTGAGTGTGTTTGGTTTGGCCTTTGGCGTCGTCCGTGCAGGATCGTTGTTATTTGGTTTGTGTTCTAGGGTGTTTGATTCAGGGTTTTTATAAGGTTTTTGATCGACCTGAAGGGGTCAATTATGGTGTTCGGTTTTGGCGAGGGTGCTTCGTTTTGCCTCATGCCAGACCTTAGTTCAGATGTAAACATCTCAGATGCTCTGATCCATTCTTAAGGTCTGAAGTCTCGACCTGTTCCCCCGGCCCCTCGGCCCAGCCCTAAAGCCGGGCCGGAAGCAGCATCAAAGTTAAGACCAGAAGTCTAAAGACCATCAAAGGCAGCATGTAAGACAGAACCTCTATACATATACATAGTTATATATATATAGAGAGAGAGAGAGAGGGTGCTATAATACATAATATGGCCTAGGATAAGATAGTAAAATATTGCAAATTAAACAAAGCCCCAAAGCCGAAAGCCCCTTCCGCAGAGGCGTATGACACCTACCGAAGTCGGAGAGGCCCCGCCCGTAACCCGATGCTCGCCGCGCAGGCCGGGTGCAGAAACGGCACGACAGCATCCCCAATACTTTTTTGGGTGGCTCCTTACTATAATCGTAGTATATGGGGCTCCAAATCCCTATCCCTATTCTAATTATTAGGCCTCTATATTGTGTATTGAGCCAAGCCCGAAGCTGTGCACGCTTTTGGAAGCCCCATCTTCTCTGCGAAGGCATGTTGACTTGCCGAAATTGCAGCCCAGAGCTCCAAAACCCTTCGGGGTTTCACAAGATTTCGACTGAGACTCTTGCTTAGGTGCATCGGAAAGCATTTCTTGCCCGATTTGAACCTTTTCAGGCGAACTTCAGAAGCTTCGCAAAACCCTACAAGAGCAAGTCATCTAGAATGTTTTTAAAACACATCCTTAAGCTCCAGATGACAAAGCCCTCAGCTCTAATCCCTGTGGAGTTGCAGTTCATACTGCTGAGCTCCGACAAACGTAACCTGGTTCAGGGTGCGGGGTTGAAAGTTCTAGGTTTCGTGTTTCGGGGCTTTGGGCTTTGGGTTTCGGGCACAAAGGCTGTCCTGCACAGGTGGGACGCGTAGCCACCGCCGTGCTCCACTCTGCTCTCAGTGCCGGGATGCGGCAGGCGAGAAGCAATCGGGGGTTGTGGCAGGCTTCATGGGATCATTTCCATGCCGAGTGATGCTGTTCTGTACACTTTGCCCGGCTATAACTTCTCTGGGGGGTCTTCGTGATTGCTGTGTCAGTTTATGCGGTAGATGGCAGTCACATACAGTGCATTACAGTGCTAGATCGAACGTCAATCACTACGTGTCAGTACGCGTTTCAGCATGTCAGATCTTTTGCTGCTGTCTCCACAGTCATTCTGTGCTTCGCGTTAATTGTCAGATCAGTTGTCGGCTCGGCGTGTATGCGACATGATGCCAGCTAACACTGTCTGACTACGACAGCATAGCGCGATGCATGTGCATGCTGCGTTTTTTCGGAGACGTACCGCATCGAAGATGTATGAACGAACATGTTCTGCTGATCCTGTTCGCCGGCGAAGTGGGAACATTCGAGGCAGACATTTCTCGTCAAGTCGCACATAATCCAACTTGCTGCAGCATAGATCATTCATTGTCTGAGCGAACATGCATGCTCGAGTGTTTGTGTTGTGTGCTTGTGACATGGTCGCGTACCAAGACATGCAGCACGGCGTGATGTTCATGTCGAAGATCTGTTGTTGAACTTTAAATGTCAAGTCAGACGAGGTGTCGTGATGCTTGCGCCGCAAGTACCGTCATTACTTGTGCTCGCATAGACTACACCCGAACTCACGAATCCAACACCTCCCAGATGCAACCTTAAGCCCCAAATCTCGCGCCCCAGAATAAGCAGGTTAAGTTCTGTACTTGCAGACACACCTTAAGCCTTAGATCCAAAACCCTAAGCTGCCTAAGTCCTACAGCCTATAACCCCGTAAACCCGCAACTCCCAAATCCTAAGACGCTGTTGACGAGGGTGCGGATCCAGTCGTCGAGCTGCCCCTGCGACAGTGGGTCAAGAGTGCCTGCTTACTAAGCGTCCTGTCTTAGGGCTAGGGTAGGCATTCAGGTTTAGGGTTTAGGCTGCCGGCTTTACTTAACCTTCTGGGGTGCGCCAGGCTGAGTTAGCCAGATGGATTTCAACCTGCTGTGGCACTGCTGTATGGAGACTTTTAGGGACCCTTAATAAGGACCCCTAGGTATATACCCTTAATATAGAAATCATATACCCATGATGTAGCCCATTACAGCTTTTCATCGGCTTGTCTCGCAAGCGCGGTGTGCATGTTGGGCATCCCCCGAACTTGGAATCCGATAGTAGCACGTACTCCATTGTAGTTCCTTTTTTTGGTTATCCAAAATCTCTATTATCGGTCCCTAACCATAAAACTGGTTAACCAGCAAAAAAGAACTACAATGGAGACTATAGGTAGCACGTACTTGTGGAGAGTCGTGAGGTCCGAGTACATGCACTCCAAAACATGTTTATGGCAGTTACCCACACGGTAATGCACGGTATGCAGATTCCTGCAAAACGCTCTAACCAGAAAACCTGGCCGCAAACCCCACAGCTCAATTCGTAACCTTTCGTTGTCGTTGAAACGTCGAGCTCAAGACCCTGACTCAACAACCAGGAACCCCAAACCCCAAACCCCGAATCACATTTTACAAACCCTAAACCCTTCAGAACCCCTGGGGCGGCCCTTATGGTCTAGTCGCCGTTATAGTACCCTTCCGGTAGAACCTTTGTCGATCCCTCATCGACCCCCATAGAACTCCTGTAAATGTCTTGAACCCTGGTCCCGAGACTGAGGCGTTTGCCGTCAGAAGTTTGAGGAGCCTCGAGTTCTCACGCGCATGCTTATGACTCTTGGTTTTGGGGCTTCAAGTTTAGGGGTTTGGGGCTCAAGATTTAGGGTTCAGGGTTTAGTGGTTTAGGCTTTAGGATTCAGGGTTTTGGGTTTGCAAGGGTTTAGATTTGTCTGATTCTGGGGCGACAGGTCTGTGTTTCGAATCTGGCTTGTTCTTAGAGGCCTGACCCGGGTTCTTAAGGCCTTTGTATCGGGTTGATATCGCGAGGGTTGTTCGTCTTGAGAGTTTTGGGGTTTAGCGGGGCAGGGTTTAAAAACCGCGGAGTCCGTGATCCCAAAGCTTCCACAGCTGCTGTTACTGTTGCAAACTGTTTCCTGCCTTACAGCTGCTGTTACTGTTGCTAGTTATTGCCTTACTTGGAGGATCATGGGACTTGGTAAGTAAGGTCATAAGTACCTTAATTCGGGTTCTAAGTATAGTTACCCTAATTATAACCCTAGTTACTAAGTCCCATGATCCTTAACTCGACCCTAAACCCCGTCTCATAATCGATCCCCTAATAGATCCCCTTTAAAGGAGCCCTTTAAAGTATAACCCTACTAAGTCCCATGATCCTTTAAGTACACTAAACCCTTATAGATCCATTATAGAACCCTTTAAGGAACCCTTGTAGATCCCTTTAAGGAGCCCTTTAAGGAACCCACAACACTCTTACACTCTTACTAGACTTGTGGCTGCTTTGCCCAGGGATGCTGAAGCCTTCTCGAGTCGGATCTTATCATGAATCCACGTGACCATCACTGCAGGGTTTAGGGTTTAGGGCTTAGGGTTTAGGGGTTTAGGGTTTAGGATTTAGGGTTTAGGATTGCTGCTCCTGTTTTCACGCTTGCTAGTAGGTTGGTTGAGTTCTGCTGCCGTCCGAGGGCTTCGTTTAGGAAACCGCCTACTAGAACGAGTATTCCTACGAGTAACGCGCTAGCAACCACAACACACTGCCACTGCCAGCGTCCGCTAAAGACCCTGGTCAAACTTCTGAAGCCTTAATAATTTGAACCAAATCTTATTGTTTGTCCGCCCTTAACCCTATAAGGTCTCACGAACTCTAAATCCATATTGTGTAGGACCCTTATAGACCTCTTACATCGCTTAAAGAATTCCTGAAAAGAACCCGAAAATCCTTGCTTTCTTCTTCCGGAGCTGTTCAAGGAATCTTTCCGACCGCGGAATACAGGAGCTCCGGAAGAAACAGAAGGACCGGTTTAGGGTTATGCAAAGGGTTCCTTTTTGAGGCTACCAAGAGGTTGCATAAAGTTCTAGAGGGGGTTGAGGGTTTAGGGTTTGGGTGCATATTTCCATAGTCAGGGTTTATAGGGGCTTAATTTGGGATTCCTTGGCTGTTCGGGTTGTGGAGTGTTTAAGAGTTCAGGTCTCGCGTTGATGATCCATGGCCAAATCTACTCATCTAGGATCTCTTGTCAGGGGTCACTTGGGCCTGGCAGTAGCTCGGCAGAAGCAGCAGCAGGACTGGAGCGACAGCATGGATTGTGAGTATGTGCTGTCCTTTCTTCATCATTTTTTTTCTCAGCAACAGCGGCAGTAAGACCTCTCAGAAGTTCGTTACCAGCAATAGAGGCTGTGCATTGGTTGAAGTTCATTTTGTCGTGGTTCATGGCTCGCGATGCCATCCTACGCATAGTGCGATTCTACTGTGATAGCCTTGTGTCCTGATGTTGATACTGCCATTGCTAGCCATACCCTCTGACTGGCACGTGTAGTCCCACTGGTTTTGCAGATGCTGACATGTTGTTGATGAAACTGGGTTGCCTGCCGCTGTTATTCCTGTGCGGTTCTTGTTAGTATTAAGGCCATTCATTACAACGAGAATGTCCTGACACCAACACGTGATGGTGATGATGATCGTAATGGCGAAGATGATGGCGATGACGACGATGATGATGATGGTGGTGATGGTGGTGATGGTAATTTTTGCTGTTGATGTGTATGAGGATTGTGATGATAAGGGTAATAATGATGATGATGACTATGATGTAAATGATGATGGTGATGATTGATGATTATGATGATGATGATGATGGTGCTGGTGCTGGAAGATGATGGTGATGATGGTGATTCCTTTCCTTCCTACCTAAACCAAATCCAGCCAGGATGACGTCATTGTGTGCCCGCAGATCCTAAGCACATCTGCGAACCCGGCCTACGTCGACAAGTACCTCTTTCACGGTGCCGCAAATCTGGAGCAGCATGTCATCCTGACTATTCGACTCTCGCCTGAAATTCGCACCCGATGCTTTGGAATTTTGAAGTTGGAGATGCAGATTCTGCGTCTACAGGATATCCGTGACAGACTTGCAATCGAATTGATTTGGGCATGCCAAGGCCAACCCTCGCACCGGCAGCTGTAAAGCGCAAACCGTCGACTTCAATCCCTGAAGCTCTAAACCGGAACCCTTACATGAGGCATCTTAGACCCTAATGGCCTTCAACCCCTATAACCCTAAGACTCTCCGCCCCAAACCCCAAAGAGCTGGATGCCAAACCCTGAACCCTAAACCCGAGTCCCTCCCCACCCTGCTGCAGGCAATGTCACTGAGTGTTTGGACCTCGCCGCCCTCAGCCAGTATCCGGAAGAGCAGGAGCCCAATCCCCGACGCCCAAAGATACAAACGACCAAGACATGAGGGTCTAGGGTTTAATTCTTCAAACTCAAGAAGTTTTACTCAGGGATACTTAGGGTTTAGATTTTCGTAAAGCCCTAAACCGCCACCCGAACCTCACTGCCGCCGTTTGTCACCCTTCAAGACGAAGTGCAGGAAGTGTTGCTGCCCCTGCTGTCAGTGCTGCGGGTCGAGGAGGTGGCACTGCAATTACGGACTTAGAACCTCGGGTCCCAGAGCTTTAAGCCGTAAACTCTGTAAGTTCTTAAGGATAGTTTTGGGCAGCCTTATCGCCACCTTGCACCATCAACTTGTTGATAAGTTTTTAGAGCCGGGAGTCTACCATGTGTTTACTACCATGATGTCGGCGCCGTGCCGTGCCATACCCTCCCCATATGCTTCGTGACCTACTGACCTACTGGTACATACCAAGGGTTTGCCCAGAAACAGCGGGGCCCAAATCAACTACCTTCAACACAGGCATTTGAATAATTACAAGCATCCCTAAATAAGGTACCCTACACAGACAGTCTGCGACATGGTTGGAAGATGTAAGGCCACAATGCACATGCCGCGTGGTGACAAACCGGGCCCTCCGCTTGAATGATAAGGGCTCCAGAGGGTTTTGACATGTGGGAATTTCCGGAAATTAGGGTACCTTATTTTAGGGGTCCTTATAATAGGGATCCTACTATTTGGGGTACTATGTTAGGGTCCTCCATTTTGGGAAACTCCCATATAGAAACCCTGGGGTTCTCGGCCTAACGCCCAGTCCCCTGTAGGTGCCCCCTCCAAAGCTTCCCTGGTTGGAGGATCATGGGACTTAGTAAGTAAGGTTATAAGTACCAAAATTTGGGGGTTATAAGTCTAGTTACCCAACTTATAACCCTAGTTACTAGGTCCCATGATCCTTTAAGTACATCCAATCCGGTCAGGTGTCTGCAGTCCCAGGGCAAGCGCTGAGAGTTTCGTGTCAATTCCAAGGCAGCTGTGTTTAAAGGGAACTCCAGAAAGTTGGATTATGGCTATGGTTTCAGGGTAGGGTACCCTATAATTTACCATAGAAGGGTTAGGATAATCATATTCCAACTTTCTGGCTTTTACCTTAGGGTTTAGGGTAGCTATTGGGCGCAACCTTATTCAAGGAAGGGTCCTTGTACTCAGGATCCGAGGATTGTTGCTAGCACTGTGTCTTGCCACCGATGTCCTGTTGGAAACCCTTATAATTGTATTCTGGGCACTAGGACACTACGAAGCATTGTGATTAGATGTAGGGGCTAATCGAAGCATCTTGCGACTCAAGAAGATGATAGGCAGGGCTATGAGTACATCAGCCTGGGTTTAGGCCAACCCCAACTTTGCGTAGCGCCGGTAAAGTCGAGAATGCCAACGCCGACAAGAGACCGAAACTTATAGGACCCTGAAGAAACCAAACTTTCAGTGTAACCCCAAGCTTGCAAGCCCGCAGGCTTAAAAGCCGCGCCAAAGTTAAGGCCCTATATTGAAATATTACGCAGCTGAGGCCCTAGAATCCACAGGCGTCCTCCGCCCTGAGCCAGACAATAATCACGGAAACCCCTGTGAAGCTCAGCAGGACCCTATTAACAAAGGGGTGTCGTGTTTAGGCTTACGGTTTAAGGTTCAATCCTCTTAGAGCCTTTCCTTTATCACTTGCTTCTGCGCAATCTTGTTGCAAAATTAGGCGGGGGCAAGCAAAGGCTTGGAGCGTAAACCCCACAACCTCTCTGAACCTTACACCTTAAACTAAGTGCTTGTGAACTAGGACCCCAGCGTAAATCCCCTGCCTCTCTCTCTCGATCTAAACCGCTATCATGCTGCACACCCTAAGCGTCCAAGTCCCTATTCAGCATATACCTTAACCTACCAAACCCTACTTTTTTGTAGGTTCTTATTATTTAAAAGCCTAATATGGAATTTATAGGGACCCTACAAAAAAGTAGGGTCTGGTAGGTTAAGGTACTCCGGCACAATACCACCAACATCAGTACGTCACTACATGTCACTACTATCCTACATCCACGTGCCGAATAATTGGGTCTTTTCGGCCCCTCAGGTAAACCCCTTCTGCCGCCTGGCAGCTTGCGATGAAGCCGTAAGTGCGAAAGCCCTAGACCGCTAAACCCCAAGTGAAACCTCAGCACTAAAATCCTTAAACAGTGGAAAAGCTGCGAAGCCTGGGTTCTAGTTAAGGCATTTAGGTTAAGCTACCCTAACAAGGACACCACATTATCTACTGGTAGTATAGATCCCTATTATGGTAGCTTATGGTCGCTTAATTCGAAATCTTTCACAAGAAACCAGAACCCTTGGATCCTAAACCCCAAAATCTCTAAACCCTAAACAGCGGAAACGCTACAAAGCGGGAGGGTCCATGATGAGCAGCCGGCTGCGTGCCGCGTGCCTCTCCGACCTGGCAATGGCCTCCTACGACCTGCTACAAGGTCGCTACTATACGGGCCTGAAGGGACTGAAGAGATTCCGTTTAAAGGGATCCTTAAAGGGGTCGATAAAGGATTAATAATAGGGTTCTATACTAGATGCCTGAATAATTAGAATAGGGTTTTGGGGTTATAACTATGGTAGAACATACCCCTAAACTCTACTGTTCCTATTCTAGCTATTAAGGCCCCTATATCAGTCTCAGGGTTTGTTTGAGGGTGTTACTGGTAGGGTTGAGTTTGTTTTTTGAGTGGGAGTTCTGGGTATTGAAGGGAGGTTCAGGGTTGAATGTTTTGGCAGTTTAGGGTGTTTCAGGTTTAGTTGTTGAGGGTTTGGGGATCACAAATTTTAAGGTTTAGGGCTTTGCATTGTGGGGTTCAGGGTTTAGGGTTGTTTGTTTCTTTTCTGGTGTCTGCTTGTCCTTTATTGTGCGAACGTCTTTCTGCTAGTGTGATGCTTTGGAAAGTTGACTTCGATTGCAAATTAACTTTGTCATAGTTGGGTAACATTTTACATGTTTATGGGCACTTAAACCCAATAATTGAGGAATGAAGATGTACATTTTTAACCCTATCCCAACCATGAACTAGTTGAGCGGCTTGACAGTTCTCATGGCCTCGAGCCAGTTTACCCATCGGCCCCATAGTAGTTCCTTTCGGGGTTCATATTTAGAATCCGATAAGGTTCTCCCAAAAAGGAACTACTATGGGGCCTATGGGTATGTCGTGGTAGTGTGTAAGCATTTGGGGTTCCTAAACTGGTGCAGGAAACTAAATCTCACGACCTTAAACCGTAAACTAAAAACCCCAAGCGCCCAAACTCTAAATCGTGGGGTCTGGCTTGCAGGGGTTCTGAGCTTTGGGTTGGAAGAACCCCTATCCCCTAAACCCCGAAACCCTAAACCCCCGAAACCCTAAACCCCCCGAAACCCTAAACCCCGAAACCCTAAAGCCCTAAAGCCTTCGCATCGCAGGCATCCGGCCGCTACCGGAGAAGACGGTCGATCTGACAATCTCAACCCGAGCTTTTGCTGCACTGCAGGGGCCTTTGATCATATGAGGGGTCTACAAGGGATCTATAGTAGAGGTCTATGATATAGGGGCCTCAAGTAGAATGGGGTCTCGGGGTTCCTTACTATAATTATAGTATAATATCCTCCAATCCCTATTCTACTTGTTAAGGCCCCTATATCAGTGTCTGGCCCTGAAAGGTAGAGACCTGATCAATAATCAGAATAGGGTTTGGGGTATATCGTGTTTGGATCGTGTTTGAAAGTATACATGGACTCGAAGGGAATGGTACTGCTGAGTATTCAAATTCAAGCCCGCATATGTCAGCGGTCACGTGACGAGCCAGGTCATAGAGATCATACAAACAGAAGAGGTCTCCAGGCTCCACCAGTAAGGCACTTGCTTTCACGTGGTTGTTCCATGCTGTGGTCTTCGCTTTGCTAAGAACGTCCGTCGGACATCGAGCCGCATCAGCCGCCTGGTTGAAAGATTTGGGGGTTGGGGGATTTGGGATTGCAGGTTAAGGGTTTCGGGGGTTGGGAAGTGAGGGTTTTTATTTAGGGCCTCTAGGGCATTGGGTTTTGGGGGCGTGTTGGGATCGTGGGCTTAAGTTGGGCTTAGTTTACGTTGTGCTCCAAACGAAGATCCTGCTTGGATGAATACTGTGCTGTTGGATTGGTACGCTCGCTGCATGGCCCACATGAGACCCACCCTTGCCGCAACATGCTAAAGCTAGCCTGCTCTATCTCTCTATCTCTCTCTCTCTCTCTCTCTCTCTCTCTCTCTCTACGGCCAGATGCAGGTACACAGCTAAAGTCTTCCAATCGTTGGTTACGATCTTCGAAGCGATCGACCGGCGGGGTGCCTGGATGATAAGTCGCGCAGACTACAGCTGGGCACAGGACGATTGCTTGCTGAAGGGCCATGGGTCTTGCAGATGAGCTGTTTAGGGCAAAGTTTAGGGTGCAGTGTGGGCGTTTTGA